ATTCATGGTTTTTATTGGGTTTTGATGATGTCTTTGATGTCGAATAAAGTTACCTCTTGACGATGTCGGAGATGTTCTGAAATACTGTACGAAGGATGAAAACCCGGCACTGCAAAATCTGGAACTTCGGAACAGACAACTGGAACCACTGCGCGGCATGAGCCTCGCACGATGAATTCCATGCACCTCCACCGATGATCTCTGCCTTTTGCAATGGGAGCTCGAAGAAAAGGGTTTTCACAGATTTCCATGGATGTCTTATGAATTTTGACATGTTTTCTATTGTTTTCTCATTTGCTTCAATTGGAGACATCCTAGCCAGGTTGCACACCCCAAGAAAATAGAAAGGAAAGTATGCAGCATGCTCCACATGATATGAGTATCTCCTGCTATTTTCTTGGGACTTGATTGTTTTGATTGTTTTGACCGGAGTTGGTCAAGTCCAGCCATGCCGGAAGACTGGCCTACGGCAATTGCTCCGACCTCAGCCTACGACATGACGAGTTGTGATACGAGTTGTGGACATCGTGAGGATCGTCTCGCTATGTCTACCTCAGGTGCTGGGCATCGTGGTGGGTGGCATGCTCACTGCCTTGGTGGTGTGCGCTGCAATGAAGAAGGCTCTGTCGAGAAAGCATCTCGGCTATCTCGGCTATCTCGGATATCTCGGCTATCTCGGATATCTCGGGGCCTTTCGAGAAATGCTTTTCAGTTTTCAAGATGTTTCACATGTCATAACTGGCAGTTATGACATGTGACATATGACATGTTTCACGACATGTTTCACTGGGCACATACCACACATGCCTATGAAACAATCAGATCAGGAAAGAATCCGAATGAAGCGATGGGCGTGAAACCGAAGGCTTGATGCAACTTGTGAGCTGCAAAGGACTTATGCTTGTGGAACACCATCTTATTATTATAACTATCTTACTATATATTATTATAATGATGTCGTATTACTGTATTATTATAACTATCTTACTATATATTATTATAATGATGTCGTATTACTGTATTATTATAACTATCTTACTATATATTATTATAATGATGTCGTATTACTGTATTATTATAACTATCTTACTATATATTATTATAATGATGTCGTATTACTGTATTATTATAACTATCTTACTATATATTATTATAATGATGTCGTATTACTGTATTATTATAACTATCTTACTATATATTATTATAATGATGTCGTATTACTGTATTATTATAACTATCTTACTATATATTATTATAATGATGTCGTATTACTGTATTATTACAACTATCTTACTATATATTATTATAATGATGTCGTATTACTGTATTATTACAACTATCTTACTATATATTATTATAATGATGTCGTATTACTGTATTATTACAACTATCTTACTATATATTATTATAATGATGTCGTATTACTGTATTATTATAACTATCTTACTATATATTATTATAATGATGTCGTATTACTGTATTATTATAACTATCTTACTATATATTATTATAATGATGTCGTATTACTGTATTATTATAACTATCTTACTATATATTATTATAATGATGTCGTATTACTGTATTATTACAACTATCTTACTATATATTATTATAATGATGTCGTATTACTGTATTATTATAACTATCTTACTATATATTATTATAATGATGTCGTATTACTGTATTATTATAACTATCTTACTATATATTATTATAATGATGTCGTATTACTGTATTATTATAACTATCTTACTATATATTATTATAATGATGTCGTATTACTGTATTATTATAACTATCTTACTATATATTATTATAATGATGTCGTATTACTGTATTATTATAACCATCTTACTATATATTATTATAATGATGTCGTATTACTGTATTATTATAACCATCTTACTGTATATTATTATAATGATGTCGTATTACTGTATTATTATAACCATCTTACTATATATTATTATAATGATGTCGTATTACTGTATTATTATAACTATCTTACTATATATTATTATAATGATGTCGTATTACTGTATTATTATAACTATCTTACTATATATTATTATAATGATGTCGTATTACTGTATTATTACAACTATCTTACTATATATTATTATAATGATGTCGTATTACTGTATTATTATAACTATCTTACTATATATTATTATAATGATGTCGTATTGCTGTATTATTACAACTATCTTACTATATATTATTATAATGATGTCGTATTGCTGTATTATTACAACTATCTTACTATATATTATTATAATGATGTCGTATTACCTGTAATTATTATAACTATCTTTACTATATTTATTATAATGATGTCGTATTACTGTAATTATGATAACTATCTTAACTATATATATTAATAATGAATGTCGTATTACTGTATTATTACAACTAGCTTAACTATACTATTATATAAGAATGTCGTATTACTTGTATTATTATAACTATCCACTATATATGATTATATGATGTCGTATTACTGTATTATTACAACTTATCTTACTAATATTTATAATGATGTCGTATTACTGTATTATTACAACTATCTTACTATATATTATTATAATGATGTCGTATTACTGTATTATTACAACTATCTTACTATACATTATTATAATGATGTCGTATTACTGTATTATTACAACTATCTTACTATACATTATTATAATGATGTCGTATTACTGTATTATTACAACTATCTTACTATATATTATTATAATGATGTCGTATTACTGTATTATTACAACTATCTTACTATATATTATTATAATGATGTCGTATTACTGTATTATTACAACTATCTTACTATATATTATTATAATGATGTCGTATTACTGTATTATTGTAACTATCTTACTATATATTATTATAATGATGTCGTATTACTGTATTATTGTAACTATCTTACTATATATTATTATAATGATGTCGTATTACTGTATTATTGTAACTATCTTACTATATATTATTATAATGATGTCGTATTACTGTATTATTGTAACTATCTTACTATATATTATTATAATGATGTCGTATTACTGTATTATTACAACTATCTTACTATATATTATTATAATGATGTCGTATTACTGTATTATTACAACTATCTTACTATACATTATTATAATGATGTCGTATTACTGTATTATTACAACTATCTTACTATACATTATTATAATGATGTCGTATTACTGTATTATTACAACTATCTTACTATATATTATTATAATGATGTCGTATTACTGTATTATTACAACTATCTTACTATATATTATTATAATGATGTCGTATTACTGTATTATTACAACTATCTTACTATATATTATTATAATGATGTCGTATTACTGTATTATTGTAACTATCTTACTATATATTATTATAATGATGTCGTATTACTGTATTATTGTAACTATCTTACTATATATTATTATAATGATGTCGTATTACTGTATTATTGTAACTATCTTACTATATATTATTATAATGATGTCGTAATTACTGTATTATTATACTAATCTTCACTATATATTAATTATAATGAATGTCCTATACTGTCTTATTATAACTATCTTACTATATTTTTATAATGAATGTCGTATTACTGTATTATACAACATCTTACTATATATTATTATAATGATGTCGTATTACTGTTTATTACAACTAATCTTACTATATATTAATTATGATGAGTCGTATTTACTGTAAATTATTACAACTATCTTAACTATATATTATTAATGATGATGGTCGTATTACTGTATAATTACAACTCTTACTATATTATTTATATGATGAATGTCGATTACTGTATTATTACCACTAATCTTAACTATAATATTCTTATGATGATGTCGTATGACTGTAATTTTACAACTAATCTTTACTATATATTATTTGATGATGTCGTATTAAAACTGTAATTTTACACTCTCCTATCTATATATTATTATGATAGTCCGTAATTAAACTGTATTATTAACAACTATCTTACTATATATTATTATGATGATGTCGTATTACTGTACTATTATAACTATCTTACTATATATTATTATGATGATGTCGTATTACTGTACTATTATAACTATCTTACTATATATTATTATGATGATGTCGTATTACTGTACTATTATAACTATCTTACTATATATTATTATGATGATGTCGTATTACTGTACTATTATAACTATCTTACTATATATTATTATGATGATGTCGTATTACTGTATTATTACAACTATCTTACTATATATTATTATGATGATGTCGTATTACTGTATTATTATAACTATCTTACTATATATTATTATGATGATGTCGTATTACTGTATTATTAAAGTTTATTGTATTTTAAATATCTTATTCCTGTCATTCTGGCGAAGGATTCGCCCCAACTTGAGCCGGCGACCATCGTGAGACCGAGACCATTAGAACCAAGTGGTAACGAGGGTTGCTGTTTGGGTTTCACCCGGCGCCGCCCCGCTTGCGCGAAGAACTGCGGCGCGACCAGCAAATTCTGCGAACTGTTGAGCGAACCAAACAAATCGGCGCTCAGAAAAAAGTCGTCTTTTCGAGGCTCCATCATATATACTCTATGAAACTCCAATGAAACTCTATGAAACTCTATGAAACTCTATGCCTGTGTCATTGTTTATATTTCCACTGTGATACCAAGCCGACAGAGCTTGGTGCAAGCTCACCAGGTAAACGTTTTTTTTTCCACGTGAGGCACATTCCGACTGTCAGCGTCTCAAGCATTTCTCCATAATTTGTCTATCTTGTATCATCTTGTCCCTATGCACAACATCAACTCAGTTTCCGCTCTAATTGCGTCTAGTTGCGACAATCTTTCACTCTTTCAATTGAGGTCAATGCGTATGACAATGCTTGTGACTTTGAAGCCTGTTGGTCCTTTCAACAACTCGGAAATCGAAAGCCTGTATTCCACACAGCAGAAAATCTGACGCTCTCCAGCCATGGTGATTTGGCTTCGGGCCCTTGCATTGTGGAGCACCTTCCTCGGTGCATCTGCAACCTGTGAAGAACAAGATGTAAGGCCAGCCCACAAGAAGTACACAAAAAACTGCAAGCACCCTGACTTCACATACTTCACCTCTCAGTCTTCAGACTTTTTCGATCTCAGCGAAGAAGACTAGAGCTACTTTAACATCTACTAACACTACTAACCATGTTCAATCACCATCAATCACCATCAATCACCATGCTCCCTTCCCTTGTCCACCGCTCCAACTTCCTTGGTGAAACCTCGACAGGTTTCAGGGAGTCGAACTGTCCCTCTTGAGTAGGGGGCCTGAGATTTTGGGCGCTTAAGAAAGTCGACCGTGTATGGCCATGGCCAGCAGATTTGCCGTCTGTGTGCTTCCCATTTCAGTTTAAAATCATCATTCAGTATGATTCATAAGTTTACTTCTATATAAGTTTACTATACTTAGATTATTTTAATTCAATTTTAATTCAATACTTACAATGTGGGGCCCCCCAGTGATGCTTGTTGGTTTATAACCCCCATTAAGTATAGTTATTTGCGTACCATAAACCATAGTTATTGGAGTTATAAACCATAGTTCAATACTTCACAAAATCCAAAAATTGTCAATGTCCGGATTCACCGGATTCACCAGGAGACTTGAAGGATGTGGCTGCCTGCAGAGCCGCATGTGTCCGGCCCTCGGAACTCTTGAGTCAACGTCCTCCCGGGTCCGGTCCTGGGAATGTCATGATTTCCGAGGTCCAGACGCTGGCATGCCAACACTTCAGCTTCACAGAGAAACAGGTGGTTTCAATGACCAAAGTCCAACAAGTCCAACAGGCGCAGCAGGCCGAGCAGGCCGAGGCCGCCGAGCAGGCCGAGCAGGCCAAGCAGGACGCAGCTGAAGCAGCTGAAGCAGCTGAAGCAGCTGAGAAAGAAACGAAAGAGGAGAAGGCGGAGAAGGTACAGGATGAGTCGGATGAATTGCGAGCGGAGCAGAAGAAGTTGTTCGGGCAACTGAAGGAGAAATTCGTGGTCCTGTACTTATCTAACTCTATCTTTATCTAACTTTAACTTTGTCCAAAGATTCCAACATAAGATCTGCTTATAAGGTTACATGGGGGCCCCGCATATAGATTGACATAGATCATTTTTCTTTCTGATCTGTGGAGGGGCTATCATTCAATACATCGATTCTGTGTCGCCAATCCTCACCGTCAACTTTTGGGCAATTTTCCATGGAGGGAGACATCGAAGGCTTTTCGGCAATGCGCAACGCCCATTTTGTCGCCTTTTTGTATGCTTTGCCTCGTTTTCCAAATTACTCTACTGACATCTACTGACTCTGAACAAAATCTAGATCCTTTTTGTTTTGCACATATGTCGTATCACATCGTACATCATATCAGCTCGTATCATGTTGCATCATGTTGCATCAAGTTGCATCATGTGCCGTGCTCCAGGAGCGCCGCCTTGTAAGGCTCTCAGTGATTCGCGCTGTGGATCATCTGGGTTTCATGATTTTCATGTCCGTTTGCTTGGCACTGCAATCGCTGGGAGAGAGAGAGAGAGAGAGAGAGCTATGTGAGCTATGTCAGCTATGTCAGCTACGAAGCATCACGATCATCACACTGTATACACAGCTAATACTCAGCTGAGGAAAGTGGATTGGAGACGATTGCATGGAGCTGAGATGAGCTGAGTCTTGTCGCAAGATTTGCGGCAGAAACTGGGGACACGGGGACACGGTCGAGCTGGTCGAGCTGGTCGAGCTGGTGAGTTTCGAGTCGTTTCCCAGGCACCAAGCCTTTGTCTTCTGTTCGACTCTTCCAGCCATAAGGACACAACGGCATCCTGAAGTGTCTGATTTGTTATACGAAACCAATACATAGTAAACACATGTAAACACAATACATGAATGTTGATTGCATCTGGTAATTACTCTTGAATGAAGTTGTTTTTTTGTGTGTCAGTGTCAGTTTTGCATTTGTTTCAATGTCGGCCTTTTCGCACTTTCAATGTGTCGGCAGTCGGCAGCTCGTTGTCGAATACCGAGCTGTGCTGATTGAGGAGTCTGTAGATCCGAGCACCAAAACAGTCTCAGGCGGAAGAAAGTTGTCGTGTGCATATGCTGAATGCTGCTGGAACATTCTTGGAGCCAGACATGTTTTTTTTGCATGCTCTTGCATGGAGGGAGGGGGGGAGGCATTAAAAGTACTTGCGAAGCAATAATTTTTCTATGGATCAATACCTATAAATAGCAATTCAATAGCATTTTTATGGGGATGATCCATAAGTCCCAGCTATTTTATGGCTATTTTATGGCTATAGATTTTGCCGATCCGATTCGCCAAGTGCCAAGTGCCAGGCTCTGTCACTTGCCCCGCCAGTGCATCTCGGCCAACTCTGGGGAACGTGGAGGTCCAAGAGCTCTTTAAAGAGGCACAGAGAGGTTTTGCCCAATTTTTTTCGCCGTTTTTCGACGCCAAAAAGACAGGTGTCAACTGCTTGATATTCGTCACCAGCGAATTCTTGACTCTATAACTATCTATAACTTCTTAATAACTTCTTAATCAAATCCACTGTGTCACATTATGTCACAATGTTCATCTGCTTTGGATTTCGGCATCGATCTTCATTGATCTTCATCGATCTTCGATCAGGTGGATCGTGGTTCTGCCGCGCCTAGCGATGTATTCCTTCAAAGTGGTCCTCGGCCAACGAATGCCTGGTGCTGGAGCTCAGATGTTTCAGAGACGATAGCGGCGTGGCTATTGGCATCTCTTCGGATGCGGAGTATTCGATGGTTTCAACTTGGCAATGCAAAGGCTCCAGTGGCTCCAGGGTAGATTTTTTTTGCGCCTCTTGAGATTTTCAATTGGACTAAAACTGGAGGTATGTTTGCTGGGTTTTGAGCTTCGCTTTTTTTCTGGTCAGATGCTTCAAAGTGAGGTTCGCATTTCTCATATTTTCAGGTGGTCGAACACCTTCATCAACAAAAATCTGGGTTCTCCATCCAACTTCCTCACTCAGATGTCGAGACCTAAGCGGCAGACTCTGAGCTGGGCACTGGGAAGAGCCTGGAAGATCAACGTCTGATATTCACAGTGTCACACTCCAGATTACTTCGGTACGTAATTTTTGAAAGTCGATTTGCTTTTTCAAGCATTTTGGACCATTGGATATATTGGATTAGCGGTAGATTTGGGTCGGTTTGGGTTATGCCAAGGCCGTACATTATTGGCAGTGACAAGAAGGGTGCCTGGTGGCCCAGATTTCTGCACCGCCCACTAGCAGCGATCGTGTGATTTGAAGAGTTCGAGTTGCTCGTTTGGCATTCCGAGATGACCACTGTTGGCTCAAGTTGCTCCGGCGTGACATCAAGCAATGTTTCAACAGCAACTTCAAGATTACATGAAGGAGATTACCATACGCCTTTGTTGGAAACAAGACTTCAAACCGAAAGAAAGTGAATTAAAGAAAGAACCACCGAATGCATACCTTCAGAAAGAATACCTCCATGCTACTTCATTCAAAGGTGACATAACATTCCTCGGTCAAAGAATGTAGCATTGCTCAGAGCTTGATGGTCGGGGCTCTCTCCACAATGCGGTGGGACAAGTGTTGTATTGGTCGAACTGTCCAATGTTTCAATAATTAACATCATGATTTTCTCATGATCTAATGAAATATGTTAACTTATGATGATTCAACTCGTTACACATCAGTTGGCCCACTCAATCCGTGGCCAGGCATGCCCATGTGGCCCATGTGGCCCATGTGGCCCATGTGGCCCATGTGGCCCATGTGCATCATTTTATCGATTGGCATCGCCCCTGGTCATCGTTCTTTGAGGCCCCGAGACACTTTGATCGGGATGTGCTAAAGCTGCTGCAGCCATCTAGGCTTAGCGTTTTTTTTTCTTCTTTTCTGGGGTCAGGAGGATTCTCAGATATCTAAGTATCATTCAGTATCATAGAAACTCCTGATAGCAGAGTATCAAAATGTGCAGTGGCAACATCAAAACAAAAACAACTGCCTTGCGTCTTTCTGTGCAACACGGCATCAAGCTTCGGATTTTTCCTCCCCAGGATTTGCTGTCCCAAAAAGCTCCTGTGCATCGCTCGTGGCAAGTCGAGTGATCGTTCCAGGATCGAAAAGCTCACGAGTTCATTGCTGGAACCGTGCAGAAGCTAAAGATGCTTCCACATCCGGTGCACTACCACGAAAAGGCGGCGGAGGCATTTCAGCACCGGGGTGTTGTGTAAGCTGCGGTGAAAGCTGAAAGCTGATGTAACTTTTCAATACTTTTCAAGTATTGCGAGATGGAATCAGTATTTTCAATATTTTTCAATGTGATACCAAGTGATACCTTGATCATCCTTGATCTATTTCGTCAAGCGGCTCCGAAAAGGCTCCGGTGTTGCCCGTTGCGGAGGCGGGTTGGCTTCACATGTCCATCAGATTTCTTGGTTGTTCAACACCGATTTTTGTGCATAGTTGTCTCGCAACAAGGAATTGCTCACATGAATTAACTATAATTAACATATATTTGATCTATTTTGATCCTGCAGGAAGCACCGGAAGAGCTGCCAAGAGCCGCTCGGCCATGCTGGTCCCGAAGTTGAAGTTTCCCTTGTCACGACCCGTGGCGCACTACCAAGGTGCGAACTCTTGACGATGAAGACAATGAACGTTTCGAGGTCCAACGTGACCCACAGATGAAACGCTTGGGAGCTGAGCTGCTTGGCTGAACTCTGTTGAAATTGCCTCTAGCCAAGTACTTCAGACATCTTCAGACCTTCAGCAAAACCTTCATGGGGTTTTTTCCAGGTTGGATGAAAAGCTTAACAAGCTCGAGGACTGTTGCGAAGCTCTTGGGCTGGTTGCGCTGGGCTGTTGGATGCTGTTAAAAACTCTGAGTTTTGTGACTCGTGTAACAGGACAGATTGCTCACAGGTGTCGCGGCCTTAGACGCAAATGCATACAGCTCCACGCATGACGGACGTTGGTCCTTCAATCAAGGCAGCGAATTGCAGAGGATGCATGACTACTTTGAGTCACCAGTTTATTGAGTAGAGACAGTATGATGCTGATCATTTTAGATCATTAATATATAAGTATATATAATATATATAGATATATACATATCATTTTAGATCATTTTGGTGTAGCCTTTCCTAAGGATCTTCAAAATGTGGTCGTGCCACTTCCTGCAGCTCTGCCAGCCAGCTCAGTGCGCTGCCGCAAGAAGCTTTGAAGAGGTTCAGAGTGTTGTTTTTCGTCAGTGTTTTTCTGGCCAAAGCCCTTTGTCACGGAAGGTACGAATCCTGCAGGGCAAACCTTCGAATCATGGCATGACGACGGTGTTGCAAGTTGTGTCTATTTTCCCTGGAGATTTCTGATATTTCTGCACAATGCAGAGTTGTTTCACTTCAGCATTGATGACATTAAGGATGGTAGATCCGAACCTTGGCAATCCAAGCAGCGAGATTGTGACAGCCTCAGAACTATCTCGTCAACGTGAGCTGTGTGCCCTTTGAGAGCCTTGAGGTTTGAGTAGCTGTGAGTAGCTGTGAATAGCTGTGGCTGACATTTTGTGGCTGACATTTTCCTTGCCTAGTCATACTATGTCATACTATGTCAGTGTCACGAGTTGAGGATGATTTGCTGCAACGAGTGGACACTGTGCAGACAAAGTTCATCCGGGGACCCAAGTCAGATCGCTTGGAGGCGTGGTTTTATCACAGCATATACAGCATGCCATGGCGAAATGCTCGTGAGATGCTGGTGAGATGCTGGTGAGATGCTCGTGAGCTTCGGCCAGGCGCTCCCTACTTCTGCATTTCAGGCGCGGCGGGCGCAAGTTCCGCGGCAAGTTGCTCATGAAATCCTGGGGTTTTCCATGGTTTTCCTGGGGCGAGTGGCAAGGCATAGATGTGCGAAATGATATGACAAAAACATTCTAGAAATCCAAAGACACAGAAAGGAAGTCATAACTCATATAATTAATTGATATTATTTGTTTATAGAATTGACATATTATATGTTAAGTTTAACTGTTGATTGTAGTAAAATACCATAGATTGTCCAGACATCATTCACTGATGCTTCGATAGCCAACAAAAACATCCCGTGGTGACTCCGTGCATTGCGCAGCACCAACAAGAGCCATCGTTTTTCAACGCCCAAATCTGAATGGAAATATATGAAACTTATGAAACCTTCAGTCATGGAGAAACCTGAACTTTAATCAATGGATTGGATTAAGGGAAAATTTACAGGAAAGCCCCATATTTAATGGGAAAATCTATGGTTTCCTGTAAAATTTCACCGAGACACATTTCAATACATTTCTCCGAGACAGCCGGTGAGTTTGATCCATTTTGATCCGCGAAACGCAGCATCCGAGACAGCCAGGTCACCAGGTCAGCGTTTCGAGAAGCAAACACTCTGGCAGAAACAAGGCAAACAAGGCAAGGTATGGCAAGGTATGGCAAGGTATGGCAAGGTATGGCAAGGTTCAATTCCTCTAACCATCTCTAACCCTCCACTGAGTCAAAGAATGTCAAAGAGAAAGCCGAAAAATCCGGTTCTGTGCCCCTTGCCATGGAATGGGAAGGATTTCCTTTCTTGGCCGTGGGCTTAACGCTGTGGCGGCCGTGGCGGCCGTGGCCGTGGCGTTCGCGAAGAAAATCGCCGATGGCTCCCCAGGCATCTTGGATTGTTCCTACAGCGAGGATTGGAACGACTTCCGAGAAACCTTCCGAGAGAATGCGGCGCAGGGATTTCCTCACAGCGAGGATGTCTTCAATAAAGCTGACCGCCTCATAGCCCATAATATCTTGACATTCTTGGAGTTTCACAGATCCAAATCCAATGCGTTTTTTCACGATTGCGACCGGGAGGCACCAGAAGGCATGGTGTGTCTCTATGGCATGTTGTCTGCGCTGTTTGTCCATCACATTTACTTGCGAGGAAATGCAATCAATCATGCTGCCAGTGGCAATGGATCGCTTGCCGATGGCAGAGATGGCATGGCAGAGGTTTTTGGATTGTCAACTAAGCTGGCGAGGCTTTTGATCATCAACAAGAACAACTGCCTGGATTTCTTCGATTCCTCCAATTGGCCTTTGACGTTGGCGCAGCTCATTGCTACTCTGCGCCCAGGTGATGTTTCCGAGGAGCTCCTGGCACCGATCCTGGCCGAACAGAAACCCGTTCAGTGGCGGCTGCCGCAAACCATTTGGCCGAAGCCTCCAGAGGATCAGCCCTTGATTTGTTACATCACTGGGACCCATGCTGCCTTGGCACGTGAACCTGCTGAAATGCTAAGTCGTTTTGCTTCAAGCTTATTGGGATTCAGCATCGCTGCTGTCATGGAAGTGGCAGATGAGACCCATTGTGGTTTCTTAGGCTGTGCCGATGCAGGTGCCGATGGTGCCGCAGGTGCCGTGCTTCCTGCGTTGGGCCTCGATGGCATCGGTTTCGAGGCCGTGGGCCTCAGTGACTTGGCTCGGAGGCACTTGCGACCGCGCTGGACGGGTCTGGACATCGTGGACTTCACGGAGTTCGCCGCGGAATTTCAACGACGCTTCCGGCAGCATGCCATGAGCAGAGCCATGGACATCGGAGTTTGTACGTCTCCTGCGGTGCTGTGTTTGTTGCTCTTGCCTTTTGAAAAGCCACTCTTGGGCTATTTGGGTGAGCCATTGCTATTGGCTGTGGATGGAAACACCCGAAATCAATGGTTTCAGCAGTTCCGCAGTATGGTCACAGCTCCACAGCATTTCTTCGCTTGTTACAATCCGTTCCTGTCATCCATGATTGAGTACCAGACAGGCTTGGCCTTGCCGATCATTCGACTCCATGGCCTCTACACACAGGTCTCTGCTGGTTACGGAAGAGTCCAAGACTCTCGAGACGAGATCTTGGTTGTGAAAGGACCAAATATTTGCATCGACTCCGTTTGCTTATTGAATCGTTTCATGCAAAACCTTGCGAATGATCCGAAGGACCCGAATAACCCAAGCTCCGTGGTGAAGTTCATTGGTTTGGATGAATTGGGCGGTGCTCCTTATGAAGTTTTGGTTTCTTTCAAGGCGACGGTGCTGTATCCTTATGATGTCGCGCTAGCGATCTTTTATGAGATCTACACGATGTGTATGCCTTTGCTTCTTCCCAGCGAAGAGCTGCTTCCTTTCTTCGTTTTCCGTGGCTTGCATAGCAATGCTGAGTTCCATCACAGTGATCCATATACTCCCGACAAGCAAAACATGACCTTGCCACCCTTCGTGCCAGCGATGGATCCTGCCAAGTGGTTCTATGCTGCTGGTCCCTGGAGCTCTCGCACGGATTTTGCCAAGTTTCCACACCTGTTGCGTTTCAGCAGTGTGGCGGACCTGTTCGCTTTGGTATCTAACACCGACTGGTCCAAGGTCTCTCGACAGATGCAACGATTTAACGAGGAGACGCTGGTGCAGTCAGCCGCAGCATGGGCACATGCCGTAGCCGCCGTAGCCGCCCTCTCTGTGCTCTGAGATCGGCCAATGGGATGGCACCGAACGGAAACTCAGAGTGAACTTTGGAAAAAAACCCGCCAACCTTTACCCAAAAGATCCAAAAGAAATCTGAATCTGAGATTTCTTTCTAGATTTCTATAGAAATCTATAGATTTTTCCAGTTTTCCAGTTTTATAATGTTTTATATTCTTTTTTGTTCTTCAAAATCTTCTGTGGAGACTTTGCGGCAAACAGTTTGGCTTCGAGGTGACGCCGAGGGATGCAGGCAGCTCAGGGAGCTCCGATCTGTATCTCTAAATGATGGGCTAATGATTCGCTAACGCTTTCATACAATTAGGCTAGATCTGTATAGAATATCTGAATATCTTTAGTAATTCTGTGTCATTAAAATGGCACTATCTATGTCACCCCAACGACATTTCACCGTCAGAAGTTGGTTCAAGTTGCACTGAGGTCTTAGCGTCCTTCCTGGTGTGACAGCTCCGCCGAGAAAATCTCGGGATGTGCAAAAGATGTCGGCCGCGCACGGATTGCACTGAGATGAGCGGTGTCTAAGATTGGATTTCACCATATTTCACCTCTCAGTCTACAGATTTCAGATTTTTGAAGATTTGCAGATTAATTTTGCATACTTTTTGCATATTTTTTTGCCTCAGGTTCATGTGATGCAACCCTTCATGACGTCACCGGGCATGGAGGAGTTTCAGCATGGCCCGGGTCGCAGAAACATCGCCGCATCCGCCGCGTATAGCGTGGCGCCGCGACGACCGAGGTCTGGGCGTCTTCCTTGGAGCTGAAGGCGATCTCACAGGCGCTGTATCTCTCCACAATGGTTTCCACGAAGTCACCAAGTATACAGATAAACTTTAGATAAACATATGATAAACTTTAGATAAACATATGATAAACATATGATAACCATATGATAAACTTTAGATAAACATATGATAACCTAGGTAAATTATGGTAAATTCATGTAAATGAGTTGAATTAAGCCATAACCATATAGCCATAGCCCATCTCAATGTTTCCAGGCCCATCTGCGGATGCATGGGATGAAGCTTGTGTGACACTCACCTACCGTGGGCCCAGCCCGGGTCAGGCAAGGATGGGTGCAACCGGTGCAACCTGAAAGGAAGACATTGATGATCTCGTCAAGGGTGGTGAAAGGATGCAAATGATGTCTTGGATATTTTGGATTCTGAACACATTCTGAACAGCGTTAGATTTTTTTGTAATTTGTAATTTGTGCAAGCTGTATGCTGCAATTGCTGCACGAGTTATCGGATACGACGTACCATGATGTGCCATGAAGATCATAATAAATCATGAACATCAAGACGTTTTTTTTTTTAAAACAGATGTTTTTTTCAAACCCGTCGCAGGCCATGACTTTCCCCTCTTGCCGCGGTTCTGCTTATGTCACGGCTGAGCTTCGGGGCTTGAAGCCATTCATCTCCTCGGATTTGCCATTGGCAGTTGCAGCACCCAGAAACAGACAGAAACAGAAACACCACAGCTGTGTCACTTTTAAGTCACTGTCAGCTAAGTGTCACTTGCTGGTCACTTGCTGGTCACTTGCTGGTAACTTCGAAGGTGCACTCAAAGTCACTGACCAGACTCTGATTTTGCGAAAAGAAGAAAGCTCTTCGTTGGTATAATTCCGTTCTGCAATCCTGACACGCCGAATTTTCATGGCCATTCACATTATCTGGTTGGTGGTTTGGAACATTTTTTATGAACAGCTTGAACGAATGTTCATTGCTCTTTGTTTAAACTCTGAGTGTAAAGTGACACATGTTGATGTGGAACGGCCATTGCTTTTCAGTTCGAAGGGTAGGGTAGGGTGGGATCCACTTTATGTTGATGTCAATGAACAGATGAAGAGGGGCTTTGGTGATGTTTCTCCAGGGGATGAACCCTCTTCATCATCAGCCGGTGTGGCTGCGGCGTTAGATAGGGCCACCTCAATGGGTTCTTTCGTATTCAATGGAAATATGCCATGGGAATTGACTCCAGCCTTGCGTTTTGTATTTTCAGATGAAAGTGAAATCGGACCAGCATTGCCGTCCATTCCTCGCAATTTGCCTCCTGTCCCAGCATTGAAGAGTGAGTTGGAGATAAGTGTTGAGCACAAAAAGGCTAGCATACAGCGTCGATGTTATTCAGTGGCAGAAAACTTGTCAGATGAAGACAGGGCAAATGTGCTTCTGCGTTGGGTGGATTTGATCCTTATGTGTCCCACCGGAACGCGAGTGGGAAGGCAGATTTTGGAAGATTTTGACAGATGCCAAGGAAGTGACAAATCAGATGAAGCGTCCAAAAGCTTTCAAATAGTGGCCGACTCGTTGCGGGCCAAATCTACAAGCACATTGAAACTCCGAGCAAATTCCTTTGTCTTGTACGTCAAATGGTATCGAGACACACATGGTGATGAGCCTTTCCTGCCCTTGGTGGAGGGGCGCGTTTATGATTATGTTTGTTTTCTCCGATCCAAAGCATGTTCAGCGTCGAGGGCCTCTACATTTGTGAGTACCCTCAACTTTGTGGAAGCTGTGCTTGGTGTTGAAGGCGTGACAGAGTGTGTGAACTCATCCCGCATCAAGGGAGCCGCTTTGGAAATGTTCTTATCCAAAAGGACAATGAAACAGGCGCCGCCACTGACGCCTGAAATGATTGCAACGATTGAGGTGGCTTGCTTTTGTGAGCCGGACACTTTCTTGCGGGCACTGGCTGGGTTTTGCCTATGTTGCATCTTTGGCAGATTGCGCGTCTCGGACTTAGCACGATTGGTGAACCTGTCCAGCAATGGAGAATACGCGGAAGGATCGCTGATGCGAACCAAGACAGCAAGATCAAAAGAAAAGCAGTGCACTTTTCTGCCAGTTATTTTTCCCTGCGTGGGGTTCATTGGCTTGAATTGGTTCCAAGCGTTTTGTGCAAGTCGGAGATTTTTGGAATTACCAGAGTTTCCAACTCTGGAATCGGATGCGTCTGACAAGAGCTTTGTGGTTTTGCCAAGTCGTGCTACTTGCCACTTGGAGCTTGGGAAGAAGATAGGGTCCACTGAAGTCAGCGAGGGCTTGCGAAGAATTTTGGGAAATTTTTCTCTGAGGAAATGGTAGGAATGTTTACTAGCCATTCAATGAAAACAACTCTCTTGACCTATGTCAATATCTACGGATGTGATTACACCGTAGCGGAGCTTCTGGGGTACCATGTCACGTCACACTTGAGTGCCTTGAACTATCAACGGGATGCTTTGGCCCAGCCTATTCGGATTTTAGCCACGGTTCTCAAGGAGATTCAGGTGGGGCGTTTTGACCCCACGGCAAGCCGTGGGCAAGCCTTTCCTTCGGCTACATACACGCCGCCTGTGGTTGAAAAGCTTCAGAAAGTTCTAAACAAGACAGTGAATGAAATGGCTGAAATTTTCATGGGGTTCGATCCCTCCTCTGACATGGACATGTTTGGAAATTTTGAAATGAGATCTATGTGGGAACTTATTTGCAAAGAGCCTGTGATTGTAGGAACAAGCAACGAACCCATGCTGTTTGGCGCAATTGGGACCGAACTTAGGGAAGTCCAAGACAGCAGCGACGAAGACTCTGACTATTCAGATTCTGATTCTTCTTCGGCTGAGAGTGCCATGGCAGAGGCATCGGTCAGCATGAGACAAGGCACGTTGGTGAAAAACATGTCAGACAGAGCCTTGCCGCACGTCATGATCAGACATGCGCGCACTAGAAGGCTGCACCTAGGAAACAAAGACGATGAGCTCAAAACTGCTTGCGGTCGCGGAATCACTGAAGCATATGAGAAGTTTCTAGGGAACCCAGACAAATGCTGGCCACATTGTGTGCATTGCTGGGGAAATTTTAATCCATAAATGTTGATGTTCGACACACGGAGCGCGGGAAAGATGTTTGCCTGCCTCTCATGTTAGTTGCAACTCTTTGCAAGAAGTTGATGATGTTGATGGGCCGTTTCGTGTTGTTGTGTAGTGCTAGGTCGCACAGTCACAATACACTCTTTATTTATGGGACATGGTGTGTGGCTGACCTAGCTGTGAGGCAAACCCCCTGGAAAATGCAAAGAGAACGGCTGCTGCATGCCGAGTTCAAGGCTCCTTAGCGGGTGTCGCGGGGAGTAATGTTATGTTGAAGTGGCACAACCGGTTTTTAGCATCTGCAAAGTGTAAGGTTTTCTTTGTTGTTTTTCCCTTCATGTGGTCACTCAAAACAACAGAAGCCAATGTGGCTAATGAAACATGGGTGCCATGCAGTTGCACGGGCTCAAGTCGCCGCGTCTTACAGATGCTTGACAGTGAAGCAGATTTTCAGGCTAGGGCCAAAGATGTTGGCCTTAGCCAGACTGAAGTTGATAATCTGAAGAGAATAGGGTATGCTACTTTTGCTAAACTAGCATTCTCCAGTAGCTATGTGCCTGGGCAGGCGGACGAAGGTCCCTTGAAAATGCTTGCCGCAGAAGTGACAGGAATCGACCCCTGCCCGCCAGTTCGGCTCGCCTTGGTTCGAAGGCTTGTCTTCGAAAGTTACACGTTAGCAGCAGCTGACTTGCGTATGAAAATTTCCAGGACTAGCGATGATGCTCCCCGAAAACTGGCCACAGCTGAACGAGCGTCGAGATACGCAGACCAAGTTGCCAGACTCCCAGGAATTGAGATGTCTGGAGAGCAAGAACCCAGTCATAGCTTGATCGATGCAATCTACCACATGTCTGAAGAAGGTCAACTACGGTATGTGAAATGGGATGAATGCACCAAGCGTGACCAGGAGCTCATGGGACTGAAGTCTGACCCGGTGTGGAAAGCAGACGCCTCGGGAATTATTCGCGAGACAAAGGTGAAAGAGGCGCTCACAGCCGAGTATGACACGGACTTGAAGCTCCGTTTTGCGCTACAACGAAGATCATTAGCCTTTGACCAGGCGCGATTGGTCGACTACCAAGACTTTGAAAGATGGTCTCAAATTTTGCTAGAGGCCTACACGGCCCCGGCCATGGAAGGTTACCAAAAAGTGACGATTGAGCAGTTGCACCGTGCAGATTTGCAACTGTTCAAAGTTTTGATTCGGGAAACAAGAAATGGAATCAAAGCAGTCGGTACCAGACAACCCATGGCAGAGGCCTTGAAGGAGGCAATCAAAGCACCAGAAGTGCGTCTTTTGCTTCAGCCCTTGCAAGGAGGTGTCAAGCGCAAACTGGACCATTCCGAAGTTGACAAATCTCCTGCGCTTACGGCCCCTTCAAGTTCCGGCAAGAAGGCCAACACGGAGACTGAGAAGCTCAGGCGGCAAGTTGAAAATCTTCAAGGCCAACTTCGAAACATGAACAAAGGGAAAGGCAAGACCGGCAGCTCTGGGTCTTTAGGTGGAAAGTCCGCTGGAAAGAGCAAAGCTCGAATGATTCGCATGCCGCCAGGCCTCATAGGAATGTCGCCTACGAATGAAGAAGGAGAGCCACATTGCTTTGACTTCAACCTGAAGGGCTGCCCCCGGGCAGACCCAGGGGGTTGGTGCCCTAAAGGCTGGCACCGTTGCATGGTTCCAGGCTGTGGAAAACCTCACAGTCAGAAGGAACACAAATGAGAAACAGCTACCAGCTCTGAGACCGCTGATTCTTTCAAGAAGAAATTTTTCGGAGCACCTGTTCAGAATTTGGTATGTATAGAACTGTGTGCTGGAAGTGGAAAGCTATCCGGCGCCCTAAAATCATTCGGTTTCACTACGCTTGCCATTGACCACTCCAGGAACAGGCATAACCAGCGGCATCCTACAGTATGTGTTGATCTTGCGGATGATGAAAGTGTAGAGCTTGTGCTTAAACTTTCTGAAGGACAGGGTCAGATGCTTTTCTATATTCATGCCGCCCCGCCTTTTGGAACAGTCAGAACCCGCGAGAGGCGGGATTCCAGCAAGCGGAAGAGACGAGGTGCACCGGAACAGAAACCCCTGCGAAGCAGCAAGTTTCCTGAAGGATTGCCGTCACTTTCTGGTGCAGACTTGGCTAGAGTTTCTACCGCCAACAAGATTTTTCAAAATGTTTGCAAGATTTTGAATGCTTTCAAAGATGTTGCGCTGATTAGTATTGAAAACCCTAGGCATTCATACATGTGGGATACAATTTGGCTGAAACAGCTCATCTCCGATGCCAAACTTTTTCCTGTTGATTATCAACAGTGCATGCAGGGTGGGGACAGGGACAAATGGACCCGATTTTTCTGCAACCATGCCGCGTTTTCTGTCCTGGCAAGGGAATGCGACCGGCGCCACCATCACAAGCCCTGGAAGCTCGAGGAACTGGAGGACGCTGGCGTATTTCACGCAGCTGCTGAATCTGAATACCCTGACGTGTTGTGTAAAAATGTTTCAAATCTTATTGCAGGTGTTGCAAACGATTTGGGTGTTGTCATGCAGTCGCATAACAAAAGAGCAAAACGCACCATCTTATCTAAAGTTCGTGCAGCAGAAGCGGGTCGACAACCACGCGGCAATTTGTTGCCGCAAATCTTGTCGGAATTCAAGTATGTTGCTACTGTTGACCCTGCAGTTGTTCAATCTTTAACCCCTGGTTTGCTGAATCCAAACCAATGCCAAATGCTGTCTTGTCGTTTTCCTGCTAAGCTTCTGCCTGTAAAGCTGGGGGAAGACGGGGCAGAAGTTCATCAAATTGGAGTCTTTCGAACGCCAAACGAGTTTGTCAATGAGGCATTGGGGTTAAATCATCCCTTCGACTGTTCTAGTTCAATTTCTGATGACGCGAAGCGCGCAATTTTTGCACTTTTCACGGAAGGGCCCTCTGGAATTAAAGCAATGAGGAACGAGGCCTTCAATTTCTATGAGAGTTTAGGTGCAAGGCTTGAGGCTGAGGAGCAGGCTTTACATGCTGGTTTGGATGCAAACCGCGCGTCTATTTTGAACGGCAAGAAGTTGCTGATTTTTGACCGGTTATGTAAAGACGCTGGGGTAGAGGACCAAGGGTTGTTAGCCCTCATGCTAAATGGTACAAGGCTCACTGGGGAAGCTGGCTACACAGGATTGTTTTCAACTGAAGTAACGTCGGCGGCTATGTCTGAATGCCAGCTGATGCAGTCGTCGAAGTGGACCAGAAGAAAGATTTTAGGAAAAGGTTTGAAAACCTCAGATATTGAGGTGCGACACATCGTTTGGGAAAATGCTTTTTCCGAAAGGGACAAAGGCTGGCTCAGAGGACCTTATACAGAAGAGCAGTTGAAGCAAGAGTTGGGTCCACTATTTGTCATTTCAAGGCGTTTTGGCTTGTCGCAATCTGACAAAATCCGAGCTATTGATGATATGTCTGAAAGCTTGATAAATGCTTTCTTATTCTTCGACCTACCGATTGGACCTTCCTGGCATTGATGGTGTCTCGGTTTTGGCGCGTACCTTGCTAGATAGTGTGAGTGACTCTGGATTTGTGAGCCTGGGGTTGAGTGATGGTAGTATCCTTAGGGGTAAGTTACATGAGTCCTTGACGGTTGAGAGTTCACGGCGTATCGTGGGAAGAACGTTGGATCTAGATGCTGCTTATAAGCAAATGTTGGTTGCCAAAGAAAGCTTGTGGTGCTCTGTGATTGCGGTCGAAGACAACAACGGGGACAAACAACTGTTTGTTTCGGACGTATTACCGTTTGGCGCGTCAGCGTCTGTGTTTGCGTTTAACCGATTGGCTCGTGCACTGCAACTTATTGGCGAAAGGCTTTTTGGTTTAATATGGCTGAATTATTTTGACGATTATCCACAGTTGGATATTGCGGCTTCAGGGTCGGACGCACAACATGCGGCGGAGAGATTATTTGATTTGGTTGGCTGGAGGTTTTCAACAAAGGATAGCAAAAGACAGCCTATTGCATGTACTTTTGATGTTCTTGGTGTTTCCTTTGATTTTAAAGATTGCTCACGGGGGAGGTTCGTTGTCAAGAATAAGAAGGCCAGAATAGAACAAGTGGTTTCGGAAATCGACGATGTCCTTAGGTCAGGTGAATTGTCTAGCCACAGGGCAACTTCTTTGCGAGGAAAGCTGCAGTTTGCTGAGACACACACGTACGGAAGGGCATTATCTGCACACCTGAGATGTTTCCAGCAACGAGCCAGTGGGAAACTGTTGGGAACAAGTATTCCTGAAACATTACGACTTGAGCTCCTGTGGGCCCGAAGCTTCATGTTAGAGGATAGGCCAAGGGTTCTACATTCCGGGACAGGAAACAGAAAGTTGATTGTTTTTACAGATGCGTCGTTAGAGGACCATGATAATAGCGCCGGTATAGGTATGGTGGCTTTTGCTTGCATTGATGATCTCATCACCGAGAAGTTTTTCTTCAGTGAAAAGGTCCCCGCTGATCTACTAAATGCATGGCAGAAGAACACGAAGAAGGTCATTGCTACGCTAGAGCTGTTCGCGGCGCTAACTGCCATATGCATGTTGTCAACGCGTTTTCAAGGTTGGAGAATATTCGCATATGTTGATAATGAAGCTGCCAGATCCTCTATGATTTCGTTGTATAGTCCTTTACTTGTCAACAACAATATGCTCAAAGCGCTGAGTGAAGTTTCTATGGCGTACAGCCTCTTCGTGTGGACGGCAAGGGTACCTTCAGCAAGTAACCCATCTGATGCTCCGTCCAGAGGTAAATACGATCACTTAGTGAGCGAGGGTTTTCAAGCTTTGATTGTGTCTTGGCCAAAGGCCGATAGATTTTAGCGCAGCACGAGTAATATGTATACCCCCAAGAATGATGTTGGATGTCCTTTACACTGCTTGCATGTTGAAGAGGGGTATACCGGCAAGCTTTGTTATGTTACAATTCCCGGGGGGTGTCCCTGGAAATTCTTTTGCCTTGCCTGATGTTGATGTTGTCTGCTCGAAGGAGACCGCGACAGGACTGCCCCGTTTCGAAAAAGGACAAGATCGTCCGTCTTGCAAGCAATGGGAAAGGAAGCGTTTAACAAGAACAGCTTGAACGAATGTTCATTGCTCTTTGTTAAACTCTGAGTGTAAAGTGACACATGTTGATGTGGAACGGCCATTGCTTTTCAGTTCGAAGGGTAGGGTAGGGTGGGATCCACTTTATGTTGATGTCAATGAACAGATGCCCGCCCCCCCGCACCAATAGGGGGGTATACCGGCAAGCTTTGTTATGTTACAATTCCCGGGGGGTGTCCCTGGAAATTCTTTTGCCTTGCCTGATGTTGATGTTGTCTGCTCGAAGGAGACCGCGACAGGACTGCCCCGTTTCGAAAAAGGACAAGATCGTCCGTCTTGCAAGCAATGGGAAAAGAAGCGTTTAACAATTTTCCATATTTTTTTGAATAATAATCCAGAGGGGTTCAAACCACCAACCAGTCAGATATTCTCATGGGGAAGGGCCATGGTGTGCCAAGGTTCCACACGAGATTCGTGTGGATGGCAAGGCCGTCGCATGCGGAAATTACAATTTCGTTCAGGGGAAGGACCAACGGACCAAGCATTTTCAACCATTTTCAACCAAAACCCTGGGAAATTGAAGATTAGAGATGTCTTCTTGATGTCTTCTTGATGTCTTGACATTCTTGGCATTCGATATCTTGATTTCTTTCTCGAATTCGGTGATCAATTCGTTGAATCTGTGCCTTGTGCAAGGAGATCGAGTTCACTTTGAGCACCGGCGACAGCTGGATCGCGTTCTTCCCTCCGGGCATGGGATGGGTAGCAGCCTTAAAAAATCAGATGAACATGATGAACTCAACTTGGATAACTTGGTGCACGATGCTGCACGAACATGTCTTGCTATTGATTGCTGACACAGACAGACATCAGCTCGAAAACACACACATGGCTATGGATCAATATCTATTAATGACATCCATAAATCCCAGCTATTTTGGCGCCCAGAGACTCCGACTCCGAGAGACTCCATGACCCCATGACTTGCCAAGACCTGTGAAAAACAGCCCTTTCGCTTGGCAGCTGCAGAGATCGCACCAGCGAGAGGCAGTGGGCAGCTGCTACAAAAGTGTGCTACATCCGTGCTATACGCGTGTTTTTTTCGCTGCTGAGGCTTCAACGAATCCAGTGAATTCACATGAATTCACAGTTCTTTTCGTTGAGGTGTGGTGGTTCGCCTTGCAATGCTCAAGGGCAAGACTCCAGTTGATGCGAGCTGGGGCGACCTGTTGCGGCAACATGCTGGAAGCTATCCAGCCGGTGCCTGCAGATACAGCAACTGACAGATACCAGCAGAGAGATACCAGAGTCCGAAAAAAGTACTGTTACTATAGATGATTATAGATGAGTACTATAGATATCTATAGATCATAGATATTGATGATGATCATAGAATTTCATAGATGCAGCTGATGGCTGCCTGGATTTGCTTCACGATTTCTTGCATTTTCGAGTCGAGGTGGCGAGTGGCGCCGATTATGTCGCTCACATCAACTCCGAAACCGCTCAGGCCTGGCGGCCAGGCCGATCAAGCCGTGGAAGTCACAGGACTGGACGCTACCGAAAAAGGCGCTTGCCATTTGGGCAACCCATCCATATATATAACATACATAACTTGATATAATTTGATATATATATATATAATATATAATATACACCCAAATCATCGCGGAAATTCCCAGGTGATCTTCGACTGGGGAAACCACCGAAGGAACATTCCTGGATATCCACAGGCGCCGGCAGAGCGCCCTCAGCGTTGAGCTGCGATGTACCCCCAAATCATCCAAGCTGACTTGGGGATTTTTTGAGAAACCATATTTTGATATTACCCTCTGGTTATGACTAACATAGCTATTGAAAATGGCCATAAATTATAGTGAGTTTTCCCATTTAAAATGGTTATTTTCCACAGTTACGTTAGTTTACCAGAGGGTATTTTGATATTATTTTCTGTTTTCCAAGAGAGACACACTGTGTGACACACCGACATTCGCCAGTCCGACGTGCTGCAGCTCGTTTGGCCAAACCATGTTTCCTTGCTGTCGGAAGAGGCACCAACGGATCTGCTGGAACCTAATACGAACCCATGTGGCCAAAACATTTTCTATGTTTTTCCCAATAGATAATAGTTAATTATCTATTGTTAATTATCTATTGTTTCCCATGTTTTTCCCAGTTTCCTTTTTTGGTTTTTGCGAAGAAACAGCATTTCCCAGTTAGAAGTGGTTGCAGCATGAGTTCCAAATCTTGGACAAACACGAAACTGACGCAGCAAACTGACGTGGACTTTCCGTATTCGAAACAGTAGACCTTCTCACCCCATTCGGAGTAAACACAAACAGAAATCATTTCACGAAACATATTAATCTTTTGTGCATGTGATACAATCACTTTTAGAATCTTGGAACATCTTGGAACACATGAGTTCAACATCTGTTCAACGGTTCGGGAAGGAAAAGAATCGAGTGAACAGCGGCCCGAAGACGCCTTTCAAAGACCTTCGCATCCTGGCTATGCCTGTGCTGAGAAATTTTCCGAAGTCAAGAGAACCAGCTGAGGTGGCGAATCCAAAGTTTTTGCAGACATCTCAGATACATCTCAGATATCTTAGTTTTATTTTTTAATGCTTTTTGCTTGTTTTGATGATTGGAGTTCATGAAACTTGGCCACTTCGCACAATGTCCATTTTAAGAAGAGAGTTGAAGCTGAGCGCGTTCTGAGATCGCCAGTGCTCCACTGGTTTTGCACTACGAGCTCTATCCCATTGCAACGGAAGAGTTTGCAGGGCCAGCGACTTGAACATTTCTTTGTTTGTTTCATTTTGTTTCCTTTTTGTTTCCCTGTATTTCCATGATGTTTTTTCCATGATTCATGATTCATTATTCACCACTTATTCACCACATCTTGCCTGGTGCATCAATCTGTCTCCACTCAGTACATCTCAGCGATTTGATTTTGCAGTTGCTTCAATGTTGTTTCTGAATATTTCTGAACTGGTTTCCCTACTTGGATCCTCTTGCCGCTCCAGCATTTCATTCTGATTGCTGAATCTGCCGTTCCAGATATGTCATATGTCCAGATTGATGGCTTTGTGACGTCATGCTGGAGAACGGCTGAGGCGCAATCCAATTCCGATGGATGGCTTGTTGCGCGAGATGATGCTAGAGGTGCCGGCACTACTGGTGCCGTCTGCCGTCTCTGTTCTGCTGCTGTCCATGCTGTCCATTGGTTTCGAACGTTTCTGAGAAATCAGTGGTTTCTGCATTTTTTTCCTTTCGAAACTTTCGACGTTGAGGCATTGAAGGGCGGAGAGCAATCCTGGCATTGCTTCGCAGCACTTCACCATGTTGTCATCACGTGGAGGTTTCCAATTTTAGTGGGGTACCCCGGTACCATCATCCCTATTTTAATAGGATTTCCCGTTCCCATTATAAACCATCCAGCGATAAAGGGGTACCCCCATGGAAAACCCCCATGTATGGTATGGTACAGTACGGTTGTAATTTGTTCACTTGGACTGTTCAGCCAGTGGAAGCTTCGACAGTGCCAGGCATGTGGCTGGGGCCAAGTACGACGGTGCCAAAACTGATAGCTACTCGGATATGTTTTTTTTCATCGGCTTCGATGTGTCTTTGAAATGTCTTTGCACTATTTTGCACTTGCATTTCTTGGAAAATTCTGGCACTTGCATTTCTTCAAAACTGAAAAATCGTCTTCACCTGCGCAAATCACTGGACCTCAAGATTTCGGAAGCATGGTTACATCCATTTGCATCCATTTGCATCCATTTGCATCCATTTGCATCCATTTGCACTGTTACGAAATCGCCGCCTTTGGTTCAAGGGCCAGCTTGGTTCGGCTACACTTGAAAATCGTATAGAAAGAAGCTCCGAAATTTTCGGCGCAAAGAAAGAAGCTTTTGAAGCACAGAAGGCAGCACTTGCATGGCAGATGGCATGGGACTCCGCAAGAGCTGATCGCAAACTCCTCGGACAGCTCGTTGAGATCTTCGATATCCCAGGACGGGGTCTCAAGGTCTTTAGTGAGACTGAGCAGAAAGAGACTGAGGAGTTGGTTGAGATTGATGATGACTCCGATGGATCCAGGTTTTCATGCTGTGGATCGTGCATTTCATGGATTGCCGAGTCTGAAGCTTATGTGGTGAAGACCTTTGAAGGGCGGACAGTGTGTGTGCCCGAAGCCAAGTTGCGAGAGTGGTCTCCACCTCCAGCAGAAGAAGGTGGCTTCGATGTGGCGTGGCCTTTAGATCGAAGTCAGCCGGGCAAAGTGATGCGTTTCGCAGATGGAGTTGTCTCTGCGCTCGCAGACCGGGGCTTCTGTGTGATCCAGACCTTCATGTCTGCAGAAGAGAGAGAAGCTGCCTGGCGAAGTGGCCAGGAACAGGACAGATACTTCTTCCGCATGAAGCAGGAGGTGGAGACTGGATACATGGGCTTTGATTCCAACAACAAAATAGCATGGCTTCAGGAGAGAAGAGAGGAGCAGTCAAATCCTGATCGCCTTAGCTATCCAGAGGATGAAGAGCTTGACAACAAGGCCTTTGACGGAAGTCAGCTGCTTTTCCGTGACCTGGCTACTGACATTGGTGCTCTGACACCTTCCATTGGTGTCAGCTTCAGCTACATCATGAATCCGCTCTTGAGGATGTCAATGACCAAGAATGAAGAGGAAGACTATCTGCCGGAGTCTGTGAGAGACATGATGCAGGATGAGGGCTCGGGTTGGTCTGGACCTCTCCAGGAATACATCTTCTTTTCGAAGAGGAGACGCTTGGGCCTCTTGCATCTCATCGAAAATCATGGAGGAGAGATCTGGTTCTATCCCAAGGACGGATCTTATCTCTCAGGAGCCCAGAGAAGTATGAGAATACCTGCCACAGACAACAAGATTTTGATCTTCCGCCATGACATCATGGACTATTCTTACCAGCCCCAAGGTCGTAGTCTTGCGTTGCAAACTTGGCTGATGCAAGAAACCGGAAAATCTCCAGCGATCAAAGAAATGATGGTGAACCTGGGGCAGCTTGGGGAACTGGGAGAGGTCGTTTGCAATCCTGGGCCAGAAGTGCCCGATGGACCAAAGGCCAGTATCATGGCCTTGACGACTCGTTTACCTGGAGAGGCTTGGTCTCCTGCACAATACTGGAGTATGTTTAGCTCTGGTACTGACACCTGCACCCAGTGGCCTTACTCCCGCTGGGAGACAGAGCCTTACTACGAAGAGGGTGCAGATGCGATTGCCACGGGCAAGTCCTATACCTGTCACGGGGGTTTCGTCTCACAAGATCAGATCACTCAGTTTGACAACGTCTTCTTTGGTATCGATGATACCGAGGCACGATCCATGATCCCAGGTCAGAAGATGTCAATGGAAGTTGGCTACGAATGTCTGGTGGCCTCTGGATTCAACGCCAAGAGCTTGAAAGGCAGACGCATGGGTCTGTGGTTTGGAGATGTTGGCCCTGACTGGCACTCCTTTCAGACGGAATGGGCCAGATTTTGTCCCGACATTTGCCCAACGACAATGGGTCTCAGCATGAGCTGCGCCACCACAGCTGCTCGGATTGCCCATCAGTTTGACATCCGGGGCCCTGTGTCCTCCTACGACACAGCCTGTTCAGCGTCCTTGGTGGCCATGAATGCGGCACATCTTTGCATGTTTGACTCAGACCCTCCAAAGCCAGACAATGCTGAAGCCTTGGTGGTTGGTGTCAACACACTCCTGGGTCCGGGCTCATTCATTGGCAACTGCATGGCCACGATGCTTTCTCACCAAGGACGAAGTTTCTCTTTCAACCGAAGTGCAGATGGATATCAAAGAGGAGAAGGTTGTGGTGCCGTTTTTGTGAAAATGTACCAAGGAGACAAACAGGATGAAGAAGATCGAGTATGTGCCCTGATTGGCACGGCCACCAATCAAGATGGCCGCAGTGCCAGCTTGACGGCTCCCAATGGTCCTGCACAGCAGCAGGTGATCAAGAAATCCATGCGCTTCGCAGGAATCAATCCCAACACCGTGTCCATTGCAGAATGCCATGGAACAGGCACTGCCCTTGGTGATCCCATTGAAGTTGGTGCTTTGATGGCCGTGATGCACGAACGCAAGGTCCCAATCCTGAAGACAAGTGCCAAGAGCAACGTTGCACACTTGGAAGCTGGTGCCGGCATTGCAGGTTTGACGAAATGCATCATGATGATCAACATGGGCACAGCCCCCCCGAATTGTCATTTCAACATCATCAATCCGCACTTGACCATTGAGGGCTATCCGGTCTACTTTGACTCTGAGGACATTGATGTTGGCTTGAGCAGCTTGTACTGCGGAGTCTCATCCTTCGGCTTCGGAGGTACCAATTCCCGAGCAGATGTCTATGGCTGGGCCTCGAAAGGGCATAAAGCTGCAGTGAGAGCGAATCTACCAGCGCATTCCTTGCCCAGAGCATTGCACATGGGACAGAAGGTCTACATTAGTGGATCTTGGGATGATTTCTCGAGTCACAAAGTCATGGAGGGTGGCAGAGATGGCACTTACAACGTGATCGTTGCTGTGGGAGACAGCTGCTGTGAAGAGTTTCATCTCTCGTGCTCGCAAGACCACAAGGAGATTATCCATCCTTTGGTCCCCAAAGCTGGTTGCAATGAGCAAGTAGTTGGCCCAGACTATGCTGGAAAAGGCCTGAACTTCTTCATTGATGGTAAGGCAGATGGAGTTCCACCAGGGCAACACTACCAGATTTCCTTTGAGTGGGGCGATGACAAGAAAACCATTTCGTGGATTCCAGTAGCAGCTCCAGATCCAGATCCAGCTTTGGAGGATGACATGGCCCTTGAGAGCTGAGAACCCCCACAGATACCAGCGATGCTAATGACAAAGAATGACAATGGCAATGGCAACAAAGTGCTTTGCAAAGTGCGCAAAGAATGGCAAAGAATGGCAATGGCAAAGGTCCAAAGCGCTGAAGAACTTCGTGTCTTTAGAGAAACATGACCCTGCTGATCTTCCATCGCAAAAGGGGGTAAAATGTGCTCCAGTGCTTTATTGCTGACCGCCTGACCGCTCCATGCATCATTAATATTCATTAATTGCATTTCAGTGACTTGCAAAAAAACAGCCGCAACACGTTGCGAAACGCATAACTCATTGCTAAAGCTGCTAAGGTGAGTTCCAACTTCCTGAGAATGTCAAGCTTGCAGTTTGGAGTCCCTGGGAGATCGAGATCCAAGAGATTGGAACAGAGATTGGAACACATGAGATTCACATGGCAGGGTCAATCTTGGTGTCGAGTCCAGAGATGTTAAGACTTGGTGTTTAGTGATTTTTTTTAGTGATTTTTGATGTGATTTGTGTGTTTTTTTTTTTTCAGGTGGGCGACACCTACTTTAGTGGCAAACTTCTGGCCCGTTTGGCCATGGCCTCGGCTGTTGAAAATGAGTAGGCCCATTTTTTGCAGCTCTGAGCATGCCTTGAAGATTGATATCATTTTGATATCATTTTGATGTCATTTTGATATAATAATATATATATATATATTGATTGACCCATGTAATGCTTATAACGTGAAAATCATATTCTGGGTTCCTGGGCGCTAATTCTGGGTTCCTGGGCGCTAATTCTATGTTCTTTCATGGTTCTGGAACTAAAGTGCTGTGGAAATAGAATTTGACTTTTGCAATGTCCAAGTTTGGGTTCCTTTGACCATAAGGGGTTCGGCTATCAGATTCTTAACCCAGAACCGCCCAGGATTGCCCAGGACTTCCCAGGACTACCCAGACACTGCCCAGGTACTACCCAGGAATCCTGGAACAGTTATGCTAAGCATTGCAGAATTATAATGCTTATCGTAAGTGTCACCGAAACGGTTTGGCGTCTATAATGCTTGGCGCAACTGTCAGGTCGATTCCTGGGTAGTACCTGGGTAGTAACTTCTGCCAGGATGTACTTCAACACTACCCAGGGATCATCTCCAAGTTGTGACATGCATTAGACCGCGCTAGTGAGCTATCCCAAGCACCAGATGTCCTACTTTTTTGATCTCCAGCCCCTGACCGTGCCACCCTCGCTGCCCCGCACCGTGCCCCGGATTTTTGCCATGTTATAAGCATTACGTGGGATAATCAATATATATATATATAAATCATATGATATAAATAATATGATATAATATGATATAGAAAATCGATATTCTTGAGGCCAGACTGGTTGCAATTGCACATGAGCTCGACCAGTCAAATGAGGCACACGCTGCTTCTAACAAGTGACGATTTTTTGAGTCATAGCTTTCGATGTCATCGATGTCAGCAGATTTAGGAGTCATGGCTTCATAGTTTCCATATGTTTCGACTGGAACATGACTCATAGAATTGGATGATGGGAAAAAAATACAGGAAAATTTACTATATTTGATGGTAAAAACTAGTAAAAACCATGGTTTCCGGTTAAGATTTTCCCTTAAACCAATCCATTGAATGACCTGCTGAGTTACTGAATCTGAAGAGGCATTCTTTGAAGAGATGCTTTCACAACTGGCTGACTCGATGGAGAAATGGCTTGAGAAAGGCCGACCAAAACAGCTTCGCGTCAGCGATGTGCTATGCCGCATTTAAAACATTTGAAAGCTATGTGGTCATATGGTCATATGATCCGATGCTGTCAATTGAATCCCACATGCAACTGTTCAAAAGCTTTGTTCAGGCGCAAAGACGCCCTTCATCTACGACAAGTCTTGGGGAGGCTCCATTGGTCGGTTGAATTCCTTACTGTAGATTGCAACATCGAAAATCATCGCAGAATTCAGCCTCCAGGTTTGGTCTCATGTGGCTGCAACTATGATGACTGCTGGGGCAGCTGTGCCCCAAAGTCCCGTCCTCAGAGAAAATGCTGAGATTTTTCATTGAGAAGATTGAGAAAATTGAGAGAAGATTAAGAACCGCAGAGCATTCTTTTAGAGGTGTACGAACGACGTTTCCCAGCCGGCATCTTGCCCTGCGTTGCACCAAGCAGGCGCCATGCCGCCATGCCGCCATGCCTCCATGCCTTGTTTTTGAGAGCCCTTCCCGTGGCAGCCGTGGCATGTGCCTCGTTAGGTCAAAACTTTGGGAACGGATTCTACAACGACCACCACTTCCACTACGGTTACTTCATCTATTCAGCTGCAGTGCCTCGAAGCATCCGCGATCCGCGCGAAGCATTCGGAGCGCATCATCTCCGTTGCTCGTGTCATCTGAGGTCTTGGCGAAGTTCCGTCCAGATTGGGCCTTACAAGTTGTCTTACAAGCAGCATCCAAGACAATATGAACATATATGATGAAGATATATGATGAAGATATATGATGAAAATCAGGATGAACACATGTAGAAATTTGTAGCAAGATGTTGTGCTGAATAGCTCAGGACTGGGAGCGTCACTGGCGGCCTCAAATCTTGACACTCATCAGGCCAGGAGACAGGAAGACACAACATGTGACACGAAGACACATCTGTACCCAAACCACCTTCAGAGTCACTCAGAAGACCACTAAAGACATCTAAAGACATCTAAAGACATCTAAAGACATCTAAAGACATCTAAAGACATCTAAATACTGATATTTGGCGATCTAGATATCACTGAGATTTCGCCAAGATGCGGTGACAGCTTTCCCTGAGCTGTCCGTCTCAATGTCTTAATCCTCATTAGCTGTCCAGGGATTATGCCAATCCTTCGAGTGCCGATAGCAAATTTCCACTTGCCAGACACAAGGCACGCTTCAGTCCGCCTTTTCGCATCTTTTCACATGTCCATCATGTTCCGTTTGAAGAGTTTCTTCACTTTGCAGGATTGGTTCATGGGTTTTTCCTGGGCCGGTGGCATCAAGTTCGAGCCCCTTGGTCGGTGCGGAGCTTTGTGAAACGGACCGTTACTGCTGTGGCCATGTGTGCCATGTGTGGCCGTAGGGACCATGGTACCATGGTGACTTTGTTTCCCCATTTTAAGGGAAGTCAAAGAAAGCTTCTCGTTTGATTCTCATGAATTTTGATGATCGATTTGGTCATTTATTATACATTTATATAACATTGTTATATTTACAACTTACTATTTGGTGACAATCAAACACCTTTTTCTATTTTTCTTTGAGGAACCAAGAGAGCGTGAGCGAGGCCATCAACAGCGTCTCGGCATGTCTCGTCTCGCCGTTTCGCTTTGTTCGGTTCGAGGGATTCGAGCTGTTGAGGTTACTATGCCGTTGCCTGCTATGGCACAGTCATTGCGAATCGTGGTGACCAGGACAGAAAATGAAAGACATGGAGAACTTGTGGCGATTTATTTTTGTGAAGTGGTCAAGTGGTCAAGTGGTCCGTCTCCTCTGACAGATTTGCTAAATTAGTTAAATTATGATGTATAATTAAATATGGGTATACCGTGTCTTGATGAACTACACAGTTCAGCCAAGCCAACTAAGCCCCCCCAAAGTTCTGGGTTGTAACATCCTGGCCCCAAGCGTCGTGAAGGACATGGACTTGGGCTGCCAATTGCGTCAGCTTGGACGTCTACTGACTGCCATGGAGGCCAGCAATTTGGAAAGTTCAAGGACTGCGACGACATGCATTTTCTGGCCACTTTTTTCAGGTACACTCAGGTGACATGTTCTGGAATCTTGGATGCAGATGGATCTGCAATGCACATTCCGACAACCAGAATCAACCAGCTCCACAGATGCCATTGGCTTGGCTGAGGCATGTCAGACCTCATGCGGAGGTGATGTCAACCTATGGACGCCCTACAGCCTGATGCTTGGTGCTGTTGGTGCTGTTGCACTTGGCATTTCGACTCCGACTCGATGCATCTTCAGCGTTCGGAATTTACTACAATTGAATCTTGTACTATCTTGCAATTTCATCTATCTTAATCTATTTTAATCCATTTTAATCATAATCCATTTAAATCTATTCATCCAATTTAATCTATTTGAATCTATTTAGATCTATTTAAATCTTGTGTCAAGCCATGTCAAGGCCAACATGACCCTGTTGCTTTGTTGCCCGGTGTCAACGTGTGTCCACGGAGAAACTCTCCGAGGTCGGCATCATGTGGGAACACGTTGCGCTGCACCAAACTTGGTTTGGCGGTTCAGGTGCGTTGCGTTGCGGCGCATCGGGACTCGGAAAGACCAAGACGAAGACGACAAATTTTCAATGTGATTTTGGTCGATTTGGAGGTTGGGCAGTGGAGGGCATTCAGATGCTGCCGGTAGTTCCTGCCTCCTGGTGGCATATGTGGCATATGTGGCATATGTGGCATATCGAAACCCGCATTGAAACACAGCCGGCGAATCAGCTTTCAAAGCATTTGGAAGCTTTGGATGCTACAAAGAGCTACAGCTCGCTGTACAGGTTCTAGAGGATTTCTTGAAGAAGGACTGGGTGCAGAATCACTTCTTGGAGTACAAGGTCTGGCAAATCCTGCAGAATTCAAAGGTATTCAAAGATATTCACCTGGTTCAAAATTGGTGTGTCACGTCGAAATGACTTGGACGTCGCTGCTTTACGAGGTCTCCTGCGATAGTGATCCTTCCTGCAGCAAATTGGGCTGGTCCTGGCTGGTCTGCATTCAACAGGTGGAGAGCTCTCACTAACATGACAAATGTTATGTGTTGTACCAGTGAAACCAAATGAAACCAAATTGGTTGGTGGTTTGGAACATGAATTTTATTTTTCCATATATTGGGAATAATAATCCCAACTGACTTTCATATTTTTCAGAGGGGTTGAAACCACCAACCAGCAAATGACTCATGACATTTTCTGGTAAAAAAAGGACCTTTCATATTTCGGCTCTGACACAGGCCGTTCTAAGCGTCAAGGATGCCTTCGAGTGCTTGCGCAGGCATGGCTAGACTTTCTGTTCACACTGCAAGATGGAAAGGAAAGGCATCTTGAAACAGATCAATCATCCATTTTAACAGGATTTTCCTATTCCATTATAAGTTATAAGCCATTCATTTTGGGGGACCACCATTTATGGAACCCCCAAATTAGCAGTTGACAAAAGTATTGCAATGTGGACACTATGACAGATGTCGTGGCCCAAACTTTCCGAGAGAGGTTGGACGATTCAGCGTTCAGCTTGAGGCGCGGCAACCATGGCCAAATTCACATCTGGTTGGTGGTTTGAAACAATTTTTATTTTTCCATATATTGCGAATAATAATCCCAACTGACTAATATTTTTCAGAGGGGTTGAAACCACCAACCAGTCATCATTTGAGGCTGTTTCTCTTGTCACATGCAGACAATTATGAGAAATTCTCTCAATAATTCTGCTTATTCTGGAAGGAGTCCTGCAGCCAGCGGCAATTCTTTGACCAACAGCTTGTTCTGCTCTCAGCACTCAGCTGCACTTCAGCCTTTGGCCTTGGAGGGATGTCTGTTTTCCTGGTAGCATTGTGGTTTTATATAATGAGCCTGTCTGACCTGTCTGTTGTATATGGATTTCCCCTGGTTTTTATGTCTTGGTATGTCTTGGGCTGGAGTCGTTTTTCTTACTTTCTTCAAGGTATTGGTTTGCCACACGAAGCGACCTTACCCCAACAGTTCGGGAGCTTGGTCGGCTTGGTCGGCTTGGTCGGCTCTCCGTCAATGTCGGAAGTTGGTGCAGCGATAAGCGCAGCGATAATCCGATAAGCGCAGCTTCCGACTGAGGACCTGAAAGCTTGGCCGAAGGCAACTCAGGTGAGAAAACTGGGGACGCCGACGCCCGCAGATACACAGACCAGTTGTGGAAGTTGATACCAGTTGATACCAGTTGTTTTTTTCACTTTCGTCACTTTTGATTCACAGGTCATCACAACTCCCAGTCCTGTGAGTTGCTCAGGCTGAGATTCAGCATATCTCAGCTCTGAAAATTTGCGGTCTGAGGGTAAGACGGCAAGCTTGCAGCACTTGGGACCGGTCGCGATGCTCAGTGCATACAACATCAATGCGAAGCATTCGATGGAATCAGCTTGTGAGAGTTTTGTTTTACACTGTTCTCTTCATCCTTGAATTCTGAAAATCATTCTGAATTTATCATGTCTGTTTTATCTGAATTTCTTTGTCAAATGGTCCTTGTTGAAAGATGTTGAAAACCCTCGAGTCATTGCTGAGATCCGCAGATTTGGTCGTCATGGCGTCTCTTGGCCGCACACGTAGCACACCCATCGGACACCAGGGCTCTGCCCTTCGGGGCACATGGCACATGAAAATGGCCCAGTCGAAATAGTGGATTTACCCAGCTTACTATAGCATGGTGATGTTCTATGGAAAATTTGGTGATTTATAGATATTTATAGATTTTATAGTGGATTTACTCAGCATTAATAGCATGGTGGATCTTTCCATCGTTTTTTTGGTAAACGTTTACCGTTTAGGGGACCGTTTCTGCCTGGTATCAACCGATGGTTTCACGTTCACGGAACGAGGTGCGGATGAACAATCGCTGCCTGAAACTCTCCGACGTGGCCTGTCCCAATGTTCCGTGCCATGCCCAGGAAATTAGAAGGCACATTGATGATATTTGATGATCAATGTGTAGATTCAGTGTAGATTCAGTTTAGATTCAGTTTAGATAATGTTTGGACTATTCTATACTATTCTGGATTCTGAGTTTAGATCAATGTTTGAACATATCCACAACCATTTATATATCACGAGATATACCATATTAATATAATGTTTGAACATCAGGTTCTGTGCTTTGAGGAAGTTTGAGGTCATTGGTGGCTCCAGGGATCAGTGAACCAGTGAACATCGCTGGAACTTAAACCCTACCAGTCGCTCCGACTTGTTTCATCAGTCGTTTTTCATCAGTCGTCTTCGTTTAAAACGGGTGTCCAACATACAAAAAGTTAGACATGCTTTTCATGCTTTCTGAGATCTACTTTAAGCATCTTTAAGCGATAAAAAACACGGTTAAAACTGCAGTCTGCACTACATGTCCCTCTGGGATGTTCAATGTCCGTCGAGCAATGGCGCCCGAAACAGTCTACGGCTGTCAGGTGCACAACGCCTTTGATCTGGTGTTTTTTTCGCGGTTTCACATTTTTTGGTATATTTTTATGTGGTTTACCCTCTGGTAATTTAACATAGCTATTGAAAATGGCCATTGAAATAGTGAGTTTTCCCATTAAAAATGGTGATTTTCCATAGTTTTTTGTATGTTTACCAGAGGGTAACATTCATCATTGCCCCATGGCTCCATGTTCGATCTCACAGGTGGATGAGGAAGAAGGCTCCCTGGAAAGCCTGGCTGCGGTGTGCTCTTTGAAGGCGCCTTTTTTTTGTCGGAACCACGATTCGAGGCAGGATTCGCTCGACTTCGGTGGAGACTGCCTGCCAGGACCTGCCTCCACTTCCAAAACCGCTCTGGGACAAGCATTTGTAACTTGGATCAACTTGGTAGAAACGGGAATCCATGAAAATCAACCATGAAAATCAAATAAAATCAACTTGAAAATCACAACCGAAACGTTGCAACTTGGTGGCTTTGTTACACTGCAGGTCATTTGTCAGAGTGATTCTTATTGCTGTTGTTTCAGGCAATCACTTGGTGGCTTCGCCTATGTCTCTGCGCAGATTGCATTCATAGTAGGTGCTGCTGTGGTCCAGCCACACTTTTTCCATGAATCCATCACAGATTTTCAGTTGGGGAGATCTTTGCTTCGCCATTTTAAGAACGTTTCGCCCAAACTCCGAACGGCAAAGCATGGCATACTCTTCCATATATTAATATAATATTAATATATTGTGATATATATATATGTATATTTTTAATATATCTATCTATCTATATATATGTACAATATAATATATATTATATTAAATTATATAACACACACACACATGTATATATATTATTTATAATATGATATACACTTTTCCATGACTCTTCCACTTTCCGACGGCCTCCAGGCGGCACCCATGGCCTGGTTCTCACGACTCTGCCACACTTCGCCGGCCGCGAGTTGTTGCGCACGGAGCTCTGGTGGAGTTTCTGCATCGCCGTCTATGCGGAGGTCGGAGTGATGGGAAGATGTCACTGGCAGTTGATGTATAACCCATGTATAACCCATAATAATGGGGATATAATGGGGATATAGAACTAATTTTGGAAGAGAAGCTATGTGGATATAACTCAATGGATTGGTTTAAGGGAAAATTTTAACCGGAAACCCCCATGATCTTCATGGGAAAATCAATGGTTTCCGGTTAAGATTTTCCCTTAAACCAATCCATTGAATAACCCATAATAATGGGGATATAGAACTAATTTTGAGACATTCTGAACATGATATATATACATGATTCGAAGATGATGAACGAAACGTGGGTTAAAATGTGAAATGTGACTCTGTAGGCTGTCATAGCGCTGCTGTGCTTGTCGTATCTTCTTTTTGGTGACCCTGGTGTGGCTTGGCTGTCAGAGCACGCATAGATGGCAGACAAAGCGAACGAAGTTGCACAAATTTAGGATTTGATGACAAAGCACTTGCAAAGCACTTTCATTGGTTCAAGGGAAAATCTGCAGGAAAAGCCTATCTTTGATGGTGAAAAGCATGGTTTCCGGCTTCGATTTTGCCTTCCAATCCGTTGTGATTCAATTCACAACTCAGGTCATCAAGCGTTCGGATGAGAACTGCTTCCCTTTGCCGCAGGAAGTTGCAGCAAAATTGCGCAACAAGGAGTCCTTGCAGGGCATGGAGAACCTTGGAACAACTTTGGAGGAACGGAACATTTCCTTTTCTCCGGTAATTTGTCCCATGATGTCCCATGTGTTTCTCAGGATTTCAAAGCAGTTTGCACTTTATCGGCTTGTTTTTTGGTGATAACTCTGGATTTTCGGGGTGTCTCCACCGTGATAAGGAACATCGACGAAGGTCATCGAGTCTTCTGCGTGCGCTGTTTGGTGTGGCGACCAAAGCATGAGCCTTCTTTAATCGCGGAGGCGTCTGGCCACTTCACAAAATCAGCGTAATTACCTTTGTAGACCCTTTATTATCCTTTATTGCTTTGGGCTTTTAGGAGAATCTTGCAGTGGATATGAGATGTAATGAGATGTAAACAGGACAGCAAAAACACGTTGCCTCAATAAAACTCAAAGCTCATGGCACTCATGGCACTCATGGCACTGCTTCTTGCAGGCGAAGTTGCCACATTGGTTGAAGCAACGGCTGCAATGCCTCCCTGGTTTTCGGGATGGGGCTTGCCACCATTGCAGGACATTGCCATTCTCTTCTGAACTCTGAACATTCAATGAATGATGTTTTCCACATCTTTGCACATCTTTCTGCGTGTTTTATGCCAATGTTATACCGCAACTGTGTTACACTTGGACAGATGTAGACAGTAGGACTGACAGACTGACAGTAGGACTTGTGGTCGATGTGTGCGCTACTTCGACCATCACTGTGGAGTCTTTGGCCGGTGCATCGCAGGGATGCTTGACTCAAGTGGCGGGCCCCTGACTTGCCACGGAGAAGTGGGCTGTTTGATTCCATCACAGATTGGATGAAACATGACGAAACATGACGAAACATGACGAAACTAATTCCTCAACATTCAACGTACATGTGATTATCATGATTTCAACCAGCAGAACTGAAGTCTCTTGGCGCAGCTTTGTATCTCAACATATCTCAACAGTTTTCTTCACCCGAAATCGCGTCCGCCCTCAGGACGGTTTGTCGTGGGAACATGCCATGTTTCCTGCTGATCATTTTCATGTAACTCGCCAAGAGACGTGTGCCGAGTGATGGGTTGGCGCGGACAGTATGAAGTGACATCAAGCGACACGAAGTGGCATGCATCAAAGGTACAAGCGGTACAACTCAGAAGCTGATCATCTACCCATCTAATATCATATCACTTCATATAACTTTATTAATTTGTAATATAACTTTACTCAACTTTATGTATATAATTTGTATTAATTTGTAGCATTTCTAGCTTGATCCAATCTTGAGTTGGTATGTGGCAGGTCCTTCGTTGGTACGTGCACGGGAATCATCGCTTTTCTCGTGAGCGCAGCCAGCTGGGGAAGTCTCCGTCTTCATAGCGGTAGCGGTCACAGTGGTCTGTCTGGCACCTGAAATGGAAATGGGAAGGATGACATCCATTGACATCCATTGACATCCCATATCTGGTGGTTTCAAACATGGCGCCATTATTTTCCATTTCATATAGATGTCATCCTTCCCATTGACTCATATTTTTCAGAGAGGTAGGTATACCACCAACCAGATATCATTTGCCAAATTTCAATATTTCAGTGGATATAATTTGCCAAATGACTTGGAAATGATTTGGCATTTGCAAATGACTAATCATCATTATATCATATTATATCCACTGAAATCATTGAAATCATACCCAACATGAGCTTCTTCTGAGATGTGTAAAACAATGATTTCAATGGGGGATTTCAAACCTCTTTCCACAAGGCGACCCTTTAAGAATGTTTGATGAGCCCTCGATCACCTCCGCCAAAGCAAACCCGCGATTCCATTTTCACAGTACAAAACTGCGACAACGTGCTGCTTCCCCAAGCCTTGCTGGAAGATCAAGAGCAGAAAAGGTGCCTTTGTCAAAGAAAAGCTGCCTTAATGCTACATCCTTTTGGGATGTATTTTTTGTGTGTTGTTTTGATAAAATTTCTCTGGTCCGATTTGAACGTTTGCAGATGTCGAATGCGGCCACTCATTCGACCCATTCGACCTGACACCATCCCCAAGGAGCATCCGATGCATTGGCGACTCGTGTTGTCCAGACGGCTCGTCCGGAGCCTCGGAGCCTCCTTTCCCTCCGAGCCGCCGCCGTGACATACTACGCCCGACTTTCAAAAAGAAAAGCGCCAAACGATGCCAAACGTATGTATTTATATGTATTTAGACTGAGGTGTGTTTTCATTGTTTTTCTTTTTTGATGTTTGGCTGTTGAACCGTTCCAACCGTTCAACGGATACTTTCTGCTTCTTCTTTCTGTGCCGGGCGAGGCTGTGCCCCTCGGCACCTTACTACTCAAACCCGCTCTGCAAGAGCCCAAAGAAGATCGCATGCAGGTGAGGCTTCTCATATCAGCAACAACCTATGGTTGATCGGTTGATCATCATTGTGGGTATACCATCATTGTTATATAAATCCTATACCATCCTATACCTATAATTAATCCTATGGTTATAATCCTATGGTTATCATATTATATATATAATATTCCTATAGTAGATCTATCATCTTCCTATTCAGATGGCCATTTGGTGGGACCATCATTGATAGCTCCACAAGCTGTGCCGCTGTGCCAGGGGCACGGATGGGCACAATCCAGTGCCACACTCAGTGGAAACTTCAAACACTCGAAAAGTCCCAAGAATTCTGGTTGGATTAGAAATCAGAAACAACATTCGAAGCAACACACGAAACAACTTTCGAAACAACATAGCCGATGATTTTATTTCAGATTCAGCTATGACATTTTAGGTACGACGTACCTGTTAAAACCTCAGAACATTGGATGGAAGCTGCGAAGCTTTACTGCTGAGGCCATAAAAAGGACCCCGGAGAAGGCCACCAAGACGATTTCAGTGTTGAAATCGGACTCTCTAAGCGATAGTTTCGTGACACCACGCAAGTCTTGGAAATCACACTACAGTATATGTTGCGTTCATTTTCCTTAGAATTTTCTTAGAGGGTTGATTCATTTTCAAATTTCATTTCCTGTTCTTCACTGATTCTTTCGTCATTTGTGCACTGCCACTGTGAGGATGGTCCTTGTCCAGTGGGTAGTGCGGTATTCTGCCCTGGTACGTTGGCAACTAAGGGGAGTTTCTGGACGAGAAAGGTGCAAAAACGGACGATATTCTGTTTCTGTTGCTTTATTTTACTGTTAGTTGTTTTCTGTTTCTACCCTTCCTGATTTCTTGAGGATGTTACTTTGCCAACAAGACCAATGTTGCCCTGATGGGTCGCCGGATCCTGTGAAGAGCCGGTCAGCTTTGTTTTTCGTTTCACAGCTCCGTTTCTGTCGTTTCACAGCTCTTCGTTGCACCGGTGCCAAGGCTTTGTCCATCTGCACCTCTCTCAGCCACAGGGAGGTACCTCGGTGTCGCTGCATGGTGCAGTGAAATCTGTTGCATTCCATGAAACATTCTGCATTCTGTAGCTGAAAAAACCGTCGAGTCCAAAGTCACCGACCAGATAACCTGCTGAAAATCTCAAAATCGCAGATGTTGGGGAACATTTCCACGTTTTTTATATGACTTTTTATATGTACGTTGCCAGTTGACTGGGACTCCAGGTGTCTCAAGGACAAAGTCCACGACTGCACAGGAGGCTTAGGCTTGGTAACATTTGGTAACTCTTTCAGTCGAAAGATATCGTTTTTTTGAACACAGGACACTGAACTTGAATGATTTGTTGTGATTTTGTTGTAATTTTGTTGGGACCATTCACCCTCTGGTAAACATACAAAAAACGATGGAAAATCACCATAGAAATAGTGGATTTACCCAGCTATAAAATGGTGTTTTTCCATCGTTAAATTAGTTATCAACGATCATTCACCAACTATAGACCATAATAACCATAATACCCATAATAAACCCATTTATAATCCAACTATAGTCCAACTATTTTTTATTATAGAGGGTATCCGTTTAGTTTACCAGAGGGCAAATTCAGTTTCACCGTGCAACACGTGGTTTCACGTGCGGTCCGGGTCCAGGACAGAAACCTGCCGAGAAACAGTCGTACGACGTGCTCGGAGAATGCCAGGTGAGAAGCAGAACTGTTGCATTGCCTGGGACTGCCTCGACAACCTCGAAGTACGAATTGAAATACTTATATTGTCTTATATTATATATGTATATATAATAATTATATATATATATACACACTATATATATATACACACTATATATATATATATACTCTATATATATACACACTATACTATATATATAGGAGGGCTAATTATTTTAGGATTTTTTTTTTGATCAGGTTTAGGAATTATTTTTGGATTCCTGCTTGCTTTTCCTGCTTTTCCTGCTTTTCCTGCTTCTCTGCTTTTCCTGCTTTTCCTGCTTTTCCTGCTTCTCTGCTTTTCTGCTTTTTTGCTTTTCTGCTTCTCCTGCTTCTCGCCTTTTCTGCTTTTTTGCTTTTCTGCTTCTCCTGCTTCTCTGCTTTTCTGCTTTTTTGCTTTTCTGTTTTTCCTGTTTCTTTGCTTCTCTGCTTTTCCTGCTTTTCCTGCTTCTCTGCTTTTCTGCTTTTCCTGCTTCTTTGCCTTTCTGCTGTTTTGCTTTTGTGCGTTTCCTGTTTCTTTGCTTCTCTGCTTTTTTGCTTCTCTGCTTTTTTTTTGCTTTGCCTGCTTTAAATACTTGATTTTCATGTAAGATGCATTTTGCACAGTATTTACATCCCTGAGTATCACATGACCAACCTTCTCTTGAAAACTTGCAACGTAACATGTGAGAAGAGGTGCTTGCATTCTGCTTTGGGGGGAGGCGCTGCGCCCTCCCCCCAATCCCCCCCTCCCGCTTTTTTTTTATTTAAACTTAAACCCAAGTTACATTAGTTGGTTTTTGCGAACTAACCTTCTCTGGAAAGCTGACAGGATTACATAGATAGATAGATAGATAGATAGATAGATAGATAGATAGATAGATAGATAGATAGCTGGATAGATAGATAGCTTGGTAGATAGATAGCTAGATAGATAGCCAGCTAGATAGATAGATAGCTAGAGAGATAGATAGCTAGATACCTGGATAGATAGATGGCTAGATAGATAGCTAGATAGATAGATAGATAGCTAGCTAGATAGATAAAGAGGTAGCTAGATAGATAGCTAGATAGATAGATAGATAGATAGCTAAATAGATAGGCAGATAGTTAGCCAGATAGATAGATAGCTAGATAGATAGCTCGTTAGCTAGATAGCTGGATAGACAGCTGGATGGCTAAATAGATAGATAGCTAGATAGATAGAAAGCTAGATAACTAGATAGCTAGATAGATAGTTAGCTAGATAGCTCGATAGCTAGATAGCTGGATAGACAGCTGGATGGCTAGATAGATAGATAGCTAGATAGATAGAAAGCTAGATAGCTAGATAGCTAGATAGATAGTTAGCTAGATAGCTAGATAGGTAGATAGATAGCTAGCAAGATAGCTAGCTAGATAGGTAGATAGATAGATAGATAGATAGCTTGCTAGATAGATAGCTAGCTTGCTAGATAGATAGCTAGCTTGCTAGATAGATAGCTAGATAGCTAGCTAGCTGGATAGATAGCTAGCGCCCTCCCTCAATCCCCCCCACCCGCTTTTTATCTAATCCCAAGCTTCTGCATCTGTAAATATTTGGGTGAACATGCTCACATGTAGAACATCCCATGCAAAATGGAAGGTGAACATGCCAAAATGTGGCAAATACCATACAAAATGGAAGGTGAACATGCCCACATGTAGGAAATCCCATGCAAAATGGAAGGTGAACATGCCAAAATGTGGCAAATACCATACAAAATGGAAGGTGAACATGCCCACATGTAGTAAATCCCATGCAAAATGGAAGGTGAACATGCCCAAATGTGGCAAATACCATGCAAAATGACAAATTCAAGTTCCAAACCGTTGCAAACACTAGGCAAATGGTACCAGCCAAGAAATCCAAAAAAAAATCCTAAACCTGCTGAAAAAAAAATCCTAAAACTATTTCACACCCCTATATATATATGTATATTGACAACTTATGTTACTTCTTTAAGGGCTGTCGCCCTGCCGCGGACCCCTGAAACACATGAAACCTAGTACTTTAGAGGATGCAACAACGACCAGTTCAGGCCAAACAAGAAGACTTGCGTGAGAGTTCTGTAAGACTTGCGTAAGAGTTCTGTATCGCAAAGAGGGTCAAAACTCGAAACTTCTACAACTAATGCTGGGCTCGAAGAATGTTGTAGCGGAGTGACATGTTCCGCTGTATGGCGTATAGATTCATTCAACCTCTGTGTAGCAATATATTATGTTATATATATATGTATATATGATTTCTTTATCATAGATACTTATGACATATTCCATGTTATCTACAGGGTAGATAAATCTCTCTCTATATATACATACATACATTATCTACTACACATAAGCATATATTTAATCGCAAATGTATAGCACATAATACGGGTAGCCATCCCCTCAAATACCGCGGGTGTCAAGATGTCTCTCTCGGCCCATTACTGTTAATACGGGTATACCCCTGGCGCCGATGGTGGCTGCCTCATGCTTTCTCAATAAACCCGGCGCCTTCGTCTTTCTCCTTGCTTTCCATGTCCCTGCCGAACCTGGCTACAAAGCACTGCCACCGAAGCCGGCTACAGAGGAGATTGTCTTGTCCTTTTCTTCCTCAACGTAAGATGTGTAGGCAACTATTTTTGCATTCTCTCTCTGCCTCTCTGCCTCTCTGCCTTTATAGAGCAATGTTGCAGCATGTTGCGGCAATGATGGCCTGAGAAGCTTGGGCCATGTTGGGATGTTGGGCCATGTAATTTTCTTGTTCTTTGCCACGATTCTTCTTGTACTCTCTTCTCTGACCGCCCTTGCTGCAGGTTGGGGTCGGCGGATATTGCTTTATTTCATATCAAAGCTTTAACGGGCGTCAATGGCATGGATTCAAGGCGTGAACTTGTCAGGTGGGTGCACCTGTGAAGTGCCCAAACTCGTCCGGGTGCCGGGAACTTCATGCAATTCAGGCATCATTCATGCAATTCAGGCAATTCAGGCAGCCTTTGAGATCAGATCGTCGCCGAGGAATCTGAAGTGCTGGGGCCAGATGTGTTGCGCGGACGGTCGGCCTGGGCACCGAGACGCACCGAGACGCACCAAGACGCACCGAGACGCCGACAGATTTTGGCTGTGCTGTAAGATCTGTAAGGCCTTGTCCTTCAGCTTCGAAGAGCACCAAGTGTTGGAAGGAGAAGGAAGTGGATTGCCTCCCGAAGGACACTGGAATTTTCAGGAATGTTCATGGTTCATGGGATCTTCACTTGTGATTCGTAAACTCAATCACAGATATCACAGGCATTTCATGGCATTTCTGACAATCAAATCAATCACAGGCACGCGCCACAGCATTTCTGTTGAAACGTGCGCAGTTGTTGTTGTGATTGTGCCGCTGGCAGCACATCGGCTCGCTTCCGGTACGTACCGAGCTCCACTACGCAGAAATCCAGACATGGCGGAGACACAGCGCCTTGGTGAAATCAGGATGGACCCAATGAACATCCACTGCTGAAGCCGAGGCTTTCGTTTTTCTTGGTGGTAAATCATGTAAATCGTCAGGATACAAATGATGAGATGTTGAAAACGGAGGAAAATCATGGAAAATCCACTTCAAATCAAGGATGGGATGGATGGGTAGGACAGAAAACGATTAGTGGATGAACACAACTGTAGACACTACATAGGACATCATAGGACCCGAAAAAAGACAACACAAAAACATCGGACTATGAATTGGAAAAACAACAACAATATTTCGATTGAAAACATGTCCATGACACACCACAACTACCTAGCCATTGGTTGTCCATAGTCATTATGGAGAAGAGGAACCATAGCGACCATTCTGTTGAGAATCTCAACAGGCAAGGCCATGTCAGCAACGAGAATGTTGAAAACGCTTGTTATGCTATCCAAAAAATGAATTCCGTGAGATTTGCCGGATCTGTTTTATTTGAAAACCTCGACTACCCGGCCTGGTAAACAGTCCCAAAAAACGATGGAAAGCCACCATGCTATTAATGGGTAAATCAACTATTTCCATGGCCATTATAGCTATTTGATGCTATTTGATGCTATTTGTATGTTTACCAGAGGGTATTTCTGAAGATTGTCCGAGACATGTGGTGCTCTTCAACCTGGCTGCCACCGGGCACATGAACCCCACGTTGCCCTTGGTCACTGAACTCGTTGCCCGTGGCGTTCCCGTCTCTTACTTCGTCCAAGAGAAAGTGCGGCCCGTGGTCGAGGCAACCGGTGCCAAGTGGTATCCACTCCAGGACCGAAGAAACTTCCAAAAATCTGTTTGAAATGTCAAAGTTTGTCAAACATCAAAGATATTCAAAGGTATAAATCGGTATAAATATAAAATCAACATATATTCAGATATTCAAAGTCTCTTTTTGCGCCCAAACATTTGCGTCAGGAAGTTTTGTTGATTTTTGCCGGTATGATATTCTGGAATTTCAGCGTCAACGTTTAAGACGCAACACGTTGAAAGATGGGAGCGTGAGCGCAGGACGTCATGCGCCCCGAGGAAGAGATCATTGCCAAGTACTTCCCTGGACTGCCCGAGGAGGAGACACGTTTTCCCGTGGCAGTCCTCCCCGCTTCAGCGTAACCTGCATCGGTTTCAGACTCTTCGGAGAAATCTGATCGTTTTTCAGACCAAATGCTGCATAACCCATGACGGATCCATGGTGCTGCTATATATGGCGACATGGATCCCATCAACAAAAACCCCAGTCATGTTAGCATTTTTCTACCAGCACCATGGATCCGTCATAGCATAAATAGCTTGAAGTTTCTTGTGGCTGTTCCAAGCCGAACCGTTGGGTAATGATGATCCAATGAGGTCAGCTTTGCCACAGCTGGTGAAAGAGATGCAGACTCTTCAGCCTCCACCTAGCGTAATCCTCTACGATCCGTTCTTGCCCTTTGTGTCTCGGATCTAGAGGCAGAACTCATCAGAACCCTATAAACATAAGAACATATATTATAGACTATATTATAGATTATAGATTATATTATATAAAGATCTGAACACAGCCGGGTCCATCCAGTTCCATGTTGAAAATGTTAAAAAATGTCAACAGTGACTTCAAGATCTTCAAGATCTTCAAGATCTTCAAAACATCAAAGAAACTCTGCCATCACTATTGGGTCATTCTCGTTCGCATGCGGCCGCATGCGGCACTGAAGGCGCAAGTTCTAGCGCGTCAACTGGGAATTCCCTGCGTTGCCACTGTGACCCTCACTGGGCCTGGTGTTATTCAGGCAACTTGTCATGGATCAGACAGACCTTTATTACATATTAAGACTACTTGACTATACTTTTACTGCAAGAGGCTTTGCATGAAATCTGAAATTGTGGATGATCTGGCATGATCTGGGTCTTTTAAGTGGAATTTCTGTCATTGATCACGGAAGGGCTTCCTGCAAGGTGCCCTGTGTAGTGCGAGAGCAGTGGGAGGCGACACTGGACGTTCTTTCAACAGCAGGTTTTCTATAATATTATTATTCCATTAACCAGCAATATCCATTAACCATCATTATTATATATATATATATGTTTTTCTTGTTTGTAGAGTTTGGGGCCGTTTCCACATTTTCCACCTCCGCTGAAATGGAAGTTGATGTTGATGTTGATGTCTTTGTGGAGCTTTCGTTTAAGGAATCCAGGCGTACAGAAAGCACGACAAGAGATCAAAGACACTTACGACTTTGATGTCTTCGAGCATGGCGCCTTGATGGAGTTCTACTCGCCAGATTTGAACATCGTTTGCACCAGCGAGTCACTCTATGTGGCACCACAGACACCTGTGCAGCTGGAACGCTTCCCTCATTTTCCATTCGAATGTGTGGGGCCGTTGCTGAACACCAAAATTCAGCGGCTTCACAACGCCAACGTCTCCACCGGGTCAGTTCAGCTGCCTGCTGTCGTGGACGAGGCATTGGCTGCTGGCAAGCGGTTACTGTACATCTCTCCTGGCACAGTTGCCACAGCTCACTATTGGACGGATCAGTTTGGACCCCAGGCGCTTGGGGATGACGTGGATGGAGGGACCCAACATGACCCAACGACATATAGCTTTTATTTTTAGTTCAGCCTCACGAAGTTGTACGAGCTGATTGAGCTTTTGTTATTTCTAATCCCAATATATTCCAATTAATTAATAGTACTTCATAGTTATAGCATGCAGCAAACATGCAGAATCATGCAGAATTTCAGTGTTGTGGCAGGCTCACAAGAACGGCCTCAGTGACTCCACGGGCAAGGAATTTGTGCAGCTGTTGTTTCGCACGGCCATCGAAGCCCTGGGCAATGATCCTGACATCCAAGTCGTCATGAGCACCGGAGGCAAAGAAGATGCTCGACGGCCCCGATGGCTTGATTTGCACCGTCGATTTATGCCATTTATACATATTTATACGATCCAAAAACGCAGCATAAAAAAAGCTATAGTAATCTATAGTTATACTGTTATACTATAGTAGCCAAGAGTGGACACACATGTTTGAAGATGTTTGAAGTATCTTTTGTTGCACAGGGATTAATTGAACCAATGATATCCACCGTGACAACGATTTGAAACAGCCCAGGACGCCCTGGAAGGGATGTCGTTGCCAGAGAATTTCGTGGCACAGGACGTCTTGCCACAGCTGGAGCTGCTGCAAAAATGTCACGCTTTCATCACACACGGTGGTGCCAACAGCATGCACGAAGCCTTGAGCTTTGGCATTTCGGTTGCACCAAGGCAGTGCTGCGAAATCATTTCTTGCAGGCCATTCGACATCATTCGACATCCCTTTGATAAGCCAAGATTTGAAGCATTGGCAAATTATAGGTGGCCGTAACTTCACAACTTGGGCGCTGCCGGTTTCTGCCGGGTTTCTGCGTTTTAGGAGTTCCTCTGGCGGTGGTTCCCATCTTCGGTGACCAGCCGGTGAATGCTGACGTCGTGGCGAGCACTGGAGCTGGAGTTTCCTTCCGCTACCCCCGGGAGACCCTCACAGTGCCGGCGTTGAAGGAGGCCACAATGGGCCAGAAATTCGAGAAATCGACACACCATCTTGGCGCAACTGCACAGCAAATACATCAACATTAATCATTAATCAACATTTTCCTGCATCAATTTCTATTCAACTTCTGAAATCTCACTTGTATTGCAGCATGTGTCGCACAGATTTGTGATTTGTGCATGGCGAGGCTGTGCACAAGCTGATCTATGAAGAGTCCTACCGGGAGGCAGTGAAGAAGGTGCAGAAGGACGCGCAGCCCGACCAGCCATGACCAGCCTGTTTTTTCAAAACTCTGGATTTTATTTTTCTGAACAGTCAATTTAAGGCTAATTTGAATCTAATTTGACTAATTTGTTGTTTGATCAATTTGACCAGCAATTTGCGCAACTTTTTGAGTCCGTTGTGCAGTAGGAACTCCTGAGCACCGGTGGCGTGCCCAAAGCCGCTGATCTGGTTCTGGCCACAGGCAGCTTGAGCTCCAAGTTGGGAGGCGCTTAAAGCCGCGCCGCCAACTCACAGGACCCACAGGACCCACAGGCCGGTTGTGTAGGTGCCGCAGTTGTGCCGCAGTTATGCCTCTTGTACTTCTTAGATCATTTCCCATGGCAACTTGTGGATAGAAGCTTCGTATGGTCACTTCAAGCGAGGGAAACTGCCAAATCTGCCACATCTGCCGAAGTTTTCCAAGCAACTTGTCCAACTCGTCGACTCGTCGAGGTACTTCGAAGCCGAGCACCCGACATCGGCATCTCTCGCGAGCCTATCCACTGAGCAAGCAGAACAAAGTCTGATCACAAAATAAAATTTGGCGCTTTTTTGGTACGTTCTGTTGAAACATTTTGGAAACTCTATGTTCTGCTTGTCGGTTTTGAGCGATCTCTGCTCTCTTTAATGAGACAGGATCTGCATGTCCTGCTTGCGACAATTCACATGCTGGTCCCGTACAGGCCACCAAAGATGGCTGACCAAGCATTTGCAGCAAACAAGCGGTCGAACATGTTTTTACCAAATCTGGCATGTCATTGAGGATTGAAGGACATTGAAGGATATTGAAAGATATTGAAAGTGAAACTATATATCTGAAACTATCTGAAACCTTCTGAAACTCAACGTTTTTTTCATCGCTTCTCATGGTGAAGCGACCATCGCAGCGTCTCTGCACGAGGAAGCGGAAGCGCCGCCGCCGGCGGAACCTTTTGAGGCTCCGTGGGGAAAGGTGGTGAAACATAGCACACACATTTTGAAATTGGGAGAGAAACTGCTACTGAAACAGGTAACAGATCTAAGAATCTAAATGCAAAATGAGTTCGATCTTGACTTCACGCCTGAGGGGTGAGATTTTTGCTGACTTTGCAACTCATCCTGCATGCCTGCCCTCAAGTTTTCCTTGTGAACACAACGAGGTGTGTCCGTGAGAGATGGGCAGTAAAATGGCGCTTGGAACGATTTTGCCAAATTTTGCGAATGGCAAATTGATCATCGAAAAATATCGAAAATGATCAAAACCCGATCACAGACATTCAGGTCTTCACCTGGATCCATTTTCTGACAAAACTTAGAGTTTTCACAGCGCCTCGGAACATGCAGAATGCCATTGCAGGGATTTTCCTGGACAGGAACCCCCGGAAGTCCCTCGAGATCATTTGGAGAGGTCTCGATACCCAGAGGCGTGGCATTGCGCATGACTCAGTTTGTGCTTTTGGATCTTTTGGATCTTTTGGATTTCGGATGATTTTGGTGTCATGGGTCTGACCTTCCAGCGCAGGAACCTTCGGTAGATCCAGTAGATCCACAGGCACCAAAAAAAGCACCACAACTCGCCATCGGTTGAGAGGGTTGAGATGGGATGAACGATGTTATGGTTAACCACCATTAACCACCATTAACCACTATTAACCACCATTAACCACTGTTAACCACTATTAACCACTGTTAACCGATGTTCGATGGTTGGACAAGTGTAGCCAATCTGCAGGTGTCGGCCACCATGATATGATACTTCCAGATCGCCGATCTGGGATGCATCTCTAATATCATCTCAATTATCATGTTCATCAGGTTCATCAGATTCATGATCATGAATATATATCATTATGTTACTTATGTTACTTATGTTACTTATGTTACTTATGTCCATGATTATCATCAGACATCAGATATCATTCTCACTTCTCACGGTTCATCTTATGGACACGCGGAGAGCCAGGCGCGATCCGGAGAGGACCACGCAGAGCACGTGCGTACTGAGGCGACCCAGTGGCCTGACCAGTCGCAGAAATCTTCAGTCAACGCTTTGCCATCTTATACCTGAAGGAATTCTTACTTATACTATAGAATATATATATATATGTATATATATATATACATCTATATATACATATATATATATAATACTATTGAACATTCTAACACTTTGCCGACACTTAAAGAGAGGAAAACTATTGACTATTCTGAAGCGGAACCGTGTCGCAGGGGTTGGGACAGACACCGTGACCGTTTTTCAGTTCGAGGCTCCCACGACTGGCACGACTGGTGCTCAGGCTACTGCCTCAGATCAGTCTGATGATGATGATGATGATGAGGATGATGACGATGATGAGGATGATGACGATGATGATGATGATGATGATGATGATGATGATACAGATACAGATACAGTTGAAGCGATGACCCAGCTGCGAAACAAGTGAAAAATGTCACTAGTCACTTCTCAGAGATGCCTGGAACATCTGATTTTGCTGACTTTTTTTTTGCAAATCTTTGGCCATTTTTGGTTCGAAGGGTTATAGGTTTTGGCTTTCCCCGAGCAAACAGGGCCGGGGATGCTGGACAACCTGGGTAACCGCTTTGTGTTTCCCGCACCACAACCATCATATGGCGTGCAGTCCTACAAGAGGAATCTGTGCTGGATTCCATGGAATAGTGTGATCTCACCGAAGCGTGTAGATGAAGCGAATGCTGAAGCGAATGCAAGTGGCATTCCATGTCTTTGGTTTCCAGCACCAAAGGCTGCTACAGTGATTCTCTTCTTTCATGCAAATGCAGAAGACTTGGGCATGTCATTCGCAGTGCTTCGGCACGTTCGCGATCAATTCAAGGTAAATGTCTTAGCCGTTGAGTATCCAGGATATGGCCTTTTGCACCACATGGAACCTTCAGAAGCTGCAGTCTATGAAGTAGCTCTCACTGCATTTCGATTCCTTGTAGATGAAATTGGTGTGAGATACTCACAGATCATTCTCTTTGGACGGTCCTTAGGAAGTGGTCCAGCCGTTTTCCTAGCTGCACAGTATCCGGTGGGAGGCCTGATTCTGGTTTCGGCCTTCACTTCGATTCGGGCAGCTGTGCAAAGCATCGTTGGACGTGTGGTGGCCTGGACCTTCAACGAGCGTTTTCCCAACAGTCGGATCATCGCCAACGTCTCGTGCTCCACTCTCTTCATCCACGGCGAATCGGATTCGCTGATTCCAGCGGAGCATTCGCTGCGACTCTTCAAGCGATGTAGAGCCAGAAAGCTCCTGGTGACTCCGCCAAAGATGGAACACAATTCCAATTTGTTTGGTGATGCTTCATTCCTGGCAGTTCCAGCCATCCATTTTTTCGGTTTCCCCGGGTACTACACAGCTTCTCCACCCAGATTGTCAGCTCATCTCTTTGAAGATCCAGCCAAAAGAGCACGTCTCAAGGAGAGGGATGGCTCTCAACTGTTGACCAAACCATCGTGGCTGTGTGATTGCTTGGCCAAAGGAGATGCTCAGCATTTGGATGTGACGTTTTGTCGACAAGAGAACTCAGTCGAGGATATCACCATCCGCTTCCAAGACCCTTCGCATCTTGAGCAGGTGGATCTCAGAGAAGCTGGGAACACTGGGAACAGTGGGAACAGTGGGAACAGCGAACAGGATGGGCAGGATGGGCAGGATGGGCAGGCGCGCGAGTCTGACTCTGTGCCTCAAAGACGAAGCCTTGACGAGGAGAGAAGTGACGACCTTGTCGTCGACAAAGTGGGAGTTTCCGTGGATCCCACACAGTCCAGACAGAGCGACGCCGAGACCGGAAGTAAAGAGGGAAGCTCGGTGATAATGTCTTACACGACATGAATATACACCAATGTTTCACCACAGATCAGTAGCATTCCTGAAAAAGAACGCTTTGCACCGGTCGCTTTGAACGCTAATCCGGTGCTTTGGTCTCTTTGTTTTCCGATGTCCATGAAATATCGATTTGCCTGAATCCAAGAAAACATTTTAAATCCTCACGTGAGTAGACGTGAGTAGTCTTCAAAGTCTTTCATCTTTTATTCCTTTGGAGCATTTGGAGTCTCTCTAGACGTCAGGCTGAATGTGACGAGAGCAGGAAGTGCGTGATGGGAGCCAGTTGCCACCTGAGCTCCCGAAACTTCAGAATGAAGATGAATTTTTTGTGGCTATGAAATGACTATGAAATGGGTATGGATCAATACCTATTATATAATACCATTTTTAGTGGGATGAACATCCATTTACCAGCTATTTTGATGTTCACCAGGGGTACAAGGTTTTGACACACTGCCAAATGACTATGAAGTGACTATGAAGTGTCTGTGTAATGGTGATGCCCAAATGCATAGTCTGTGGACCCTTGGAGAAGCGAAGGGTTTTTTCTGTGTGGCGAAGGTGTTCTATGCCCTGACAAGCTGGAGTCCCAGAGTCCCAAGCAGAAAATCCGCTGAGAAAGATGGAAACTGCGAGGTGATCTGTGCTCGAAAGGAGTGTTACCCTCTGGTAAACATACAAAAAACTATGGAAAATCACAATTTTTCATAGGAAAATCAATTTTTAAATTGCAATTTTCAATAGCTATGTTAGTTTACCAGAGGTAGATCGTACTGTTTCACAGGAAATCGCGCTGCGCGGGTATGGGCTGTTGCCCTGATGGCTCGTACGAGGCCCAGGTTCAGACTTCGTTTGCTGGAAATGCCACCAAAATATAATGCCTTTAAAGATGCTACAATGTGGGGCCCCCCACTTATAAGTTGGTTTATAACCCCCATTAACTATAGTTATAAGTACCATAAACCATAGTTATAAAGGAGTTATGTTCACCAACTGAACGCTATCGTGGCCGGGGGCCCACATGGAGTATCCAAGGCTGTGCCCATCAGCACCTACGTTGGTGGCTGGCACATCAGGCAGTGTCCTGATTGGTGATGTCTCGATCTCGATTGGTCATGACGGGTAAAACAATGTCATAAACCATCCCCCCAGTATCTCCCAGTCAGCATTTTTATAGGTGGTAGTTGTATAAACCATTCCCAGTCATGGGTGGTAAAAATAAGGCATTGTTTTACCATGTTTTACCTACATAAAAATGTGTGATTGTGCCTGTGTGGTCTCGAATTTTAAGGAATGTGGACCTTGCAACTGTGATTGTGCCTGCGTCGACAGGTTGTCCGAGTCCGAAAGCTTACGACTGCACTTGTCTGGGTCCTCGGAAATTCGCCTGGCTACAGATTGCTGCAGGCGTTGGTGTCCTCGTTGGATACCTTTGCTCCGTTAAACCCGTTGGATCCTTTGGACCCTTTGGATCCTTTGGATCCTTTGGATCCTTCGCTCAGGTGTAGCCAAACCTGTAATTGTTGGCCATGCCAGCTGCCTGGTGGGTGTGCTGAGCTGAGGATTGACACTTTCACAGTGCTTTCGCAACAGGAAACGATGAAAGAGGATGTCAGAAGCACTGCAATAAGAATCAGAAAGATCAGAAAGATCAGAAAGATCAGAAAGAAACATGTTTTGATTCCAGATATTCCAGAGTCTTCAGTGGCAATACAGTGTATACCGACTTGATGTTGTACAGCATGCTTTGTTTTAGCTGAATGCTGAACATTGTGGCGTCATAGCGCTGGGCGAGGCAAGTGTCCGCTGCCCGGGCTCGCTGGGAACTGAGGACACGCTCGGACCGAGTCCGCTCAGAGTTCCCCGCGCTGGCCGCGCTCAGGTCACAAAACTGCTCCATCGGTTGCTGTCCCGACGGGTCGCAGTAGCCTCAGTGACCTCAGATGCCGAAAACACGCCGAAACGTGCCATCGTCGTGCCATCGTCGTGCCTTAAAGTCGTGCCATCGTTGCAGGACTTGCCCTTCAGCGCCTCTGGGAACTGTGTGCCCTTCACCCAAGAAGGAGGACTGCACAGGCACGATGTGAAGTGGCACACATGGCAGCACACATAATATGCACACATGGCATACCATGCCATGACGCCATGACTCTTGGCCAATGTGGTGATTCAGCTGACGCGAGTTTGGAAATTTGGGACGCATTCTGACTGCATCTCCGTGAGGTCAAACAATGATCCGAAAATACGAAGGCTTTGCGAGAGCTGCGTCCGCAGAGGCATGGTAATTTTTCAACGGTGACGTCTTTTCGTCCGTTGCAACGCTCAGTTCATGAAGATGTGCAATACTTCCACTTGTCAGATTCATGGTAGAAATGGTCCCAGATTGGTTGCGCAGGGCCACACGACATATTAGATGCACATTAGATACACATTAGATGCATTTAGATTCGTGTTTTCAATCTCACATCTAAACAGTGCTCAATGGAGGTCCCAATAATGATCATACTGAAAAATACATGGGTTAGAAATGGCATAATCCCCCTAGAATGATCTATAATATATAACTTATATAACTTAACATAACCTAACTATGAACCCACCGGAGTTTTTGACCCTGTTTATCCGCTGTTTATCCCGTCAGATTCCGTCACCCGCGGCTCCTGGACAGATGCGGCACTTCAATCCTTTTGCTTTGGTTGCTTTGGCGACAGTTCTTGCCAGTCCCTGAGATCATCTGAGATCGCTCACGATCTTTTTGGGTCATGTGAGTCATGTGAGTGGTCGGCTTCCCCTTGGGGCTTTGCCTGATGTCATGGTATTGTCTCCATGTTTTCCTTTGTTTTTGGCACATACGCTATGGTTTGTGTACTGGGTTCCTCTCTGTGTGCAGTCAAGCTAGGTGAATTTGTTCGGGTACAGCCTGCAAAGGCCTTTTGTTGGGGTAACCATTACTGACTCATGCTGACCACCTCTTGGTATTTGACGTCTGCGGGACCATTCCGATGTGTTGCTCCCGTGCTCCAGACATGTTGGGTTTGAGGTCACAGTGGCTGCATTGGCGAAGGCAAGAGAATTTTCAGACTTCCGCAATGGTATTTGGACAAGTAATGGGAAGCATCTCCATGAGAAAGACATAAATATAGGGTACAAGTATGTACAAGTAATGTACCATACAATACACATCGCTGAGGTACACAATTGTTGAATAAGAATCAATCAAAATGAATCAAAATGAATCAAGATGAATCAAGATGAATCAGATGTGTCAGATTTTTGTGGCATTTTTTTCATGTTCTCTTCAGGGCCGACAGCGCCGTTCGATGTACCTGACGGCCCAGAATCTCAGTGTTTTGTTGTGCTGCCGTGACCAAAACACTGAGATCCATAGGTGCCATAGGTCTGGGGGTTTCCATAAATGGCGGATCCCCAACATCCCAATAGCTGGTTGTTTTTTTTTAAATGTTTTTTAGTTGAAAAATCATTCCTGGAACATCCAGAAAAATATAAATGGATGATTTTAAGAACATCATATGGAGGAACCATTGGATATCCCCATATAATAATATAGGAATCATTGGTTCCTGAAATGATGATCCATTGGATTTTAAGGGATATCCCCATAAGTATGGAAAGCCCCTTAAATATGATCAAATATGGATCATGGATCGGCACCGAGATGCTGTGGCACCGATCTCAGGTTGCCTCCTCTGAGGGCGAAGCCGGCGAAGCGTAGCCGTGCGTAGCTATGCGTAGTACCGTGGGATGAAGCGAGCTTTTTGAAGCGTTTTTTCCATGGGAATTTCAGGAATTTCAATGGGAATATAGGCCAAAAATATATGGAATCGGTACCTCCAATTTAATTTCGGTTCCTAAGATGGCCAGTGATTTTTGGACGTGGCCACTGGCTGCTGTTCCCGATACTTCCTGATTCACTGGTTCGACCCAAGTCTGAGCATGGCATCTGAGATCTTGGAAACTCCTGGCACATGGAAAGTCAGGTTTTCAGGATACACTCAATACATCTCAATACTCTCTAGGACTTTTTCGGGAAGGCTGTGACGTTTGTACTGTGCCTCAGGTTTTACATTGTCCTCCATGGAATGAGACACCCTACGAAATATGTGAATGGATATGGGAGCGTTAAAAGGTGGGATCAAGCTTGCGAAAACAAGGGGCTTCATCGGCTTAGTTTGGGCCATGTCCAATTGAAACTATTGAAATGACTGCCAGAGGCGAAACAACAGAAATTTGGGGCAATTGGGACTTCTGAATGTGTGGCACAGTGCTCTTTGTCACGAAGAATCGCAGTGGGCGTATGTATCTATAGCTCTATGTTTGTCATGTATATGACATTCTATGACTCAATGACTCTCTATGTGTACTTGCAGTATATCCATTCTAATCCACTATATATATATAATATATAGTAACTGTATGTAATTGTTTTGTGTCTCTGCGATCTTCTGCCTTGGTGAAAAGTAAAGCGCACTTCTCAAAGGAGAGGCGACCTCAGGCGACCAAACCGACCCAACCGACCAAACCGACACCATTGCAACCAGGAAACATCGGGGTTTCCCATCATCATAGAATTGGATGATGGGAAAATTTACAGGAAACCCCAAACAATTTGATGGTAAAACCATGGTTTCCGGTTAAGATTTTCCCTTAAACCAATCCATTGACATCTATTGACATCTTTGTTAACGGTTATGACATGCAATGGCAGCGGCTCTAGCGACAGCAGACTCGTCGGACTCGTCAAAGGAACGAGTCGTCGAACGCCGATGCGCCGATGGTGTCCAGCGGTCCGTCGATCCGAAAAAAGACAAGACACTGCGACTGTGGATAGCATAGATATAGCATAGATATAGCATAGATATAGCATAGGATAGCATATAGATGCGATGTATTTGTCAAAGATCATGCAATTTCTTTTCTTCATGGGCCTTTGCCCATGCACTTCAAAACCTTCCAGTCACGATTTCCATTGTGTCTTCGATTCCTCCAAGACGCAGGTTTGCGGCTGCAAGAACTTTCAGGCCAAATGACATCTGACACAAATGAGACATGATCAGTGGATATCAGTGGTCAGCGATTGTTTCTTTAAAGTAATCTTCAATCTGCAGCAGCAGTCTTGTCCGATTCGTCCGATCTTGATGTATCCTTGCGTTGTTCAGTGCCTTTCAACACTTGCCAGGGACAAGCTTTGGGGCAACCATCGCCCTTGAATAAGTTAAGACACTGTTAAGTGTTCCTCTTTATACAGCTTTGTACATCTTTGTCCATCTTTATATCTTTTGTCCGAAGTACTCCGAAGTACTCGTAGCAAGGAAAATCGTTTGGAAAGTTGTGAGAAATTCTTGCCATGTTTCGCACGAGGAGCCTCTGCCGAAGGCAAAGCTTCTTGGATGACCCTCGTGCAGCGCGAGTTGGAAAAGGACTGGACAGATCTAAGTTTCTGCAGAATCTGTACGAAATCAGAGATCATTTTGGAAAAGCATAAGAAAACCTATCTCTGCAGAAACTTTTGCAACATTTTGCAACATGTTTTACCGTTGTACCATGTTTCACCATCTGTAGGATGCCTGTCCTGAAGCACGTAGAGAAGAGGTCATAGCTTGCCTAAGGCTCGACGACCAGGTTTTCAGGTGTCGTGGTGCGATAGTCGTGTGGAAAATCAAACATCAATCAGACATTTGTCACAGTGTGCGTATTGTGTGTCACACAGCTGATGAATCACAATGAACAATATGGATCGATATTTAATGAACATTGTATTCATAATATCATATAATATCGAATATGATCATAACTCATAACAATAATTAAGTATAATTAAGTGATATTCACAGATATTCACAGTTGATATACATATTTAATTAATTTTAATTAGAATAATGACATATTTTGGATATTTTCGGCTGGATCAACGGATATATTTTGGATGGTCCCGATTCCCGATGGTGCATCGAGGCCTCCGAGGCCGAAAGCGATGCGGCAGGAGTCGTGACACCTGCGTCGTGCTTCTTTTCGCTTTTGGAATCCTCTCAGCTGATTGATGTCTTAATGTGTGAGTGACCATTTAAATGTCTATATCAATGACCATTTCAATGTCTATCAATGTCTATCAATGTCTAGGCAGGCCTTTTTGGGTCTATCATGCTGTATCTATCTGTGTCGATTTTGTCAATTTTGACACCGTGCTTTGATGACTTTCGGCATCCGTCAGCTGTTCCAGCTGTCAAATCCGTAGATCGAAGCTTTAGGGTGTAGTCCGCACCAGGCTTCGCAGTTTTGAGAGTCTGATTCTGATTGATTCTGATTGATTCTGATTGATTCTGATTGATTCTGATTGTCAGTGTTTGACTATGTTTGGATTTGTGTGAACATCACCATTTGCTGAGCCATTTTGGAGCCATCTTGGTCTGAGCTGAACTATTCATCTTCGTACAGAAGCGTTTCCCTTCGCAGAAATTCTCTTCATGGGCAGGTTGCCAAGAATGTCGACAAATGCTCTTCCTTACATTGGACGGAAGATCAGCCAGGGAGCACAGTGACTGGATGTGGCCGACCTTTGTGTCGTTACTGATGAAAAACAATGGACTACCCGGCCTGGTAAACAGTCCCAAAAAACTGGTGGGAAAATCACCATGCGATTTTCATGGGTAAATCAACTATTTCAATGGCCATTTTCAATAGCTATGTAACAAATTACCAGAGGGTATATAAATAGACCTGCAACCTGCTGAAACCTGAGTCCCCATCGCTTTGCAGATCCAGTTCTGAGGCCTGGTTTCAAACTCTGAGCTGCGTTACGAAGGCATTCTCTACACCATCAACACGCAGGACTTAGCACACATTTCGATTGTTTCGATTGTTTCGCAGTATTTTGATAACGTGTTTTGAAGAGTGCCAAAGCCCAACAAAGTCCACCGTCCGAGCGCTTCTGACTTGGAAACACGTGGGCCATGGCAGACCGCTAGTCACACGGCCAATTGGCTCGAAAAGCCCCGGATCACTCTGTGGGCGATTGTCCATGACGGTTCGATAGCGATACGACGCGATGGAACTCCGGCGCCTTCTGACGCTGAGCCTTCTGCATCTTCTGCTTTCTGCAGCGGTCAATGTCCAGCTGCGCGGCCGCGGCCGCGGCACTCACGTGACCGGTCGCCTGCAGTCAGAGTTTCCTTTCTACCACACAACCGAGGAGCTGAATTTTTCACAGTCTGACAACATAACTATGGAAAATCACAATTTTCAATGGGAAAATCCACTATTTCAATGGCCATTTTCAATAGCTTTTTGCATGTTTACCAGGCCGGGCGCCAACAAGAAATTCATACCATTGGGGTATAGGACATTAGGACATCGGACCAGGGGGTCACCGGTGTCACCAGTGGTGGCTTTGGGATCATCAGGAGTTGCAATCGGAGGCAAAGCGTTTAGTGTCTTCATGCAAAGCTTCTGCAAAACTGCAGACGGTTCAAAAGGACTGCCGGAAACTGACCAACTGACCACTGTAGGACTGGCGCAATTGACGCAATTGCCATGGTGACTATGATTGTTTCTGCTGGTTTCTGAATGTCTTGTGTTTTCTGTTCAATCTCAGTGCTCAAATTAATGACTTTGTAATTTACGACAATTGTGAAGGTCTTGGAGAAAACACCTTATCTTTCGTTTCGTTATTGTTGAGTTCAAAACTGATTCACGGCATTTCACAGCAACTGCAGCGCGTTGGTGACCGTTGGTGTTCAGGACTACGTCAGCATCGACGAGATCCGGGTGAATCCGATAGCGGCCTCGAACCATTCGGCGAAGTCGGCGAAGTCGGCGAAGTCGGCGACTCCGAACCGAGTGTCTCTGCTCTTCGGCGAACACAGCCGTGAACTCATTGGGCCAGAGACCGGCCTGATGCTCCTGCCTCTCAGCGCTCACAAGTCTCAACAAGTCTCAACAAGTTTCAACATTCCTTGATCTTCCTTGCTTCTTTTTGCTTCTTGTTTCTAAACATGTCTCAGTTTTCCCTCGATTCCTTGCTTCATCACTAACTAGACTTCATCTACACTTCTATGGAGATCTATGGAGCCTTTTCCATCCTTTTCCTTTTTCATCCGTTTTCCTTTTCATTTTGTTCTCTGGCGCCGCTAGCGCTACGTAGCCGCGACGATCTCAGATATCTCAGGAAGATGCTGTGTGGCGAGACATCGACCAAGAAAGGCATGCTGGAGGAAGCGCTGAAAGACAGCGAGTTTCAGCTGATTTTGAACGCCAACCCATCGTCACGACTTCGTGTAGAAGCAGGTCCAAAATCCAAAATGGATCAACATGTTCCAAAATGTGAACCAAACACAAAAAAAGGATGGGAAGGAGCAAAGGAACTGGAAGGAACTGGAAGGACTTTGGTTTTTGACATTTTTTGACATCTCTTGGATGTTTTGGACATGCTTGGACATGCTTGGCCCTGCTCTTTTTTTGGTCTCTTTTCTACTTGAGCAACTTTGAATATCATGAAGCCAACTAAACCCCGGCCCCTGGCTGTGTCATTTCCAAAAACTGTGCTGCAGCAGGTGAGTACTGCCTGCGTGAAAATCCCAACGGCGTCGATTTGAATCGAAACTGGGATGAGAAATGGGACTTGGGCACAGAACATTCTGCCGAGCAATCGCATGGGAAACGTCCCTTCAGCGAGCCGCTTGACTCTATGCTGAGCAACTTTTTAACCCAAAGTGACTCGAAACAAGGTAGATATGGGGAGATATGGGGAGATACTAGAAAACAGGTACCATGAAAAGTATATGAAGTTATATATGAATATATATGAAGTTATATATGCACATAATATTAATTTGTTAACCACTAATGACTAAAGAATCTGAATTTTGATGACTTGACCCAACGCGTTGCGTAGGCCAGAGACGCAATTGGTGCGTGATCTCATCAGCGACTTCAAGCCGACCACCTTTCTTTCAGTGTCTCGCACGCATGGCAGTGGCTAAGACAGTTGACAGATGTTGACATATTTATTATGTAAACATTATGTAACTTAAGGATACTCAAGGTTAATAAGTGTTACTATCTGTGAATATTATCATTATCTCAGGCTATGTTTCTTGGGCCGAGCGGGAGCTGTGCAGCTTGCGCTAAGCGGCTACGCGCCGCTTTGAGGTACACAGCGGTACTTTGGGACTGTACATGCCCTGGGCCTACGACAGTCAGCACCTAGCACAACGAAACCGTGCTGGGATGCTGTCAGTCTTGAAGGACGCTGCTCGCTGACCGCTGAGCTTCATGTTTCCGCTTCCAGCCGAGCTGCTCGGGAATCAGACAGTTGTTAAAGATCACTTTTCAAAAGGTCACTCATCTCCGAGGTCGGCGAGTTGATTTCGAGTCGCTCATCATTTCTGTCATCATTTCTGGGTGCTTTCTGGGTCAGGATTTGGATGAGGCCCATTGCAAGTGCCCCTTTGGTGCTGCCGGGCTGGAGGTGGGCTATGATTGTCCTGGCACCAGCTTCTCGGAGAACATGCTGCGAACACCAACATCGTTTGTGAAGATTCGTTTGTTCAATGGGAATTTCAGGATCCTAAAATGGAGGTACTGTACCATATAAGGCCATTGATTTGTTGATGAATTGCTTCATGAATTGCTTCATGACATGCTTCATGTTGAGCGTTTGCATCATGTTTGCATCGGTGTTTGCATCATGAAACTGCCATAAACGGCGTTTGCAGTGCATCCGTTGGTCAGGTTTCGATTGGGTCTTCGACCACCTGAAAGCACCATTTTCCTTCGCCTGGGAGATCTATGCCAATCCTTCAGAAGGTGACAATTTGCGAAGGAGGTGCGAGGATGGAATTGTGCCATTTGACGTGCTTTGAATTAAAAAGATGACAAACAAATTGAAATAAGCATTTTCAGAAATGTGAGTGCAGAAATCACAAGCCCATGGCATGAAAGTGTGATGACCCACTTTGTATAGGAATCCAGCTGCCCTTAGTGCCCTTTAAAGAATCCGGTTTGAAATGGCTTGAACATCTTGAAAGTTCTGTCCTGCAATCCATTTCCATCTTTATGCGAGCGTTGAAATTGCGCATGCAGGTGGGAAGACAAGGTCGCCAATATGAAAATTCAAAAAGTCTCCCTTTTGCAAAGCATCTCAGCCAGCAAAGGTTTGTGTAGATATGTATATACTGTATAGATATGATGATATATGATGATGTATGATGATGCATGATAATGTATGATAATGTATGATAATGTATATGATAATGTATGATACGTATAGTTAGAGAGTTCAGGGATGTTCATGGATGTTCATTTTTTTGGATGTTCAGAGTTTGATTCATCCAAGGTTTGAGAATTTTGAGAATCATCTCAGGCTAAATCAACTGTGACCAAGTTTCAAGTCTCGAGGCAAAGAATTGTCGGATCTCTATGCTGACTCGCACTCTGACTTCTGGAGCTCAACGGCAATGAATCAGCAGGAATGCTTCTCCAATTTCAATCCTGGAACAGAGGCAGGACTATAGTGGATTCGCACCACTCAAGAGAACTTCTGGCTGTTGATACTGTATGATATTGCGTGATATTGTTCATATGAACATATTACAACACGTAGAGTGCGGTAGAAATTTGTCTGAGTCCAGCTTGTTGGTCCGCGCTTGATTCGGTGACTCAAGCGCCAGGAGGACTACAACGTCACAGTAACCAACTGGGCAACATCCTATTTGAATTTGGCAATCAAGACCGCTCCTTTGGTCAAAAAGCAAAACGCAGATTGACGAAAAAGCGTTTGGGTGCATCATTGCACATCCCAAGTTTTCACAACTTCGCACAAGCGCTTGTGCAGATGAGGGTCCAAGAAAGCGAGTCAGTTTCACTGAAACGAAGGCTGGCGCAGCAAAACAAGATTTAAACAAGCTGAACAGTCTGAGGATGTGCCCAAGCTTGGCGCTTGCTTGTGTTACAAGAGACAAACGGTATAAGTTCAAAATCAGAGCCATGTTGATGGTCCCTTCTATGTCTCTGACGTCGTTCAGAGTTTCAGAGACAGAACGTAGATCCAATCAGGCCAGTGGCTTGACAAAATGTGGCAGAAAGTTTAAGTTCGAAAGTGGAATTAGTCATGATTTTATTCCTGCATATTTCCTCCATATTTCCTCCATATTTCCTCCATATTTCCTCGACATTTCCTCCATACTCCAGGAGTCCACGATAGCTCTTCAGTCCGTGCGATGCTTTGGCACGGAGGGCAGGAAGATGCCTGAGATCCCTCCATCCAGTGAGGCGCATCGAAACGTCCCATTGCTCCAGGTATCTGGTAAACATACAAAAAGCTATTGAAAATGGCCATAGAAATAGTGGATTTACCATGATTTACCCATTAAAAATAGTGATTTTCCATAGCTATGTAAACGTTTACCAGAGGGTATCCAGGGATTTCTTGTGGCGCTTCCATCGCGAGGTCTACGACTTTATCATCTTCCGTGGACAGGACATCAAAGACTTGACCGTTTTGGAAGGTCAGGGAAAGCCTTCAAGCGTTCCTTTGCTGCATTCTGGATCATTCTGGTCTTAAGATATGTCTTGATGTCAAGGCACACTTGCAAAGTCCAGGGCTAGCGGCTACACTCTGTGTTCGAGTGTTCGATGGCGTTGAATAGGTGTTGGACAGGTGTTTGGGCTATCGCTGTGCTGATGTCACTTGGTGAAGTTTTCTGATCGCTAGCAGCGTGCTGAGACCACCGATCCTGCAATTATCTCTGTGAATCAACGTCCTGCAGGCCATGCTTTCACGATGGGAATGAATAGGAATATGAGATCCAGTCAGACATGCGGCTAGCGTCAGCTATGGATAGCTATGGCAGCTAGAGGGTTTTTCAATATTTTTCAACTCATGGCAGCATTCAACAGCAGCTTCTGCTAGCGTCCCTCTTGCTGATCAGCAAGGTATTGGGGAATCTCCTGCATCCATCTGCATCCAGTATCATCCAGTCTGCGCCAGGTAAGGATGGAAAGGGGAAGGGTGACACTGGAGGCGTGCCAACAATTGACAGTGACGCCTCCGACTGGGACGGACCCGTGTCCCACGGCTATCGACGATACATACAGAGCTCCGAACGGAGCTGCGTTTTTCGGTGCCCTCGGAGCCTTTTGGAGTCCCAAAAATCCCAGAAGCTCAGTACGGAGCACAAAAGGCACTTTTCCCACCACTTTTCCAGCCCCTTTTCCCACCATTTGGTGTGTCAGGCTTTATGCAAGGCAAGGCCACCTATGGGCCCAGCTGGCACAATTTGGCATCTTGGCATCTTGGAGCTGAAAAACCTTGCTCCGCAGCATGCTCCGCACAGATAAAATCGGCTCTGATCAAACGTATTTGCCAAAGATGTGCTGATTATATGTTTCTGCAGGCTCCCAGTCCTCAAAACTGGCCCAGGGCCCAGGCTTCAGATCATGAATCATGAGTAACAAAGTATCATATGGTTCAGAAATGTTTAGAATAGGATCAATGGGTTCAACCTCAAATATGACTGCATCTGGAAAACCCACAATTCAATGCTGAAGTCATCCAGAAGCAGGCTGGATCATCACTTGATGTAGCAAGTGGAAAGTGAAAGCGCAGCATATCAAGCAGCAACAAAATCATATTTCAATGGCTGGCAAGAGAAGCAGCTGCGCCCTAGAGCTGCTGACTTACTAATAGTCTACAGATGTCTACAGTATCATCTAAGTCTATCATGTCTATCTTGCTTCTAATAGCACGAGTGGAACAATTGGAAGGATGTGAGGAGGACAGCTCTCCACCTTCCTGGAATTGGCATGCGACATGGTGACCGCTTCAATCCGCGCGTTGCGGATGGCTGGGCGCTTGCGGTGTGCTGGCAGTAACCTACGTCGTGCTACCACCCAAAGTCAAGGTCGCTCGGGGGATTCATAAACCTTCAGATTTAATTCTTGTTACTATGACTTGACTTGCATGTACCTCGAATTAATCTTATACCCATACTACTTTTTTTTAATCACCTTGGCCACGATTTATTGTTTTCTATATGTTTTGTCTAGTATATCACATAAAAAATGCCTTCAGCATTTATTTATTGTATTGCAGGCATGTTCCCGAGCATCTCTCCTTGCCAGGTTTGTGATTCTTTCTAGTACTAGATCTGTGATTCTGGTAAGGAGTTTTAGGGAATTTTAAGGACGAAAGTTTTGGGCTAAGAACGAAAGTTATGTGTTAAGGACGAAAGTTGTGTGTTAAGGACGAAAGTTTTGTGTTAAGGACGAAAGTTGTGTGTTAAGGACGAAAGTTTTGTGTTAAGGACGAAAGTTTTGTGTTAAGGGTGAAAGTTCTGTGGTAAGGACGAAAGTTTTGTGTTAAGGACGAAAGTTTTGTGTTAAGGACGAAAGTTTTGTGTTAAGGACGAAATTTTGGAATTTTAAGGAATTTAAAGGAATTATAATCCCTTTTCCGAACTAGAAGCACTTATATATGCATATAATTTAACTTCAAACGAACCAAATGAAACCAACTGAAACCCCAAAAAGCTTTACAAGAGAGATTTGGTTAATATACATGCTGCCTGAACAAACCAAATCGTGGTTTAAAATGGTTTAAAACTAGCGTTTTTTTTTGTAGTTGAACCGTTTCCAAGCGTGGTTTGGATCAATAAGTTTAAATCGTGGGTGTACCCGTCTCTTCAGATTTGAAGCTGCATCACGCAGCACGCAGCATCACGCAGCCTCGATTTGTCTGACGTAGGTGGCTTCTTCAGCGCGCTTTCTTGCTTCAAGGAGCGTTGGTCTTCCAGGTGTCACTACTTCATTCATGTTGGCCACTTTGGCAGCGAAGTCGGCGAAGACCCACGCATTTTCTTCGATTTCTGTGGTAGATTCCAATTCACATGATTTATCATGATGGAACTGACTTCAGAACTGTGAGCTTGAAGAAATGGTCTTTGAGGCAACTGCATTGTCTTGCTTGCCATCAATCAGGCGCTCCTTTGCGCATGATTTTACATGTCTCTTGTGAGTTTTTCTATTAATTTCTATAATTTCTAGGGTTTCTACCCTTTGCATGGTCCTCTTCAAAGGTGAAACAAAGGTGAAACAGGCGACTGCCACGCATCCACAGCATCCACAGCATCCACAGCATCCACAGCATCCACAGCATCCATGCAGCGCTGCCAGAAAGACATGCTGCAGCTGCGGAGCCTTTCGGTGACCGCCTCCTGCTGTGGCATCGCTTACAACCTCCTGCAGCCAACGCCCCTTTGGGCACCAGCTGCTTGGGGTGCCTTTTTCATCTCTTGTCATCTGCCCCTCATCTGCACCGCTGGGAATCTTCTGCAAATCTTCGACAGGTCGAAAAATCTCCAAGGATGTTGGATGGCCAGTTGTCCCAATCAGTCCCGGATACGCGCAGTTGGATCAGTGCTGCACCCAAGGTACTACATCACCCAATTACTTCGTGACCGTGTGGGTATCACATTGGATCCAGATCATGAGGCTTCTCCACAGAAACCGAAACATTTGAAACATTTGAAACACATTCAGCAAGCCATTGTGTGGCACTTGGAGATTTCCAACAGATTTCGTATGAATTCCTAAGTTTTTTTTTCTTTTGCGGCATTTCCCATGTTTTTTCCCATGGTTTTCCCATGTTTTTTCCCATCTTTTTCGAGCGAGTTCTTCCCGAAAATTCCCCAACGGAGGCAGCGTATGAGATGGCCTTCATGCCTCATGGCTTCACACCACGGCAGTTCCTGAAAGTCTTCGAGGCATGTTCTGGGCGGATCGAAGAGGCCTTTTGTGGCACCTACATTTGCCGCCAAGGACCCGTGGTGCAAAAAGTTGAAAGAGATCTGTTTAAAGTTTATAATTTTATAATATAGTATATATATATAATATAAGTATATTATATAAATATTTATATAATTATATACAGTACATACATGCATACATGCATGCATACATACATGCATACATACATACATGCATACATGCATACATGCATACATGCATGCATATATGCATACATGCATACATGCATACATGCATACATGCATACATGCATACAGGCATACAGGCATACAGGCATACAGGCATACATGCATACATGCATACACGCATACAGGCATACATGCATACATGCATACATGCATACACGCATACACGCATGCATGCATACACGCATACATGCATACATGCACACATGCATACACGCATACACGCATACAGGCATACAGGCATACATGCATATATGCATACATGCATACATGCATACATGCATACATGCATACAGGCATACAGGCATACAGGCATACAGGCATACATGCATACATGCATACACGCATACAGGCATACAGGCATACATGCATACATGCATACACGCATACATGCATACACGCATACATGCATACATGCATACATGCATACACGCATACACGCATACAGGCATGCAGGCATACATGTATACACGCATACACGCATACATGCATACATGCATACACGCATACACGCATACATGCATACAGGCATACATGCATAAACGCATACACGCATACATGCATACATGCATACACGCATACATGCATACATGCATACATGCATAGACGCATACATGCATACATGCATACATGCATGCACGCATACATGCATACATGCATACATGCATACACGCATACACGCATACATGCATACATGCATACACGCATACACGCATACACGCATACACGCATACATGCATACATGCATACACGCATACACGCATACATGCATACATGCATACATGCATACACGCATACACGCATACATGCATACACGCATACATGCATACATGCATACATGCATACACGCATACATGCATACATGCATACATGCATATATTTATCAGAGATCTGCTTGATTTCTGCCAGAATCTTATGTTCATATGCAGAAATTGGTGAGTTTGATTGATTTTTGATCCTTTTTCCAGGAGAAACAAAGAAATGGGTCCATTATCTCATGGAGGGCGAGGCGATGCTCATCGACAATGCCGAGGAGTGCAGGTTGCCAGGTTGCTGGGGTTCTTTCGGTGAACCACACCATGACGCCACGTTCTGTGGGGTTACCCTCTGGTAAACATACAAATAGCTATTGAAAATGGCTATAGACCATAGAAATAGTGGATTTAGCCATTAATAGCATGGTGATTTTCCATAGGTTTTTGTATGTTTACCAGAGGGTACAATCATTGTGACACAAGTCTGAGCAACTGCAAAGTGGCTTCTGTGGGGTTAGAGCTGTCCTTCATCACTCTTTTTTTCGAGTGCGTTTTCGCTGGCGTATTCCAGGACAAAGTGGTCAACATTCTACCTGGCAAAGGCAGCTGGTTGGGCGAGTTCTTCGATCCTGCTGAGCCGGATGACTATTGGGAAACACCGCGTTCACACCGTGCCACTTGGTGAATTTTGGCACGCTGAGTTGCTGAGTTCATGATGTTCATGTCATTGAAGATCAAACTATTCAACACATCCAGTTCAATCAATGGGAATTTCAGGATCCAATTCATGGAGGTACGTTAGTACCATATTTTTGGCCATATTTTCTGGGGATATTCACATCCAGTTGAAGTAACAAGAAACCAATCACACGACTCTTGCCGCATCTGTCGCCCCAAGGTGTCCTTCAAATGCATTGCCAAGCGCTGTCGGCTTTTGACCTTGGAAATTCGTCCTTTGCACAACGCCATCTTGGAGAGTGGGTTGGCTGAAGTGCCTTGGAGATGTAAGAAGCTGTGACAAGTGTGACAGAGATTGCTGTTGAAAGCGTTGAATCGTACTGAAACATTTGAAACAGCCTGAAAAGATGCATGATTTCTATTAATTTTCTATTTCTTTCTGTAAGAGTTGGCAGATTTGGCAGTACTGCTTGGAATCCTGCGATGAAATTCCAAGGCAGCAACTCGAGCCGAAATCTCTGACCTTTGGGGAAAGCTGAGAGGTTCTCACCATGAACACAGACGGAACACGTACTCGGCGATGCTGGAACTCGCAGTGGCTGATGGCAAAGTGGATCCCAAGGAGGCCATGGCAGTCACCATGGAAAGTCACCATGGAAAGTCACCATGGCTATTAATAGGTAAATAACCATCTAGTTACCATCTGGTTATGACTAACATAGCCATGGAAAATCCCTTATGAATGGAGGTTTTAATGGGAAAACCATCTATTAATGGGAAAACCATCTAACTACATATAGTTACCCTCTGGTTATGACTAACAGTTTGCCATGGTATAGATGGCCCATAGAAATAGATGGTTTACCGTTCTTAAAAATGGGTGGATCTTTCCATGGCAAACTGTTAAATAACCAGATGGTAATAGGTAAACCATCTATTTCTATGGGCCATCTATACCATGGCAAACTGTTAGTCATAACCAAAGGGTAATTGTAGAACATCTGTTATGATTCATTGACTGATTCATTGACTGATTCATTGACTGATTGACTTCTTTCATCTTCTTTCCTTCACTTCGATCACTTCACATCACCCAATTCCACATTAGGAGCGGCGTGCTGCACGGTGCTCCCGTGCACAGGTTGAACTCCTTGACAAATGGAAGACCCGCCATGGGATCCCAGAGGCGTGGTGACCAGTTGACCGTGGTCAGTTAGTCGACTGTCGACCTCGACATGGAAGTCCCGTTGCAGGATGACCACCAGGTGAAGTTGGCCGAGTTGGGTTGGACTACTGAGGACTTTCGGCGACACGAAGATGTCTTCTTTGACTCTTTGATCTGAAAATTTAAGATCTTAATTTGCATTTATGATCATATCTTAGTATATCTAAGTGTCAGTTTCTAAGTCTTATATGTCTTATGATTATGGATATATATAATTATATATATATAAATTATATGTTACATTTATTATGTGGATATTATGGATATTATGGATATATATATATGTTGTTGATCTTAGAAGTACCTTTTGATACAGGAGTCACTTGTGTGTCGCAGGAGTTCACCATAGGTCAACGTGATCCCAATCGACGGCTGCGGCCGCTGCCCAGATATCGGCCCTGCTGTTCTCCCACCACCGCCACGCCCTGCGAAAGTCCGGTGCTGCTCAGCTACCCGGCCTGGTAAACATAGAAAAAGCTATTGAAAATGGCGAAAATGACCATTGAGATAGTGGATTTAGCCATGAAAATAGCATTTTGTGATTTTACCAGTTCGTTTTTTTGGGACTGTTTACCAGGCCGGGTAGGAGTTTTTGGATAGTTGACAGGGAGTCGACCTTCTAAAGAATGCTACTATCATGATCTATCATGCTATCATAGATGGGGATTATGTGCTATCCAGGAACTTGCGCCATGTCATTTTGATTCATTTTGCATATCTTCGCACGGGTATCTTCACGTATCTTCACGTATCTTCACGTATCTTCACGTATCTTCACGTATCTTCACGTATCTTCACATGCCAGGAAGGGGGCATCACCAGCCCCCTGGGCCGCGCCAACACCATCGCCAGCACCTTGCGCCTCGGATTTTCGGATTTTCTACCCTTCCCAAATCCTTTTGGGGATCCTCAGATCTACATCCTTCTACCATCTTCCCATATCTTCCCCCCCCAAATCCTGGCACAATGTAGGGGGATTCCGGGGTGTTCTACCCGGTTTTGTCGCCACATGTGAACCACCAACGCTGAGGGGGTGGAAAGTCATCTGCTCCGGGAATGTCGTCTTGGAATACAGGCAGCAAAGGGTTTGGAAACATGATGAAACCTGCAGAAACATGCGGAAGATCCACCAAAACATGGCAGCATGGATTGCTTCAGGAGCCACTTGGGAGAAAGGTGGCAAGGGCGACTGGAACTCACCAGCGTGGGTGCGGAATCCTGGGCTACAAGATGGGGCCCCCCAGATAGCTAAGTTGGTTTGTAAACCATGAAATAAACCCCATTAACTATAGTTATATCTACCATAAACGATTGTTAAGCCACTTATAAACCAACTTAGCTATCTTGGGGGCCCCATCCTGTAGTACATCTAGTACGATAGAGCCTTGAAGAATCTTGAAGTGCCGATTCGATCAAAGAAAATGCTAGGCACCTGCGAAGCCAAGTCCACCTTCTGGGAAAGGCGCAGCCGAGTGCAACGGCAGTTTGTTTGGGCCTACTTTGGATATTCGAGCCTTCCCATACGATCTGAGAAACACTTTATACACCCTATAATTACTGCATCCTATTCACAACAGTACACTTGCTCACATCTGCTCGATGTGCAAACTTTTGTCAAAGCTGGCCACTTGGAATACATAGATCATTTGCAATGAATTTGGACTTGGTCTCCATTTTCGCTAGGCTGGAACGCCGGCTATGAGAAAGGCCAAGCAACAGGCAGCAGTTCAATGTGCTGAACTCTTTTGTATCATAATCATCAGATATATCATCATCATTGAATCATCATCATCATCATCATCATCATCATCATCATCATCATCATCATCATCATCATCATCATCATCATCATCATCATCATCATCATATATATATATATATCATCATATATCATATATCATCATAGTGTTGTCCGAGTGGTGACTGTAGCCACTTTAAGTATCCAGATCTGGATTTCCGATGGGAGTTTCATCCTGCAGGATATGGAGGCTATGGCGGCGGCGGCTATGGCGGCAACTATGGTGGTGGCTATGGCAATGACTATGGTGGCAAGGGTACAGAAGCCAAGAGAAAGGGTGCCACGATGTTGTTGTACAGATCTACTATGTACGAGCTACTCTAGCTACTCTAGCTACCCTCTGGTAAATTAACATAGCTATGGAAAATCATCATTTTCATGGGTAAATTCACTATTTCAATGGCCATTTTCAATAGCTATGTTAAATTACCAGAGGGTACTCTATAGCTACTCTAGCTGGCACAGCTGGATGACTTTGGATGACTGACTGGTGCATTTATGCTGGACGTAGCCGAGGCTATGGGTACGGCCAGACACGCAGCTTTGCTCTTAGCATCGGAATGGCTGGCTTGTAGCCATGTGTTCTCAAGTGACGACTTCCCAATTTTGGGACTTGCTGGTTCTGTTCTCACCGGGTGCATTTCAAATAATTTCATTCAATGTTTGTTTGTGTTGACGTTGACTGACATTTTTTTGCGTCTCAGACTCAGGAGACTACGGAAAAGACGGCAAAGCCAAGGTTCTGAACCGTTCACCATTGTGGGGTCGACAGATGGCCATGCACGCCATGCCCGCAGGGAAAAGGGAAGTACGATAGGTCCGACAGAGACCGTGGCGCAAAAGGCGCTTGAGACTTAGAGCAGCATAGATAATGTCAACCCCTTGATTATTAAACCCCGTTTACGGCTGTTTAATTGGGACGGTACCATAAAAAAGTATCAGATGTCATGACTATTGGAGGAGTACCCCCTAATTAATAGACCATGGTTTATTAATCCGGGGTTGACATTATTGCATGATATTGCGAGATGCTAGGAGCATTTGAGGATTGAGTGACATGAAGTCGCAACGGACTTGAGGTCGGTAAGTTTGGAAAAGACGGAAAAGGCAGGACAGATTCGGAGGACTCCTCAAAGAATCCAACCAAAAAAGCAGAGCTCTAGATGTTCTCTATTTTAATCTCTAGTGTTCTAAATGAATTTCGAAGGTATTTCAGCTGTCCCAAATTTCTTCGCAGACTTTCAGTGCAAACACGGTTGACTTTGCAGAGCAACGAACGGCCAGGCTTCGGGAAGAAGGCCACGAGTCTCACGAATCTCACGAGTCTCACGTGTCAACGTTTCTATGATGGAAGTGATTCAAGTGTGATACTATACTGTAAAAGATTGTATAAGCATACAAGCCTCAATACAGTACAGGCCAGAATATGACTACATCAACACTTCATCGCGTTTTTATTTTGTTTCTGCGTCGTTGTTTGAAGTCTCCTGAGTGATAGCACTGCTCTGTCAGGGTCGACACGACGGCGCTCCAGTCGGATCCTTGATAGTTCTCGATTCCTAGGTCTCGGCAACGTTGGCAGCAGTTCGGATTTGTCCATGGCCACAGGTTGGCGAGCTGGTTCCAGAGGAGAACGCCACCACGAAGCGTGAGTGTGCCTCGGACCGGCGCGCTGCTGTGAGCTGGGAGCAGCATCGCAATTCTCGCAATCTCGCAATCACACCCGACTGGAAATGAGTGGATAAAGTTGTGGAGACTATATCCAATTCTTATTATATGCAATACAAACCAAAATATAATGCAATACAATACATCTAATTTTGATTTGTATTGTGATTATTGTGGCATCGCAGGAATTTGATTTGACAGCTGCCAACGATCGCTTCGAAAAGTTGGACAATCCCGACACAGGCACAGAAGGCGAAGGGGACGAAGGGGAGAAGTGATGGGAAGTGATGAGACGTGATTCCAAAACACACAGATTTCATGGGATTTTATGATTTTATCATCATTTTTTGCATATAAACTGAATAAATGTACAGAACTCTGAATGAATTTCTCTGGTCCTGTAAGTGGCATGAACCCACCAATGTTGCACGCAGCTACTCACACGCACGCCGTAAAACGATATTGGAAACAAGTGGTGCACCAAGAGCCGAGACAAATCGAGACAAGATCAAAGGAAAGTTGAGTCAGAAAAATGGCAAAAAGAAATACCGTGCACGATGCAAGACTTTGATTCCAATGTCTCACTGTTTCTCACTGACTCTCAGTGGAACTCTCACCCGGCACTCGCACTCCACTTGGCCTTACTCCACCAGCGCAAGCGCTGCGTGGGCCGCTTGAACTTCGTGAGGTGCCGATTTGAAGCCCTTGGACGGCTACGACAAGACCAAGTGCGGGTCTCAGACTAGGCCACTTGAGTATTTGCAAGTGAGATGTTGCTTTCATCTCTTAGCTGTGACGATTATCTGCATATCATCACCTGTTCACTAGCTCTTTGCATCAAAGCACCCAGCAGCGGGTTGGAAGCCATGCGTCCCTGGATCAACCTCGGTTCAGGATTCCCTCTCATATCCTCTCAGAGGGGACAAAATCAGGGAGGTACACCGGTGCACGTGGGTACACCGGTGCACATGGGTTCACAGATCATGGACAGTGTTTCGCCTCCTCGAGTGGTGGTACGGCGTCAAGCTGTACCGCTTTGGTTGCGAAATATGCAAGACGTCATGGGCACCCAACCGGCACCAGTAGCTGCTTCTCAGATGAGCACAATCCCAGGAATGTCTTTGGAGTTATTGTTTCCTGGCTATGCTCCAACACAGTCGTTTAGTGCACTGCTTGACTCAAGTGGCTGCCTTTTTTGTGAACCCTCTCACGCTGTTCTCAGGTCTTTCTTCGACTGCATCTCGTGCGAGGCGCATTTTAAGTGTATTTAAAATGCATTTGCACTGCGTTTGTCTTTGTCATTCCTAGTCCTCTCTGCATTGCAATTCATCGAAGTTCATGGCAGTTCGTGGCAGGGTTGTGTTTGATTTTGTGTTTGATCTGACCGTTCTGAGAGAATTCTACGGCCTCAACTTTTGCAGAGCCTTTGTTTGCCATCGAGGCGACAGAGAGGGCAGGAACGTCAGAAAGACAGAAGGCGCAGCCCATCGATGTCCCTTACTATGGAGACCAGACTTGGCGTTTCATTGTAGAGGAACTGTTTTTATCACGTGCTGGATACATTTTCCTCTGCGTTTGAGCTATGAAATGCCTGAAGATAAAACCATGCGACATGCGTCAGATTGACCGGGAAAAAGCCAGAGAGTTCGATCGAGAGACCTTTGGCGACACGCTGGAGGCTTAGGTCGCAGCGTGGAATTCCTGGTGTAAACGGGGGCTCTTCATCACCTGCACCGCTGGTGCATCACCTTTGTAGAACTCTGATGCTTTTCTCGTTATGGTTTCCGTTCTCTGGTTGGAGAAGATTGGAGAACCATTTCAGGATGTAGGCATGAATAGTTTCCTGAATCGTTTCCTTTGGGGCCATCCTGAAGTCAATGAAGTCAGTGCGCCTTAAGGCGACGACCACCTCGACCTCAAGGGGGTAAAGGCCGCAGGAGGCATGGTTAGATGCGACAGCCTTGGTGAGATTCGACCTCCAATCCTTGACAAATTCGAACAGAGAAAGGTAGGAGAATTTCAGTTTTTTGTTTTGACTTGTTGAACTGCATTGCATGTATTGCTTCACTGTGTGAAGCAATGCGTTTTGAGGTCTCAAGCATTGACTGGGTCTGAAAATGTCTCCAGAATTTGCAGTGGGTCAGATCTCCTCAATTGTGACTGTATCCTTAAAGATTGAAGGTGTTTTTTTTTGACATATGGTAGTTGATTCATGTAGTTTCCAATCCATAGGGGTACCCCCAAAACATCCATTTATAGATGGATTTTCTCTTGTAAACCATCTGTTTTGAGGTACCCCCATTTATGGAGACCCCCCTTCCTTTATACAATATAATTTTTTATGATCTTGGATGTGGTATAATCGGATCTGCTGTACAGCAATCTGTATGGGTGTCGATGACACACCCGAAGAAGTTCGATGCTCCACGAGGAATTGCCCAGCTCGGACGGTCGGACAACCAGTGGAGCAGCGATGTTCCAAATGCTGCGGACAAAAATTTTGAATCGCAGCAGCATGAAAAGAGTCAAATTTACCAAGACATCATATCCAAATATTGATTTTTAATATTCAAAGGATCTCATATAATATTGATTTATATTTTTATATTCATATTTACTTTTTCATCATAATATTTGCTCGTATTTATCACACCAGATCTTACGACGACCATGCCGGAATTTTGCAAAGCCGAATATCCCAATGCTGCTGCGGTCTGTGCATTTGAATATTTGCAGTGTTGATCTGCGCTCAATCGCACAGTCTGTGCAGTTCAAAGGTTTAATCACAGCGTGGTTTAAGCATGCTGCCAAAGAAGTTGCCGAGTTTCGAGAAAAGTCTGTACTTCCAAACCTTGACCATGTGCCATCATGTGTCATCGTGTGTCATCATGTGTCATCATGTGTCTTTGGGTCTTGGCCACCCCAACCTACGCTTTGCAAACTGAAGTCGCACGAAAATGGTGGGGATGTGTCCAGGAGCGACGAATTGAAGCTCCTCTCCAGGAGGCCCTGTTTCCCCGATGAGTGGACGCACTTCGACTGTTCCAAGACGTGGATGCACCTGAATGGAACAACATCATTTCGTCAAGAGAACGAGAAATACGGTGCAAACGAAATGACTTCCATGCAGTGAGGCTATTATTATAGGACCTTTTCCTCTGACTCAGCCATTGTCAGTCATCATTTCTGAGATATTCCCAGATCTATTGGTTTGCTGCCAGGCACGGACGATGGGGAACACCTCCATGCCCGCGCCGATGCTTGGACCATCTCCGGCCCCGCAGGAGCGATTTGATGCTTGGCCGAGCAGCAAAGAAATCTGTCACAAATCTGTGACATACCCTTCGGTAAACTAACATAGCTGTTGAAAATCCCCATTTATGGATGAATTGCCCATTAAAAATTGAGATTTTCCATACGTAGTTTTTTGTATGTTTACCAGAGGGTATACCGAATCAATGGAACGAATGGACCCAACATGACTCAAATAACCACAACTCGTATTACGACTAGTACCACTACTAGCACCACTACTAGTACCACTACTAGTCGAAGGAAGTTTAGAAGTCAAACTTCCGACAATATGGACAGATGAAAAGGCAGAGGTGGGAAGAGTCAGAGAAGAGAAGAGCAGAAGAAAGAAAATCAGAAAAGAGAAAGAGTCAGAAGACAGAAGATGCAGGTGTGCGAAAAGGTCGAAAAGTCGCGATTCACTGCGTTTTTCCAATGATTTGTGGCTCCGGAGGGTCGAAAAGTAGGCTCGCTAAAGTGCGGCGGGTGCCGAGCCATGTGGTCAAATGAGAGATGAAAAGTTGCACACTGTTGTGGCGCGAAGCACATGTCCAAGTCAAAATGTAGAAAGCACACCCGGTTCGGAGCACTTTTAGAAGTTGCGATGTCGAAAAAGTGCACGCCGTTGTGGCGCGAAGCACATTTGCAAGTGAAAAAGCTAAAAGCACCTCACGTTCGGATCACTTTTGGAAGTTGAGATGTCGAAAAAGTGCACGTCGTTGTGGCGCGAAGCACATTTCCAAGTCAAAAAATGTACAAAACACTTCAGCCTCGGAGCACTTTTGGAAGTTGAGATGTTCAAAAAAGTGTACGCCGTTGTGGCGCGAAGCAAAGCACCACATGTTCGCGCCACTTTTGGATGTTGAAGCGTCGTTTCGTGTGGCAGGCGCAAGGGATTCTCCACCTTGTCAAAAGTGAGCAAAACGCGAGGGTTTTGTGGCATTTCCTAACACAATGGCAGGCGTGGGACATTTGAAGAGGATCTGCAAAGATACATTTTCCGTGGCAGGCGCAGTGCAAGAGACATATTCATCAGAGCTGTTCGGAGGTCTGGGCGTTGATTTCCTAAAAGGGGTTGCATTTTGGAGCATCAGACCTTAAGGTTTGCTGAGATGATTTTGCGTGACAGGTGCAGCACTTCGTATGACCTGGCTTCACTTTTTCGTGGCAGGCGCAATACTTTAGACAGGTGGAGTGGAAACATCGCAAAACGCATTGGTACGAGGCCGTCAGCCCTGCACTCAGCTTTCCATTCTTGAAGGAAGTCTCGCAGAATTGCTTCGTTTTTGATGTTGTCAATTTCGAAAAATGAGGAAGTCTCGCAGAATTGTTTCGTTTTTGACGTTGTCAAGTTCAAAAATTAAGGAAGTATCGCAGAATTGCTGCGTTTTCAAGTTTGCAGATAGACAGATAGATAGACAACTACAACTGCAACTACAACCACGTTACAAGTACCACTACATTTTACGACTACTACAACTACAAGTACAATATATACGCTACATTACACAACACTAATTACACTACACTACACTAAGTATATCTAATTACATCTAATTACACCGAATTACATCCAATTACAGCTCATTACATCTCATTACATCTAATTACACTACACTACACTACAACTACAACAACAACAACTACAACAACTACTACAACTACTACAACTACTACAGCTACTACAACTACTACAACTACTACAACTACTACAGCTACTACAGCTACTGCAACTACTACGACTGCTGCAACTACTACAACTACTACAACAGCAACTACAACAGCAACTGCTGCTACTACTACTACTACTAGTAGTAGTAGTAGTAGGAGGAGTAGTAGTAGTAGTTGTTGTTGTAGTAGTAGTAGCAGTAGTAGTAGTAGTAGCAGTAGCAGTAGCAGTAGCAGTAGCAGTAGCAGTAGCAGTAGCAGTAGCAGTAGCAGTAGGAGTAGGAGTAGGAGTAGGAGTAGTAGTAGTAGTAGTAGGAGCAGTAGTAGTAGTAGTAGTAGTAGTAGGAGTAGGAGTAGGAGTAGTAGTAGTAATACTACGACGACGACGACCACCACCACCACCACCACCACCACCACCACAGCTACAACTACAATTACTGCTACACTACATTACACTACAGCTACACTACATTACACTACATTACACTACAATACACTAATTAAACTGCAGTACATTACAGCTACAAGTGCACATGCAATTAGAACTACACTACATTACACCACACTACCACACTACACTACACTAATTACATTACATTACACTACAACTGCAACTACCATTACATTGCGCTACACGACACTACACTACAACTACGACTACACTACTTCACGCTACAACACACTAGATCACACTACACTATACCACGCTACAGTACACAACACTACAGTACACTACAATACACTACACTAATTACACCACACCACAACTACAACCGCTACTGCAACTACACTACAGTTATTTTCGCTACATTACAACTACAACTTACAACTACAACTTCCGCTACACTACAACTACAACTACACCTACAACTACAACTGCGCTACACCACACTACATCCAGCAGTTGTGGTGAGGTGACCACTGCAACCATTGCAACCGCACCTTTCGGTCCATCAGTGGATTCGCTCTGCCATCCGTGAGTCACAACAACCAACCCTTCTTATAGGTTTCCTATTGTTGAAACTTCCGCCACCGCCTTGTGCGGTACTACTGGTAAACTTATTAAACTATAGGACGCACTGATAACATTTGATAACATGAATCTCTTGTTGATTCTTATTGTATCTTTGCATGTCTGGTGAAAGGATGACATCCTGATGCCATCTGTGCCTTGCGTCAGATTTTTGCGTCGGTTCCTTGTGCCAGGAGCCTCGTGAAGCACGTGGGATGCTCGGTGAGTCACACTGGATCTGATGCGTTTTCGCATGCTTTGCGCAGGATACTATTCCAACCTATTCCAGAAAACGCTGTGAGTTTTCTGGTAAAAAACATCAGTGTTGCAGGTAGTGAACATGTGGAAGAATGTGACATTGTTTCCATTGGCAGTCGGTTTCATCTGGATTTTTTGTGCTGAAACATGCTGAAAGCAACTTGAAACCCATCAGCTGCGGAGCATCCAGGTAGCCCGGAGACAGATTGCCACTGGAGTCTGGACGGCAGTCGGCCCATGACAGCGGCTTGTGCTGACAGTGAGGCGGAGCATGGCGGAGCAAAAGTCAGAGAATGACAGTGAAAAAATGAGAAAAAAAATGATTCAAAACTGATTGTAACAAATTGTAACAAGACATTTTCCGCTGACAGAATTGTAACAAAACAATACTTTGTTGTAACATGTTGTAACTGTGCAGCTTGCGGACTTGGGAAGGTGGAATCCTCAGGTTGTGTGAATCGGTGATATCTGGTGATCGCTTTCCAAATGCTCCATTTCCGAAATCCTTTTACAAGATAAGCACCTGAGACCTTGAGCTCATTGATCATATGTGTTGTAATATGTCTATAGTCTATATATATATATATATATTTGTTATAATATGTTATAATCTATAATGATGTACGATTTGTACGATATATGCATGTAGATATGGTACATTGATGTACTATTTGTAAATATGGTAGTAACACGTACATACTATTTGTAACATACTTTGTAACACCATGTCTATACAAATCGTTACAATGTAGATGACATGTGTTGTACTGGACTTCACCGCAGGCATCAACGCGCTGTGCCACAGCCGAGAAGGCCCTGCGAGTCTAAGAGTTTTATCCTCTGCGGACGCTAAGAACTGGAAAGGACCGGGTCTGAAAATGGGGAATACTGTAGCAAACACCACCAAATGGCTATTTCAATATACTTTTTATTGGGGAAAATGTATGGAAATATGATGATGACAGTCCTTTTTATTTGTTTTTTTTCATTGTGAGGCAACAGTCGTCACAAAGGTTGAGATGCAGCTGCCACCTGTGCCCACCTCCTGGCAATGCTCTAAACATGTTTAAACGTGAGACCGACTTTTTTTGTTAAAACTGAGCTGAAGTGGCGACATCTTGCACAGACAGAGCAAACTTCATGACCAGCTCAAGTCATACTTGATTCTGCCGCTGAAGCCATTTTCACATTGTAGGCTAACTTTAGATTTGGAGATATTTGCAAGACTATGCAAGATTGTTTTCAAGCTTGAGCGAAGACCAGGTTGGAGACTCACAAGCCAGCAAAACCAGATTCAATGCATTTTGAAGTTCTTTCAAACCGTCCACCTGTCCGGTGCTCTTTCTTTCGGCCGTCGCTATGGACAACGCATCTGGCCGTGTGCAAGTTTGGGCACGTGTGCGGCCACCCATCGAACAGGCCTGGTCATATCATCTCAACTTTCACAGAATTGGATGGGACAATTTACCTGGTTACAGCCCTATGATCTTCATGGTCAAAAACAGGTCAAAATACCATGGTTTCCGGTTTTCAGATTTTCCCAGCAATCCAGCAGTATCAATGACAAGTTTTTTCGAGTTTTCCGAGGACCATGGCCCGTGCCACGCAGTGGATTGCATCGACAAGACGGTGCGCGTTCGCAACGACGCAGAAGCAGTGGAACGAATGCTTGGACAGGCGATTTCACCGTGAATTTTTTTCCGTGATTTCCAAAAAACACATGGTAGGAAAATTGGGCCATGAAATTGGTCAAAAAAATGTGCTGCAAATTGGTACACACACACATATATATATACACACTATCTACAGTCTGTAAAAATGTCTATCCTTAAAGTTGTGGAGCTTGGTTTTTTGTGGCCGACCGGAACTTGAATGACTTGCAGCGCGAGGCTGATACCTCGCCCAGTCCCGAGCCCAAGGAATTTGCCTTCGATGGAGTCTTCGGGGAATCCTCAGCCATGGGCCTAGCCATGGCCATAGCCGCCATAGCCAGAGAAGCAAAAAATCTCACCTGAATCATTGAGAAATAGCCAGAGAATCCTCATTTTTTTCATATGTTTTGCTCAAATTCTGGAGTTCCCAAGTTGAGTTCATTTTTTCCATCTTTTTTCTTCGCGTTGCCCAAGTGTTGTTTTCTGACATGGGAATTTTGCGTCTCAAGGCACAACGTGATGTTTTTATGCAGATTGGCCTCCCTGTCCTGCGCGAGGCGACGTGCAAAAAGGAATTGATCAATTTATGATTAGATTTATGACAATTTATGAGAATTTATGTTAATTTGTGATAATTATGATGATTTATGTTTGTTCTTCCAATCAGTACCCTTCTTTGAAGTGCAGTGAATGATGTGGCGATGCTTGCATTCACTTTATTCACTTCAGATACTTCAGTTTTTAATTTGTCTTGATGCAATACACTCAAAGGACCGAGTCTGCTTTCAACACTTGTTTATGTGCGTGAAAAAGGTCTGCCTCTAATTTCAATTTTGACTCCTGGGTACTGGATAGCGGAACACTTTTGCTTAAATGCAAAGAACGACAAATCCAGACAGATTGCGCAGACTTATCTAGCTGAAGTGTGTTGAGCTTTGAATTCATATGTCGACATTTTCAATGACAGGCTATATGAGGTAGATTTGGCGGCAAAAAGAACAACCGCAGTACAAGGAGTGATCCAAGCATCCAAGCATCCAAGCAAGAAAGGATCACCAGCGAAAGCACATTCAGGTGACACCGTTCAGTACAGTAAGAGAACTAAATGAGGTGATGAAACAACTCATGGCCAATGGAAAGAAACAAAGTGCAACGGCCATCTTTGGTAGTTATCATTAAGGCTGAGGAACCACCCAGTGAAACGAAAAGTGGCTAAGGAACAATATGTAGGTTTCCTAAAATGGGGATCCCCTAAATCATCCACTTTAATAGGATTTGCTGTTATAAACCATCCAGCGATAAAGAGGTACCCAAAAATGACTTTGGAAACCCCCAATATGATGGATCATTTTTTGCTCCGGCAACCGACATGTCGAAGCCGGCTGCTTGAAAGAAGTCCTTAGAATCCTCCTAATTCAAAGGTATGGCAGCTATGGGTGGGTGCATATTCCGGCCATTTTTACTGTCGCACCAGAGATGCAAAGTTGGATGAAGAGAACTGATTTAGGGCACGGCACCCCCTAAATACACACGTCGAGGAATGACATGGCAGAACATAGAATGAATTACTTTACTTCGTGTGATCCCCACCATGACATTTATACATTTTCTTACTGGCAAACATTTTCTTACTGGCAAATCTTCTGGCATTCTATCTGACATATCTTCTGGCATTCTATTTGGCATTCTATCTGGCATATCTTTCTGGCATTCTATCTTCTGGCATTCTATCTGGCAAAGCTTCTGGCATTCTATCTGGCATATCTTCTGGCATTCTATCTGACATATCTTCTTGGCATTCTATCTGGCATTCTATCTGGCATAATCTTTCCTGGCATATATTTCTGACATATCTTCTGACATTCTATTTGGCATTCTATCTGGCATATCTTCTGGCATTCATCTGACATATCTTCTGGCATTCTATCCGGCAGACATATCTTCTGGCATATATTCTGACATATCTGCTGGCATTCTATCTGGCATTCTATCTGGCATATCTTCTGGCATATCTTCTGGCATATCTTCTCATATCTCTGGCATTCTATCTGGCATTCTATCTGGCAAATCTTCTGGCATTCTATCTGGCATATCTTCTGGCATATATTCTGACATATCTTCTGGCATTCTATCTGGCATATCTTCTGGCATTCTTCTGACATATCTTCTGACATTCTATCTGACATCTTTTCTGACATTCTTGCCGTTGAGGTCCGGCAGTGCCCACTGCGATCTGGAAGTCGCGGTTGAGGTCCGGCAGGGAACACTGGGCGTGGATGGTCGTGGTTGAGGTCCGGCAGGGACACACTGGGCGGGGATGGTCGTGGTTGAGGTCCGGCAGGGTACACTGGGCGTGGATGGTCGTGGTTCAGGTCCGGCAGGGAACACTGGGCCCGGATACTCGCGGTTGAGGTCCGGCAGGGAACACTGGGCGTGGATGGTCGTGGTTGAGGTCCGGCAGGGCACACTGGGCGTGGATGGTCGTGGTTGAGGTCCGACAGAGAACACTGTGGATCGCGGGTCGCAGTTGGACGAGGAGGACGACGAGGAGGACGACGAGGAGGAGGAGAGGAGATGAGGAGAGGAGAGGAGAGGAGGAGCAGGCAACTGACATAAAATCTAACAACCCTCACCTGGCAGGTGGGGAAAAAGGAATGAAATAACATGACATGGACCAACTTTGTTTCTGCTACATCATAGTTCCATGTTGGGTTTTTGTTTGACCAGTGGCTTTTGTTCAGGCCTTGAGGGGCATCAATGGAACTATCCTGGCTTATGGCCAAACAGGCTCTGGAAAGGCCAGCATCTTTTTACATCACATGAAAAACTCCTGGAGCGATTGTCTCAGATGTTTTCAACGTTTATAAAACTGATAGACTGATTACGGATTCATTCGTCGTTACCCTCTGGAAAACGTTTACATAACTATGGAAAATCACCATGCCATTAATGGGTAAATCAACTATTTCAATGGCCATTTTCAATAGCTTTTGGTGCCTTCCGCAACAGAAGTCGTGGCCATTCCGTGGCAACGTCCGTGGCCAGACACACTCGCTTCTCCACCAGTCCTCCAAGGGCGAAGAAGCAGGGCTCCTGCCCAGACTGGTGGCATCCCTGCTGCTTTCCAAAAAGGGGAGCCATACCATAGCCATACCCATTGTTACTTTTTCTGTCGGTCCAATGTGACATTTCGGATGTGTGATTACAGATTAATTTACCCAGGTCTTGTTTTGGAGGACACGTTGTGTTGCACGACATTTCAATGATTATCAAAACATATCAAAAACCATTTGGGAAATAGCGCAGTGGGCCAAAAATGTTTTGGAGGAACGGCCGCAATGAGTCATGTAGCCACCAACCCGCTGAAAACATATCTGTACCATTCTGTACCGTATACCTAGTTATATAATGAAATGGGCCAGATGATTTGCTTGAACTAGCGATAATTAGTGCAAATGCCATTGATCCAGCAGAATTCTGAGGTTTCTGATGATTTCCCAAGATGTGGCAAATGTCTATGACGTTGAAGCTGCTGCAGTGCAGGCCAATGTGAAAGCCTTCACAGACTGGCCCTGATGAAACATGTGTATTCATTGTATTCATGTTGCACAATCTTACACAAGTATCACAAGTCTCAAGATAGCCCTGGTCGGGATGTTGTTGTCATTGTAGTTGTCAATTGTTGTCAGCCATTTTGGACGATTCGCATCTATCGTCAGGTCTACAACGAGCAAGTGGATGACCTTCTGAATCCTGACCATCAAAGTGGCCAAGGCATCGTGACATCGCCGTTGAACTTTGCCTTGGCCATTGGGCCCATTGGGTGATGGAATTCAGATGGCTTCAGATGGCTACAGCCTTTTGGATCAACTTCATGTTAAATATGTTAACATGAACAGGAGATAACTATAGATAACTGATATAACACGATTTGATGATTTGATTTCGCAAGTTGAGGGGAGCATGAAAGATATGAAAGCGAATGCTGAGCAGAAGATCGTTTTGCAGGAAATAACCTGAACGTGCGTGATGGCGGTATCGTGACTGGCTTGAATTGGATTCGTTGTATGAAGCCGGACGAGATGCTGGATGCTTGGACTCATTTAGCCACCTGCAGGAAGAGGTCAACATATGTCAACATGAGATGTAGAAAATGGATGATGGCGGAATGGCGGAAACCATTATTTAGTTATTTCGTTATCAATCTTTTCCCGTCATCGTCCAGAAAGATACCGTCCAACGAGGAATCCTTTACTCGAGCCCGTGCCAATGTGGTGTATGCGGAGACGAAGATGAACAAGGCTCCCCTTCGTTATGTGCAGTTTTCTGTGTGAACGTCGTTTTGAGCAAGACACTCTTGTGAGCAGTTTGCATCGTTTTGTTCATGTTCTCTCTGATTTTGAGATATTTTATCATGTTTTATGAGATATTGTCATGATATGTCATGATATTGTAAGATTTTTACCATCTTTTACCATCTATTACCACCTAGAACCACCCTATTAATTACCACCTATGAATTACCACCTACCACAGTCCACCGAGTTCTCACGGGCGAGGCCTCCAGCCGGAGCCACGCCATCTTCCAGCTACGGATTTCCAAGCGTGAGCGCGTCTTCGAAGCGGCCAAGACCGGACAAAAGGTGGAGTGCACCATCGCCAGGCCTTGGGAGAGCAACACAACAGATATCTGGTTGGTGGTTAATGGTGGTTAATGGTGGTTAATGGTGGTTAATGGTGGTTAATGAACTTGGTGGTTTGGTGGAACATGGCTGGATTTTCATGATGGTTAATGATGGTTAAGAAAATGGATAATTTAATGGTGAATTATGTTGGTTAATGGTGATTAATGACTGGTTGGTGGTGACTGGAACATGGCTGGATTATGACTTTCCAGAAACAGTTGGGAATAAGATTATAATAATCATCCCGACTGACGAACTCCATCATTTTTCAAAGGGGTAGGGCTCAACCACCAACCAGATATCAACAAATATCAACAGCAATTTTTATGGCAATGAACTCAGCAAAAAACACAAAAAATATTCACAGCAACAGGTCACAATGTTGAGCAGAAAAAACATGGTGACTTTTTTTATTGCTCAGCGACTCAGCAATTGGATTTTTCAGCGAATTCCGTAGGCTCAATGTGGTGGACCTTGCAGGCTCTGAACGAGTGACTTGGATATCTTGGATGGGACAACTCTGGGGAAACTCCAATGATATAAACAATTTAAATATATATATATATAATAGACATATATAAACATAAATAAACATATATAAACATATATGTAGATATAAACATATTTTCTTCGGTTGCTAAGCATTTTGATTCATTCTCCGACTGCCAAAGGTGAAGAAGTCTGGCTCCGAGGGCATGCGATTTCAGGAAGCGACCAACATCAATCGCAGCCTACTGGCCTTCGGGATGCTCATCTGGTGACTGAAGAACAGGGCTGAAAACGAGCAGAAAACGCTAGCACAACGGTGGCGTAACGGCTCAGGTATGCTCAGAATCCGATCCAGAAACACACAGCACACAGGGCCGGTCGCCTTTGATCGGTTTCAAATCGGCAGCAAAGATGGAGAGACAAAAATCGTAGCGTCGTAGCATGAATCGTGTGAATCGTGCCATCTCGCCAAGGAATGTGGTGAGTGCCTTGGCTGCGCGAAAATCACACGTGCCCCTGCGAGACAGCAAACTTACGAGGAGCCAAAGCATGCCAAACAAGCCAAACGAGCCAAACGACTGGGCATTTCACTTGTGTTTTTTGGGACCTTCGGCACTGAAATTTGCTGAGTTTGTTGCCTCGCCAGGATCTTGGACGGTTCTATTGGTGGCAACTGCCGCACTGCTTTGCTGGTCTGCGTGAACCCAGCCTTTGAGCATGTCATGGCCCTCAGAGCTGCGCAAACTGCTGGGCTCAGTGCTTCACAATGTGCCGCGTTTCAGGTTGGAGAAACTTTGAACACCTTGGAGTTTGCATCTCGAGCCATGCGTGTGGAGGCAGAGGATTCGATTACTGTTTTGTCTGGATATGTCTGGATGGATTACTGTAGAGTAAGAATTTACTCATGTTTACTAGCTGCACCCTAGAACGATCGATTGACCTGCAGCTCCCTAGCAGATCACCTCAGGTGGATGCAAAGGTGAACACTGCGCTGGTGGAAGTCAGTGCCAAGGAGTGGAATGTTTCTGGAAACCTTGCGAGATTCTTACGTTCCTCCATGTTTCTCCTGCCTCACTTGCTCCTGTTAGTTGAGGTATGATGATCTAGTCACTGTGCAGGACATTTTTCAATCTTTGTAGTGCAGATGAGGGTTTTCACATGTCACGTTTTGACACCACAAGCTTATCATCATTTGGCGCCGAACTGTTGGTCCTTGCCCAACGCTCCGTGCAGAACTTACTGGCGGACCTGAATCCGGAAGCGCACGAGTTTGGAAAGAAGGTCATGGCCGACAAGAAGGAGATTGAGGCCAAACGGTGCTGGTGCCAGTCATGGCTGGTTACTCTAGTTGTAAACTGACGTCATACCTTGGTGATCATTCAGTTGATGACTGATTCGAGCTTTTACCGATCAGGCAGCTGCCAAATAAACAAAGATGTACAGTGGGTATATTTGAGCCACTTGCCACGAACAAGGGCCAAGATGGCCAAGGGCCACGAAATTCTCTTGGTAAAATACACATGCCAAGGGCTGCCTCTCGATGGCGCAAACGGCACTGGAGGCTCTGCGGAAGCAGTCCGCTGAGGCGGCTGAACAAGCCAAGAAAGAAGCGGAACGCCGTGAGAAGGTGCGGTTTCTCTTGGCTGCGCATCGTGTTTCTTTTCTGCCAAGAGAAACCGCAACCAAAACAAAAGAAATCACACGTTGCCAGACCTTGCCAGACCCCAACAGGTGGCATCATTTGGCCATTTCCAGGCCACGCCATAGTGCCATGGAATGTTCCGAGGCAGTACAAGAAGCAGAGGGCCACGTCAAGAAGTTGCAGCAGGCGAGATATCGTCGTCCTGGAAGGTTTTGGAGCGAGTTTTCTCTGTGTCATTGATCTCTCCATATCTGGTAGTTCTTGCAATGACCATGTGAATTCGTTGCTGTAGCCATCAACAGTCCAATTATCCAATTGACCGAGCTGCAACTCGATCCCTTTTCACTTAGAACAGCACAGCTACAGTAGCAATTTTCGTAGTCTCCAGTTGTTTATTCTAGCAGCTCTTGAGGTGTTGTGGCTTGGGTTCACAGAAACTGATTTTGAGACGTAAACCACCTGACCTGAAGTGTGAGAAGAAAATTGTACATATAGAAATATAATGAAATGTACAAGCAATTTCTGAACATGAAAGATGTGTGGCGATAACCAAACCCTGGGGCTGTTCATTTTGGAGCGAACCATCTGTGCAAAATCGCCAACGCAATGCCGCTGGAAGTGCTTTCCGCGCCTTCAAATCCTGTCGTGCGGCTGGGCAGCATATGCAGGGAACATATTTTTCCTGCAGATTTGGGTCATGCCAAATGTTCACCGTTTCGGACCGTTTCAGTCATGGCATTCTGCCGTGACATGTCTTCAAGTTACCTCAAACAGCTGGAACATATATTTTCCAACATGTATACGTACGTATATATGTATATATATATAATGTGTATATATATATTATATACATTATATTATATATTATATGAAATATGTTTGAATCAAATTTGAAGTTGTTTTCAGGTTTTCTTTCTGTCTCTTCCTGTCTTATCTGTTTTAGGTGCCATCCCGGTGAACACCTGGAGCTTTGTTGGCAGCTGCGTTTCCCGACGTCGCTGGCCGCCGGGGCACAGCTGCAACTCCGTGAGAGTCGGGAGGCCTCCTTGTCGCTTCCTTGGGGCAGATTGGTGATGGCTTGTGCTTTGATGATAAGTTGTGTAATTATGATTAATTATTAGTTATGATTAATGATGTACATTTATGATCATTTATGTACCATTACTATGAAATGACATACATTCATAATCATTCATATAATTTTGCTGGAGAGGCTCAGTGTGTATCACCTGCCACTGGCCTGCTGGCAGGTCGTTGGGGTCATCCAAGATGCAGCACGGGGCTTGGTTTTTTCACTTCTGGCCAGAACAGCAGAGGCGGCATCGCCATGTTAAAGTATCTTAAAGTCTTAGGCAATCCATATGTCAATATGTACATTGCGCTGTCAAAATTTTCTATCATGGTCTGACGAAAACCGATTCGCCGCAAGCGAAAATGGGAGCAGTCTTCATGTAGCAGCACAGTAGCACATTGCTTTTTAATCCCAAGTGCCAATTCTTCTGTATTCTTTTCTCCTGATATTTCCTGATGCCTTGCATTTGCCAATGATTTGCCCAATGAGTTCCAAACACAGCCGCCACTTCGCCACTTCTATCGAGGTTCCTGCAGGTTGCTGTGTCGACCTGGGGATGCATTTGCAGGCTCCACAACACCTAGCGACATGTGCTGCTTGACTGTTACGTCGTGGAGGTCGTGGAAACGTAGCACTGTAGCAGAAGTCAATTCTGAAGTTCTTAAATATTCTTAAATGCCTTTTTTAAAAGATGAGTTTTGTATGAAGTTCTGAGTTATATTGAGTTATATTGAGTTACCGGAATTGTGTTATGACGTTGTGCTGAGGTGCAAGACTTTGTGCTGAGCTCTGTGGGCGAGATCTTGGGCGATCTCAGCATCTGTTTGTCCATCAGGCGGCAATGATGCCGACATGGACCAAATATATCTGGGTAAATCATAGTTAGTAAGAGGAATCATCCCCAAATGGCCCAACTATTCAGGTTAGTGAATTATTATAATATATTATAATTTACCCAGATATATCCAAAATCACATTGAATACACATTGAATCTGTCAAAATCAGAATGCACTTGAAGAAACTTGGTTTGTCGAGTTCCTTCGGTTCAGGACTGCCGAAGCGAAGGAATTGAAGACACTTTGCAGCTTGGACCGAGCTATTGGTCCTTCGGCCTTCGGCACTGGGTAGTGAGGGTAGTGAGCTGAGGTCCCGAAGCAAATCCTCTGGGGATCATTCCTGGAAACCACACAAGGAGGACCGGTGACCGGTGATGTCAACGTCAATTTCTGCATCCCCAATAGCTCATATGAATTGATATGAATTCATACACCGCACAAGGCGGTGGCAGAAGTTTCAAAAATAGGAAACCTATTGGAGAAGTGAATTGTTGTGATGCATGGATGGCAGAGTTGCGGTGGTTGCAGTGGTCACCTCACCCACAACTCCTGGATTAAGTGTGGCGTAGTGCAGTTGTCTTTATAGTTGTAGTTGTGTAGTTGTAGTTGTAGTTGTGGTGTTGTGTATTTGATGTAATGTAATGTAGTGTAATGTAGTGTAGTGTCGTGTACTGTAGTGTAGTCTAGTGTAGCCTATTGTAGTGTAGTGTCAAGTAGTGTAGCTGTAGCTGTAGCTGTAGCTGTAGTTGTAGTTAGTGTAGTGTAGTGTGGTGTGGTGGAGTGCAGTGTAGTGTAGTGTAGTGGAGTGGTAGTAGTAGTAGTAGTAGTAGTAGTACTAGTACTAGTACTAGTACTAGTAGTAGTAGTAGTAGTAGTAGTAGTAGTAGTAGTAGTAGTAGTAGTAGTAGTACTAGTAGTACTGGTAGTACTAGTAGTAGTAGTAGTAGTAGTAGTACTAGTAGTACTAGTAGTACTAGTAGTACTAGTAGTACTAGTAGTACTAGTAGTACTAGTAGTACTAGTAGTACTACTAGTACTACTAGTACTACTAGTAGTAGTAGTAGTACTAGTAGTAGTAGTAGTAGTAGTAGTAGCAGCATAGCTAGCTTTGTGACTTGTTTGTTGTCGGGTGATGTTTTTCGCATATCCCGCTGCAGCATTGGTTTCTCACCCAAATTGAATCCGGGCAGGATTTACTTTGGCAAGGCTCAGACCAATGAGAGTGTGACGAGCAACGACAGCATCAAACCAGTAGAGGTTGTCATTGAAAGGCGCACCCTGGGACAGCCAAGAAAAAAGTAGTTTTACGTGGAGATGAGAGTGTTGCAACAAATCAGTTGTCAAATTGAACATGCAGGTTGAAAGTCTATTTAAGTGGTTTATGGTGCTGCTGGACCTATCTGAATTCTGTTGGATTTTTCAGTATTTCCCGTGTGTTTGTTGTTTGAGGTCGCATGATGAGTGGGAACTTCTTGATCGCCCGCAGCTGGCACCACAGCTGCCACAGCCTCTCAAGGAGCGTTTTGGCGCACCTGAAGAGGCGCTGAAGAAGAAGAGATATCACGAAATTTCATGAGATGCGAATAGAAATCGAGATGATCTGCAAATATGTGCAAATTAGATTTGTCACTGAAAGATGCACTTCGCCACCTCGAGGCTTCATTGCGTTTCTGGGTCAATGGTGAAGAGAAGGCCAACGTTTGTGATCTCCATTTTCCATTTTTCAATTTTTAGCATATCATTTTTCATCTTCACAATCAAACAGAGTAGAAAACAGAATCAGAGTAGAAAACCATGTTTGATCTTGGATTTTTTTGGAACCTACTTGACAACAAAGTTTCAACTGACACGGCATGGCAGGTGGTGACTTCCGGGCAATTCCCCGTGACGACGAGCCTGGCGGAATATCTGCGATATCACTTGGGTCTCACCGGCACCAAAATCGGCTGCGGAGAGGTTTCTCGCAACAAATCACCATAGGAAGAGAAGATGAGAAATGTGAGAAAGGCAATGTCAACACTCACATCAAATTTCAGTTTTTCAGAGTTGACATCTCAAGTGACCACCGAAAACGTTTTTTGGAATCGCTAACTTGGCAGACCAGGGTGGTTGCGGCGCCTGCACTGTGCTGCTCCATGCTCCTGCGGATACTATGCTCCTGGCTCCCAATCCATGCATGGCCAACGCTTGCCTTCGACCCCTGCACTCGTTCCCAGGCTGCAACTGCACATCAGCACACATTCCTCAGATAGCAGGATATCTCCATATATCTCCTATGGTTTTTCAGTGTACCTTTTGCTACCACGCACCCAAAGTCCTGGTTTTCAGAAAATTCGCTGTTTCTCATAGTTTCAATGTGGTGACGCGCAACTTTCGTTTCACATCGAAAAAAAAAACGCTTGACTCTCCGCGGCGTTGAGGATGAACGGCTGGGAGGTGACCACCATCGAAAAAGTTGGAACTCCAAAAGCTCCACATCCGATCCAATCGGCTTTTGTGAAGCACAGTGCCAGCCAATGTGGAGCCTTGACCAAGCTTCGACATTATTCGACTTGAAAACAATTAGAAAACTTTTCCGCGAAGTGATGGATTTGTTCTTTAACGATTGAATATTTTTGTATCATTTTGTCACGTTGTCCCCATGCAGCATGCAGCTGAGGCATGTGCACGCCTGGCATGGTTATGTCGATTTATGGCCACCTTGCGAAAGGTGGCTCAAAGGATCCACAGGAGATGCTTGTGACGTGTGAATTTTGTTAGCGGTTTTCACCGCTGCACCATGCAAAAAAAACCATGCTACACATCAAAGATGTTGCAGAATGGTCGATTCTCTGTTTCGACCAAGATGGCGATGGTTTTTCAGTGCAGTGCTTGAGGATTTACAAGGCTGCATTCAAGGCAATCTGTGTCGCTGCACTGGCTATCGCCCCATCCATGATGCCAGGGCCTTAGGCGGCGCCCGCAGCTGCGGGACGGTCAGTGAAGCCACGGCCGAGGCCATGCGAGAGACCCTCAAGGTGAGCTGCGATGTCAAGGCGGAGCAGCCAGATTCGAATCTGATGTGAAATAATATTTGGTTGGTGGTTTGGAACATTTTTCATTTTTCCATATATTGGGAAGAATACTCCCAATTGACTTTCATATTTTTCAGAGGGGTGGCTCAACCACCAACCAGATATGGTAATATAATGTAATATATGGTAAAATGATAAAATTATGTGAATATCTCAGAATGAGATATAAGATAACATTCGAATGTTGAATCACTAGCATCCAGATGGCTTTTTCTTTGGGAATTTTGACCTGACTTTCTTTTTAGGTCCGCCTTCAGCCGGCAGTTCCTTTGGCAATGCATCGCGATGGACAGACGTGGACACTTGGCCAATCACCCCATCCATCAGGTTAGTTCATTTGATCACTGGATTGGTTTCAGATGTTTACGGGAAAATCTACAGGAATTACCATAGCAAACCATGGTTTTTACCATCAAATATAGGGCTTTCCTATGCTTTCCTGGAAATTTTCCCATCATCCAATTCTATGATTTGAGCATATGTGAACCGGATCATGATCTTGACGTGTTTGAAATGCTTGCAGCTTCACTTGTTTTTGGCTGCCTTACAGCAGTTTCAAGAATTTCCAAAGGATTCTAGATGTTTGTCTGAGATTTTTGCTACAGTTTCTAGCTTCCATCAACTCTCCATTGGAAGAATTTTTCCATCCCGTTGAGGTTTGACTGCGCCAATCTGACCGATGTCTTCCATGTCCTTAGCGAGTACTCAACTGTACCCCACCGGCTGGTCGTTGGTGACTTGGCAAAATGGCCGGATGTCCTCGCAGGTTTTGCCGATGGGCACAACGTCCGAGGCAACACGAGCACTGGAGTGGTGAAGTACTATCCATTTCATCGCAATGATGAGCCCACGGTGTTTATCAATTTGCAGCCACTTGGCAGTCTTAGTTTGTTGTGTGCGACTGCAGTCTCCGCTGAACTGACACTGTGTGCACCTGCACGTGCCGAGAGCTCGCTGTTCCAGGCAAGTGCCAGAACTTCACGAAATCAAACGTGGAGACGGCAATGCCCTCACACTTGGTGCTGCTTGCACTTTGAGTACTTTGATCGAGGACAAGACGGACAAGACCCCAAGACACAAATCTTTAGGCGTTTAAAATTGTCTTCATATTCCGTTTAAAATTCCTATGGCGTCGCAGGAACTCGAGGCGTTTGCCAAAGAGCATGGCCAACTCACAGCCGTGGTGAAGCACCTAAAATTGGTTACTTGGTCCGTTGAGATCAAAGCAATGCATGTTGTTTTCAGATTTAAAAGATTTCCAAGACTCAGTCTAGCCTTTCGGCTTTGGTCTCTGATATCCTAGTGTTTTTGATGGTTTTTGTATGTTTTTCTATGTTTTTGTTCTCCATGGATTTGGTTTTTCTTTAAAACCATGTTTTCAATGATCCATGGACCGCTTGGACCTGTCAGATCTGTCAGGTCGCACACCCGCAGGTGAGAGACGTTGGAAGTTGGGCACCTTTTTGGCAAATTCAGCTTTGAGTCGGCGATTTTTTGTGTGCGAAGATGTCCCGATGGATCCTGATGGCAGTTGCGAAAAAAACAGCACATGGATACAAAAGACACAGGAAATCTATGGAAATCTGATCATCAATTTCTGACTTTGGATTGCAAGGCCGGCAATGTGATGATCGCAAAGACCCATCCAGACTTCCCCAGCGACATTTGCTTGCTGCTGAGCACCCTGAATGCAAAGCTCACCCTCATGAATGCCAAGAGAAAGACTGAGATGCTTGGACAGAAATATAGAACATACATGAACATACAATTTTCTGATCAAAGATGCTAAGATGCTCATGAAATGCGTGACATTTTTCTTGGAGATCAGTTGTTTGGTTTCACAACGAGACATGCCCAGGGTGGTGGACATCATCTCCTTCTTGTCTGATGCGAAATTGCCCCGCAATGCAACTTGTCCTGAGCATGGCTGAGCGGCTGCATCCCAGAATGCTCTCGCGAGTATCATAAGAATATCATAAGTCAACATGAATCATGTGATTCTACTGTTGCACGTGTTTCGGTCAGTCATGTTTCGCTACACAATTGGAGGCAGTCTTGGTGGTGTCTCATGAGATTCACCATGGAACAACGCAGTCACAGTTAGGACGAAGCGCAGATCATCCACAGTGTCACCATCCCCTTCCCAAGCAGTTTGGCTGCGATGAAACTGCAGAGCTTCAGACTGCTTCAGACTGATCTTTCGGATTTCTTTCTAACGAATTGGATGTCTTCCTAGCCTTGAGATGCCTTAAGCAGGCCAAGAAAGCCTCTTCAGATACTGTAGACTGATATAATAATATATATATATAATATATTATTTTCATGTCATATATTATCCCTGATATGCGCAAAGAACGACGGATGAATTGCGAGCTATTGGTTTAATTGGTGGAAAATTGCTTTCGCACGACGTTCCACAGATTGATTTCAAGGCCCCAACAGCTTCCTGGACACCTTCAAGGTGATGCGACGACACATGAGTCTTGCCATCGGCCATCGCTGGCCTAATTCGATCATTAACTTCGAAAGTCTTTCGAAATGATGGTCCACAGTCGTCCACAGTGTGTCTACATGACTTCCGTTGATTTCAAAAAATGAAATGCTGGTTGTGTTTGCTCGTATAACATGTATAACCGGAGAATTTATCAGCGAGCTGAGGAACACACATGCTGAAGTCAACGCCGGATTTCTCTTCGACTTCAAGGACAAGGACGGCGTGGAGATCACCAGTGCGAGGCAGGCTATGCATCGAGTCTGAGTTGACAGTGACACGTGGAGACCTTTGGAAGTGCTATGAAGTGCTGCTACAGTTGGACACCAAAAACATATCAAAACATATCAATTGACATACAATCCAATGCACACAATGACAATGCGTAGCACAAATTCAAACGAACATAGTGGGAAGAGTTTGTGTTCGACCTGAAGAGTCAACCTGTCATGTTTTGATATGTTTTGTGCACAGGTTGGTGGTTGGGAATATCGAACGCAAGCCATTCGTGGCTGCTGATACATGCAAGGCCTCGGATAATTTTCATCGACGCAATGGTCATTGGATTGGTTCATGGGAAAATGTTACCGAAAACCCCCATTCATTGAGTGGTAAAAACTGGTCAAAACCATATGGATCCATCCGATGACTTTCCAGAAAATCCTCAATCCCATGCCAGCAATCCAATGACTTTGAAGTTTCGAAGGCATTGATTGGCAAAAGCCTCGATTCCACCAGCATTTCTGCAGCTATGAAGACCTTGGCCATTGAGCTGAAGGCAAGCAGTCTCCATCAAACGGGTTCAAACTATCCTGGAAGACTGTGAGGAAAGTGGAGTATCAAGATAATGTCAGCTTCATATCAGCTCTTTCCAGCCTTTTTCAGCAATGTGAATGACAGAAAACCAAACACTCGGTCCATGGGTGCTGTTTTGGACCAGGGATAAGTAGGGGTACCAGTAGATCGATTTCCTTTTACATGGAGCACTCCAACAAATCCCAAGGACAGAAACTCAAAAACTGGTTTTGCTAAACAACGACGAAGAAAGAATTCCATTCAGATTTATTTGGAATTATGTAATTCCACATTGAACATGGCAATTGTGAAGAATGAACAACGAATGAACGAGCTCATGTCAGAATCAGCAGCCTCAATGTAGCACACATTTTCAGATGTCACGTAGTCATACGTATTCTTCAATACAAATCTCAGGAAATCTCCAGATTTTTTTGGTCACAGATCTGAGAGACAAAAGCTTGGGGGACAAATCTCACAGATTCTCAATTGGAGTCCGCTGGAAAGTTCCAGTCTCTACTCGTTGGTCGTAAGTTACAGAACTTTGGCTCCCAGCAGAGGCAATTGGCAATTCGCAGCATCGCACTGTCAAGGCACATCTTCAAGAACCCTCTGTACCAGAACCACCCTTCGTCGTGGTGGATCCGCAGTATCGTTTGAATTTGGTGACGAAACCGCAGCGCCGCAGGGTTGATCCTGTAGTTTATCTTACAAAGAGAAAGTGATGACATATTTTCAAGTCGGAATTGCAACTTCGATTTTGCCACATTTTGCCACACTGTTTTCAAACGACCTTAAACGACCTTAAACGACTTGAAGTCTTCGGTCTTCGTGTAATTCACATCGTTTCACATCGTTTCGCCTGGTGTTTCTTCGTTTCTTCCCCGAGGCGCCTCAGCTCTTCGCCAAGGCGGCGCTGCGCGCGCGCCTGGCGCGGCTGGGCCCCAGCGCACTGAGCCCGGCGGAGCTGTCCGCCGCGGAGGAGACGCAACGCCCCGCCAGTGGCGGAGCACAGCGACGCGGCAAAGTTTGGCCAAACGTGGAGCAATTCTTAGTCAATGAATGTCAATGACCAAAATTGAATCCAAACTATGATCCAAAATGAGCCAAAATGGTCAAAGAATGATCCAAAAAATATGATTCAAAAAATATGATCCAAAATTAGATGCAAAATATCCAAAACAATGGCACAATAGTGAACAGTGAATATTCACAACGAGTAAACACAGACTTCAACGAGTTGGACAGAAACGGGGCCCCACAGCTCTGCTCCCAAGGCACTTCACGGTGGATCAATCTACAGCTCCTGTTGGGCAGCCAGTGACGAAATTCCAGGGCTTGGATCAAGCCTGTGGATTCTTAGCTGCCATTCTTGGCCATTCGTTTCGGTTGGTTGCATTACCCTCTGGTAATTTAACAGTTTGCTATTGAAAATGGCCATTTATAGTGGATTTACCCATTGAAACTGGTGATTTTCCATAGTTATGTTAGTTTACCAGAGGGTATTTGAGATGTATGAAATTCAGTGTGATGTACCTCATTGAGAAGAAACCAGACTATATACATGCTACCTGAGATTAGTGTCATCAACGTCAGCTCTGTCCGCTTTCACAATCTTCATTTTCTTCATCTCCAATATCTCCACTTCGTTTGAATTATTATCTTCATCGTCGCAATCAACATCCAGAACGTCTCAATGTCACAACATGCAACAGCATCAACGAGTTGCAGTTATGAGGCTATGTGACGGTATGTGATCATTAACCACCATTAACCACCATTAACCATCATTAACCATCATTAACCATCATTAACCATCATATATCATTGGTTTAATATGACTTTTTACCACTATTAAAAACCTGTATCACGACATCGTATTCACTGTTTGTCACTCCTCCTCGCAATCCTCGTTGCTGTCATCGTCACTTCATCCTCATCTTGAACTTTGTTGCCATGTCTCCGTGCCCTTGCGTTCCAAGTCTTGTTAGAGCCGAGGAACAGCCCACTTCGTGGCTGATTTGCCGCTGCAACCGAATACTTTGTTCGCCGTTCCTGTTTTGGCAGATCGTGTGGCCATGCTCCAAAGTGGGGACGCTCAGAAGTGCGAAATGATGGAGAGAGAGCAACAGACTTGCCTAGAGCTCGATCCTAACAGCACACCAAACATGGCCCTCGGTGCAGTTTCTGGGGACAGCAACATGTGCCTTTTGAGACATGGCCAAGGCATTGATGCAAGCGAGTGCCTGGAGGTTTCAGGCTTCACATTTTCTGCCTTGGGACATTAAAGATCATTACCCTCTGGTAATTTAACAGTTTGCTATTGAAAATGGCCATTTATAGTGGATTTACATGGATTTACCCATTAAAAACGGTGATTTTCCATAGTTATGTTAGTTTACCAGAGGATAAAACACGTTTTTGTCGCCAGGAGTGCACTCCTTCATTTCCGCTGCAGATGTCAAAGAAGTTGGTGCCTCCAATGACCTCAGGACGGTTTATCCCGGCAAGGCGCGGCGGATAGCACGGCGGCACGGTAGCGGCAAGTGATACTGATCGGTAGATATGGAAGTGATGATGGAGGTATGACCCAGACATATGATGTAGATATGATGTAGATATGATGTAGATGGACGATTCATGTGTAACAAAAATTGTTTTGGTCGAAACGGCCGGCCCTTCCGTTTCAGACGTTTCAGACATCGTGCAACGGCCCAGATCTTCGCGGATGCTTCAGAGAAGACGGAACACATCGGGCAGTTTGTTGGATTGGTCCTGGCTGAGAGCTTTGAGGCGCTGACAGACACTTTACCCTCTAGTAATTTAACATAACTATGGGAAAATCCACTATTTCAATGGCCATTTTCAATAGCAAACTGTTAGTTTACCAGAGGGTACATACTTTACGAGTGTATCATGACAGACACAAAGCTAGCAGCCACTCAAACGAGGCTGCAAGAGCTGGTGCCCGTCTTGTCCATATTGCCGCTTGGTGTCGTGAAATCAGAAGCAAGACAGTCTGATTGAGCACAGGGTGGGGGATTCCTTGAGGACTACAGCGAAACTTTGGAGGTGACAACCACAGTAGATGCAGCACTCCAGAAGGGCTATGTGCAGGACCGAAGAGCATGCTTTTATGTTTTTATGCTTTGAGATATTTTGGATACTTACTCTTTGTCGTTTACAAATTATATTTATATTTATGAGGCTTACGCCTGACAGCCGGGCGCCGGCCAAAGCAGACCCGTCAATTGTTAGTAGTTGTTGTTGTTGTTGTGGTTGTTGTTGTTGTTGTTGTTGTTATTGTTGCTGTGGTTGTTGTCGTCGTGGTCGGCGGCGGTTGTTGTTGTTGTTGTTGTTGCTGTTGTTGTTGTTGTTGTGGTTGTGGTGGTTGTGGTTGTTGTGGTTGTGGTTGTGGTTTGTTGTCGTTGTTGTCGTTGTCGTTGTCGTTGTCGTTGTTGTTGTTGTTGTTGTCGTTGTTGTCGTGGTCGTCGTTGCTGTTGTTGTTCCCTGTGTAAGACGGGGGCCGGGACTTCGGGCGTCCCGGCAGCATCCTTCATCCGAAGGGGGCTGACAGCCCGGGTGTACGTGGCGTACACCGAAGTCAGGAGAGCCATCTTGCACATTGAGTTTGCGCAAGCGAGAGAAGCAAGCATCAACGCTGGCAACCTTTGTTGTAACCAGAGGTAGATGTGAACCAATTTCTTCATCAGGGCCCAGCTATTGCTTGTTGGGTCGCAACCCATCGCAGTGGTCTAGCACATAGTCGGTTCGCCGCAGACGGTTAGTTGTTTCAAGTGTTTTCACCCAGGCAACAACGTTGGATGAGTAGAAGTTAGCTAGGGGTACAGAGTTACGAGAGGCAGTGATGGGTAGCCAACATGTTGGTAAACGATCCATGGCCTCATCCCCGTTTGCAACCTTATTTGTTATCAGTGCTTAGTGTGGTTAGCGATGATCAAATGCATTTGGAAACCACGGCCATGTCTGCGTCTGTCCGACGCGTACACGGCGGGAGCGAGCGCAGAGCAAGGCTCAGCGCTGGCAGCGGCGGTGGTTTAGGGCTGCAGCTTGGTGCAGAAAGGCTCGGCGTGGCCGGTCGCGACCGTGCATCGTAGTCGAACGCGACAGCGAGGTGGGTGTCGTGCCGGCTGGAACGGCGGTGCTTGGGAGGGAGTAAATTAAGGGATCGGTGATTTGTTGCTGGTTTGTGGATAGCCTATGGACGGTAAAATTGGTGGCTTCTTCGTTGACAACCGATGCAGTCTTTTAGGTTCATAAGTCGTTACTGCAAGGAGTATTTTTTCCCAAGCTGCAGCTCTACATCAGGCTCACAGGAGCCCGCGTTCATTCAACATCCAGCCATCCCTCTTTTTTTATGTGGCTTTGGTTTCCCCGGTTTTTCGTGTTTGATCGAGAACATCCCTGTAAGCAACCTCTGGTTCCAAGCTGTAGGTCGGCAGTGTTCTTTTTGCAGACGGTCGCATTCAGACTTCTTGCGTTTTGGTGCCAGGTGTTCGAAGGCGAGGCCGGCGTGCTTGCTGGCGGCCTGGCATGTTTGTGGTAAGCCAGCATGTTTGGAGCCCGCAATAGCTCGTTTCTCCGACATGTTTGCGATGAGTAACGGCTCGCTTAAGAGAGACTGGAGGGAACTGACCGCCAGAGTACAGAACTGACGCGACTGCAGCAGCACTGCATTAGGATGACTGCTGAAAACTGATCGCGCGACTGCTGAAACATGGTGACAGGTCCTCTGGGGGCGACTCCGGCAAGTTTGCGGGTGGCCCGGCGAGTTTGTCGAAGCTCGCTTAAGAGAGAGAGGAGGAAACTGACTGCAAGAGTACAGAACCGACGCGACTGCAACAGCACTGCGTTAGCATGACTGCTGAAAACTGACGCGTGACTGCTGAAACATGGTGGCAGGTGCCCTGGGGCGACCCCGGCAAGTTTGCGGGTGGCCTGGCTAGTTTGTCGCAGCTCGCTTAAGAGAGACCGGAGGAAACTGACTGCAAGAGTACTGAACGATATACTTATATAGATCTATAATGATCTATATCTGAAAAAAAATATATCTATATATATATTTTTTTCGTTTGGAACTGAAGAAGCTTCAACAAATATCTCAGCAAGTTCTTCAAAGACACAGAGGGGGCGAAAATTTGAACAGGGGACAGCAAACACCGCGACTGATAAACAAAGTAGGGCACACAGTCTCTCCGCGGCCGTTGCGACAAGGCTCGAGGCTAAGCAAAGAAAGCCGACAGAGAAGGAAACACACACACACCCTCCACGAACGGAAGTAGGAGACGTAGGCGTAGGAAGTCTAAAACCGGAGCACTGCAGAAAGACATACCTGTAAACAGAGAAGAAGTAGGGGGGAAAATGCACTGCACAGAGCAAACCGCGGCAAAGGAGCATTGCAGAATTAGAAACTGAGTGGAACACTTGCAGTTGTGCTTGTAGAAGCAACGGAGGCAGGACAAAAGGAAGCACGCCACCACAGACAACGAATTCGCACAGCACAATTGTCCCAAAGCGGACAGCCATGACACAGTGGGATGCCATAGCCAGTGACATACTGCGTGAGCACGCTACCAAGGTAGCCGTCTGCTGCATTGGTTCACCCACCGGTTGGTGCCTCCAAAGAAAAGGCTTCGCAGAGGTTAGTCGCCCATGCATCCGACGCCAGCCAACGGCACAGGACATTTTTTCCATAGCCCAACATGAGACGAGCTAAGCTTCCAAAGGAGAGAGAACAGCCACCGCCCCCAACCCAGTTAATAATCTACCCCGGCATGGGCCCACGAAGAACTGGCAGAGAGGAACCATTTTTGATGCCACCTTTTACAGAATCCACGACAATCCAAAGCCAGTTCAGAACATTTCTTTGCATGGTCCCGCAAAACCAGACGGCAGCGATGAACCATTGGTTCACCCACCGGTTGGTGCCTCCAAAAAAAAGGCTTCGCAGAGGTTAGTCGCCCATGCATCCGACGCCAGCCAACGGCAGATGACATTTTTTCCGTAGCCCAACATGTGTTAGCCCAGTTAATAAAGGTTAATAATCTTACCCAACCCCGTCCCGCGAATCCACGGGGCCGAACGGAGAGAGACGCAGCCACCCAACTTAGCTTGGCCCCCGCTGCTGTCTCGCTTTCCCGCCTACTATTTTCGAGCGAGTGCCGGTGAACCATGCCCCGACACCGAATCTCCTTAGTCGCCCATGCATCCGACGCAAGCCACAAGACAGCGGCCAGAGCAGCGCTCAGCGCACAGTGCAAAGCAGTGGCCAGAGCAGCGCTCAAGCCCGCACAGCGTCAACCATCACCTGACACAGATCTTGTCCGTCGCAGGCAGAAAACAAAAGCGCTCAGTGCGTGGTCTCACAACCATGTCGAACTCAGCGCAAATGACCGCCACCGTACGCACCTCACACCACGCCAGGTCTACCACGAGATCTAGCTGAGTCGGTGGGGGCCCGAACAACCCCCCCCTGTGCAAGACGGGGACCGGGACTTGGGGCATCCCGGTAGCATCCTCCCCAGTGGAGGGGGCTGACTGCCCTGGCTAGCCCAACGCAGCCATAGTCGGGTGAGCCGTCGCACAGACAGACGCAGCCACTGAGCTCGAGACCAAAGAAGCGGTGGTTGTTGGTATCGTTGTCGTCGTCGTCGTCGTCGGCAGCGGCGTCGTCGTCGTCGTCGGCGTTCTTGTCGTCGTCGTCGTCGGCGTCCTCGTCGTCCTCGTCGTCGTTGTTGTTGTTGTTGCAGCCACAGAGCTCGAGACCAAAGAAGCGGTGGTTGTTGGTATCGTTGTCGTCGTCGTCGTCGTCGTCGTCGTCGTCGTCGTCAGCGTCGTCGTCGCCGTCGGCGTCGTCGTCGTCGTCGGCGTCGTCGTCGTCGTTGTTGTTGTCGTCGTGGTTTTTTTTTGGGGTTGTTGCAGCCACACAGCTCGAGACCAAAGAAACGGTGATTGTTGGTATCGTCGTCGTCGTCGTCGTCGTCGTCGGCGTCGTCGTCGTCGTCGGCGTCCTCGTCGTCGTCGTTGACGTCGGCGTCGTCGTCGTCGTTGTTGTTGTTGTTGCAGCCACAGAGCTCGAGACCAAAGAAGCGGTGGTTGTTGGTATCGTTGTCGTCGTCGTCGTCGTGGTCGCCGTCGGCGTCGTCGTCGTCGTCGGCGTCGTCGTCGTCGTCGGCGTCCTCGTCGTCGTCGTCGGCGTCGTCGTCGTCGTCGTCGTTGTTGTTGTTGTTGCAGCCACAGAGCTCGAGACCAAAGAAACGGTGGTTGTTGGTATCGTTGTCGTCGTCGTCGTCATCGGCGTCGTCGTCGTCGTCGGCGTCCTCGTCGTCGTCGTCGGCGTCGTCGTCGTCGTCGTTGTTGTTGTTGTTGCAGCCACAGAGCTCGAGACCAAAGAAACGGTGGTTGTTGATATCGTTGTCGTCGTCGTCGTGGTCGTCGTCGTCGCGGTCGCCGTCGTCGTCGTCGTTGTTGTTCTTGTTGTTGTCGTTGACGTCGTCGTTCTTGTTGTTGTCGTTGTTCTTGTTGTTGTTGTTGTTGTTGTTGTTGTTGTTGTTGTCGTTGTCGTCCTTGTTTTTTTTTTGTTGTTGTTGTTCTGTTGCGTCGTCGTCGTCGTCCTCGTCGGCGACGTCGTCGGCGTCCTCGTCGTCGGCGTCGTCGTCGTCGTCGTTGTTGTTGTTGCAGCCACAGAGCTCGAGACCAAAGAAACGGTGGTTGTTGGTCTCGTTGTCGTCGTCGTCGTCGGCGTCGGCGTCGTCGTCGTCGTCGGCGTCCTCGTCGTCGTCGTTGACGTCGTCGTCGTCGTCGTCGTCGTTGTTGTTGTTGTTGTTGCAGCCACAGAGCTCGAGACCAAAGAAGCGGTGGTTGTTGGTATCGTTGTCGTCGTCGTCGTCGTCGGCGGCGTCGTCGTCGTCGGCGTCCTCGTCGTCGTCGTCGACTGTTGTTGTTGTTGTTGTCGTTGTTGTTGTTGCTGTTGCCCGATGTTGGCCCTATTTGTGGTTGCCGATGTTGGGCCTATGTTGGGCCATCTTGGGGCCATGTTGGGCCCATGTTGGGCCATCTTGGGGCCAGCTTGGGCCTATGTTGGGCCGTTTCGTGCCCAAAACGCTCCAAAATCGAGCCCAAAAAGTGCCTAACGTCCCTTCTGAAACCCTAGAAAAAAAAGAACTTTTGCCTGCCTTTGTGATAACCGTCTTGTCGCGTCCTGTCGCTTTGACGTCAGCTAGCTGCAACAGCTCGACTCATGGACACCACTCGAAACGCTGAAACGCCACCTAATTTCGTGCCCAAAACGCTCCAAAATCGAGCCCAAAAAGTGCCTAACGTCCCTTCTGAAACCCTAGAAAAACAATATAGTGTTTTGGACAAGGCCCTGCCGGACGGCCCACGTTCTTGACACCCATTAGTGCCATCCTAGAAAAACACACTTTTTCGTGCTGCTAGCTGCTGCACTGCTGCCGTTGCGCTTACTGCTGCTGCGTCTGCTTGTGTCTGCTGCTGCCTGCTGTGTCGTGCTGCTGCAATCAAACAGCTTCCAAAGCAAGAAGCAACTGCTGCTGCTGCTGCTGCTGCTGCCGCTGCTCTTGCTGCTAGTGCGGCTAAACTTGCTTGTCTTTGCTTGTCTTATTCCCTGGCGCGCTCCCCCTTGCGTCTGCCGGGGTCGGCGGATATATATAATGAAGATCATACAGGTTCAGCTGCCAAACTGCCAAACCTTCGGCCAACAGGAACGCCATGGCCCCCTGATCGTTGGACAGAAAGTCACAGGCCCCAAGACCTTACAAGGAGCCTCGTCGCACTTTGCCCTTTGCGCTGCACTCTGGAGAATGCCAAATCTGTAAGTTTGATATACCCTCTGGTTATTTCACAGTTCGCCATGGTATAGATGGCCCATAGAAATAGATGGTTTACCGGTTTACCTATTAAAAATATTTAAACATGGTAATTTTCAATAGCTTTTTGTATGTTTACCAGGCCGGTGATCCGATCGTCCAGGCAAAGTGGTTTCAGCTGGACAGAAGCATTTTTACCTGGAGACCCAGACGACCTATGCAGCTTGGCAAAACGGATCAAAACGGCGGAAACGGTGAGTTTTCTATGGCCCAGTCGAAATGACGTGGATTTACCCAGCTATAAAATGGTGATTTTCTATGGAAAATGGTGATTTATAGTGGATTTAGCTATAAAGTGGTGATTTTCCATAGTTTTTTCTATGTTTACCTGGCCGGGCATATCAAACTTACAGATTTGACATGCTATGATACTATGACTAGACTCCAGACAGCTTAGGCATACCCTGACTCCACTGGAGGAAGCTTGGCTGATTTTAATTTTCGGATGTCTTGCCAGGAAAAGAAGGGCATTAAGTATTATTAAATCTGATTAAGTCTGATTAAGTCTGATTTTTTGTGTTCCTTTGATTCTTTAGCTTCAAACTGAGACTTGAGGTCTGATCTTCAACACTGCGTGTCAGACGTTGCTCAGCATCCGTCTGGGGATGTCTGGGAGACCAGCTGTGAAGTGGAAAGTTGCTCCATCCGATTGGCCACAGATTGGAAGACTCAATGCATCACCCAACAACTCAGTTTTTACTAAAGGCATATCTAAAGGCACATCTTTGCGCAGTGTTTCCAACATTTTCCTCCAAGGTTGGATTGGGCACAGACTCAAATGGCCAAGACATTGAATATGCCCAAGAGCAGCTGAGCTGCAAAGCATGTGGCAAAATATGATCAAACCATATCAAACCAGCAAATGGTGAGAGAGTTTTTGGATGTTTTCGGCATATCGGAGTTCCAAGACCCGCATTGACTTCAGATTTTTTTTTCGGCTTGTTGTGCGAGTCATCTAAACAGGGATCCAGACCCTGCAACGCGACAGGCAAGATCACGGTGCAGAACCAACGCCTCGGTGGTGCCTACGGTGGCAAGGCCAAACTGTGAGAAACGCACGCACCAACGGTGCACCAACGGCAACGAAATCAACGATGTCGAGAGGGTTCCGTTGGTACATGACATAACTTACATAACCGACGACAGACACATGACACAACGGTCACAAGTCGCTGCTCCAGGCCATGCTCTTTGCACCAGGATGCGGTGCCTGTGGGGTCGCGGTGCTGAAGAGCAACCGCCCAGTTCTGCTGCAGATGGACAGGCGCAAAGCCTAAAACATCTAAAACGTCGTAAACATACTGTAAACATGTGTAAAAAAAACATGTTCCAAAAGTCTCACTCTTGTCTCACCCTTGAAGGTCTCAGTCCCGTTTTCCCAGTCTGATATGCATCTGATCAATGACCTTTTCAGGTACCTGGAGGTACCTTCATTTTAGGATCGTGGACTTTCCAGCAATCTGACCAGCTCTATTTGCTTTCTGATGATTGATTTGCAATTAGCATCAATTAGCTATAATTACTTTCATTTACTCAAAATTTCCTCTATATTTTCTGTTCTGTTCATGCCATATAGATTCTATATAGATTCATTATAGCCATTATATTTATATTAGCCATTATATTCTATATTAATAGCCATTTATTTCCTCTATATTTTGTTCTATCCGTTTTTTTTAAGAGACATTTTGTTGTCGGAGACGCACCAGGACTGCAGACTTCCAAGCCTTTGGAGCCAGAGCCCCCTTCGATGCTTCGTGGGAACTCAGTCGCTTCGAAAGACGATTCCACCTGATTGGTGGTTAATGGTGGTTAATGATGGTTAATGAACTTGGTGGTTTGGTGGAACATGGCTGGATTAATGATGGTTAATGATGGTGAATGGTGGTTAATGGTGGTTAATGATGGTTAATGAACTTGGTGGTTTGGTGGAACATGGCTGGATTAATGATGGTGAATGGTGGTTAATGGTGGTTAATGAACTTGGTGGTTTGGTGGAACATGGCTGGATTAATGATGGTTAATGATGGTGAATGGTGGTTAATGGTGGTTAATGATGGTTAATGAACTTGGTGGTTTGGTGGAACATGGCTGGATTAATGATGGTTAATGATGGTGAATGGTGGTTAATGGTGGTTAATGATGGTTAATGAACTTGGTGGTTTGGTGGAACATGGCTGGATTAATGATGGTTAATGATGGTGAATGGTGGTTAATGGTGGTTAATGATGGTTAATGAACTTGGTGGTTTGGTGGAACATGGCTGGATTAATGATGGTGAATGGTGGTTAATGGTGGTTAATGAACTTGGTGGTTTGGTGGAACATGGCTGGATTAATGATGGTTAATGATGGTGAATGGTGGTTAATGGTGGTTAATGATGGTTAATGAACTTGGTGGTTTAGTGGAACATGGCTGGATTTTCATGATGGTTAATGATGGTTAAGAAAATGGATAATTTAATGGTGAATGATGTTGGTTAATGGTGATTAATGACTGATTGGTGGTGACTGGAACATGGTTTTTCATAGTGACTTAATGGGGATTAATGGTGGCTTAATGGGGATTAATATGGATTAATGGTGGTGACTGGAACCATGGAATTTTATGACTTTCCCATCATATTGGGTCATCATCCCAACTGACGAGTTGTCCATCATTTTTCAGAGGGGTAGGGCTGAACCACCAACCAGCCACATATTTCCACATATTTCCAGCAATTTCCAGATATTTCCAGATGTTAATGTGAACTTCCAGATTCAATTAATTCAATTCCACGATATTTCGGAAGATATTTGAAGATTTCAATACATTTCAATACATTTCAATATCTTCAAGATATGCGTCACATTTCACCGAAAAAGATGCATAAGTGTGATTTCAACAGCGATTTCAACAGATCGCCTTAGCCTGCACGGATCACATGATGTACTGAGGTCATGAAGACAGCGGGAAGATTGTGAGCATGAAGCAGGAGATTTGTCCCAAGCAAACGCTTGACCGGTGCTTTCTTGACGGTGTTTTCCGTCAGAGAATTGCCTGAAGAGGATTGGATATTTAAGGATATTTACACTGACAATGCTCATTGCATCAACAGGAAGTTCTGCAGAACGTCGGCACTGACATGCTGGGCTTTTCACAAGCGTCCAGCGTGGCTCAGTTGCACTTGACATCATTAAATTAAGTCTCATCCTGTGCCCTAGATCTCTTGCATTTTCTTGCCAAGGTCAATTGCTACGACATCCCTCATGCGCAGTTGCACTGTAAAGGAGCAAGGGCGTTCTACATGTCCTGACGGTTTTATGGCTTTGGATCCTGGTTGCTGTTTTCGCACAAGTTGTTCACAGCTTGTGAGGGGCTATCGTTGGGACAGGAGTTATCACAAATCTGCCAGTAAACACTTGGATGCGCGCATCTTGGCAGAACGCCTTCGATGGCTGCGATGCCCTGTAGATCCCTGTAGCTTCTAGTCGAATCTTCATGATCATCCAATAATTTGAGACCTGGTTTTGGCGCCGCCATTTGGGGTGGCGTGGCTGTTTTCCAAGCATTATTCGCTCAAAACAGGCACCTGGAGACTTCGAAGGAGCTTTCATCATGGAAACCATCATGGAACAGGTGCTTTACTGACGACATCTGACGACAGATCTTGACACTATGAGTTGCTTTGACGAATACGATGCCTAACGCTAGCAAGAATTCGTTAAGTTTCATGTTTTTTCGCAGATCTTCAGAAAAATCGAGCATCTTTCATCATCTTTCCAATCATCTTTCCATTCAGATGAGAAAAATTGAGAACAGATTTCTTCAACAGGAACTTCCCAGACTTTCCCGAGGGATTTCACGAGCGTCACACGGCGTCGAGGTGGCACGAGCTGTGAGCCGCGAGCCCATGGAGGTCCAGGAGTTGAACATGGTCACAGGCATGCAGAAGGCGGTGACCCCGGTGACCGAGCGATTCGACACTGATGTCATTGATTTTTTTACTGATACGATTTAATATGATTTAATATGATTTATAATTATATATTAATGTTATATATATATATATGAGTTATATTAATGAGTTATATGGATGAGATTTGAGTATTTATGAGCCTTTGCGATTTTTTGTGACTGATGAGAACTTCACGCGCGTCTCTGTGGAGAAGGTTTTGCAGTGATGCACCTGGACAGGCCTGGCAGCGGCTGAAGGCAAAGGTCTCTTACGAGGAGACTCTCAAAGCGGTGAAAGATTTCAACAGCAAGAACCGCCCCCTGGCCACGACGACACGACGGGAAGGGTAAACGTTTTATGCACCGTGGCATTGACTGACGGGAAGGGTATGCAGTGAGTTCATCGCCACACAGAAACACCTCGATTTGCAGGGCCTTCGGCTCCAACCCCAACACAGGCATTGGTTTCCTTTCGACCAAGAGCGCTGCACAGATAAAACGCGCGCGCAAATACCAATCAAAACAACATAGATAAAAAAACAGGCAGCAGTAATTAGGGGTAATGTAGGTAATGTAGGTAGTGTAGGTAGTGTAGGTAATGTAGGTAATGTAGGTAATGTAAAACTGTATGATACTGTATGTAGGTATGTAGGTATGTACGTACGTACGTATGTATAATGTATGTGTGGTTGCATATGTCAGAATGTATGTACGAATGTACCCACATTTTTTTGAATGAATGAATGTCTGAAGTTTTGTATGTGCGCATTTCATTCCCCGCATGGCTGTGTGGGATTCTTCACTTTTCGTCGCTACGTCCCAAATTTCGTATCAAACTTCCCATCAAACGTATCCGACGTATGTCGAATGGATTTCGATTAAACTGATTTGGCGTGGCGCTTGGATCGCTTGGTGTGTTTGCTTTGCATATCTTGCTTTGCATATCTTGTGGCAGTTGCAGCTGCGCAAGGTCGCCCGGAGTCGCTGCAATGTGGTTTTCATATTCAAACTTCACCAACATCCGATATTTCAAGGTGTTGGGATATGCTGGAATGTGTCCAAAATGTGATTTTTCCTGTGCGCATGTGGAGTAAAAGGCAGTTTGCCACAATATCAGTGTCGCAGTCGGCTTGATGCCGGCACTCTCATTGAAAGCGATTCCATGCCACACATTTGGCACCCAATTGCACACAGATATGGTCTGAGGATATCGCAAGAAAGGCATTTATTGTTTCTTGGAATGCAGCAGCATTTATGGCTTTGGGCAAATTCGTAGAACCAAAATGAACATAAAACCCTTTTTTTTTCACAATTTTCATGTTTTTGTCGATTGGAAAAACCACCTCTTGCAAGGTCCCGTTGTCGCAAAAACTGGAATGGTTCGCATTTTGCCAAGGTATGGGGTCTCGCTACCAGCTGCAGCCGCACTCTTTCATGGAAAAGTGTTTTGTTAGGCCATGTTGCGCATCGCAATCAGAGAATTTCCATTGTTGTTTGAATCAACATTGAAGTTCTCTGCAATTTTTATGTTTGTGAAGTGCCAGGGTGTACGATGATGGCTCCGTCCTGCTGGAACACACTGGATTGGAGGTACGTGAAACTTTGGACCGCTTCCAGAAAAAGGATGAGTACCTAAATGTACCTAAAGGATCATACAACATATACAACACGATTTGTTTTCTTCCAGAGATGCACTTGATATCACTTGATTGACTTGGTAGTTGCAAGACCTAACATGCGCGGCACAGCTAGCAAGTCAAACATGTCAGTTTCTGACCGTGCAGGTGGGTCAAGGCATGGACACCAAAGCGCTGCAAGCCTTGACCATGGGATTGCGGAAGATTGCGGTGTTTTGGCCGAATGGATAGTAGATATAGATATAGACAGACAGGATCTAAGAGGTATATTTTCCGTGTTTTCCTTGTCATGTAAATGATAAAACTGATAAGACACTTGGAAAACAATTAGAAAGGAGTAATTGCGAGAAACACTCATCTAAGATGTGTTGGGATCATTGCTCAGAGCTGAGAAAGAATGCACCAAGAGCGAAACAGTTTCTCGATTGAATAGACACGACTCAAAGCACAAACGCATTTCCCAAACTTCAAAGAGACCCTTTGCAGAACTTTCCCAGAAATTGATGACTTTACATGGCAGACCAACCACAGTTTTTTTTCTGCTTTTGTAGTATGTTTATCTTTGTCCCTTGAACTTAAGATGTGTTGACTTCAATTCTTGTATAGTTCCAAGATGCACAAACCGAATCAAAACCTATCCATTGCCACAGCACGTGTACCGCTTTCCGCTGTTCAGGCAGACTTCAGCATGGATCACATTCAGCTTCGAATTCCCAAGAGCACTCAGGATTTCAGCTGGAAAGGTGCTCCGTTTGAAGGATGTATCCAGATGTATCCAGTGGGTTTGCAAAGCTATCAAATGTGGGAACCATTTCTTGCATGTGTTGTATTGTTGATATATTCTTTGCTTCTGTTGAGACTTGCTCGGACTTGGACGTTTTAGAGGTTGTCATGAGTTGTCATGCTCTGTCATGAGCCGTGATGTGTTTGTTGTGTAGACCGTTGGCATCCTGTGGCAAGGCGTTATGGGAACCTTCAGCAGTGTGACCTCGGAAACTGTAGCCGCAGAGCTCAGTGCGTCTGGATCGTCTGGCAGATGCTGCGGATGCTGTGATTCTTCCGAGAACGTTCGACGCCAGCGACGCCACTACAGGTCAGTGCAATTCTCGATGCTTGCGACAAACTTCACAAGGACAAAGCCGACCCGTTTCCCTTTTCTTTTTCGGCCCGGTGGTGTACGATTTGTACGTCCCCGATGTCCCGAATCTGCGACAGGAGCTGCAGAAATTTACTGCACCTGGCCGAAGCTGGACAGAGGTGCTCACTCTTGGGACACTTTTTGGAGACTTTTTGGGACATAAGGAAGACATGGTTTGTCTCACAAATCGCAGCGAAAAAGCGTAGCATCCATGAAGATCCCATGTAGAATGTGCCACCAGCTGGAGGTCATTCAATTGGCAGTCAAAGGGGGCGCGCAACTATCTCAGGCACAAAAGCGACAAAAGTGTGTTCTTTTAGATGCGCTAACGTTTTGGCTGACAGCCTGACAGCGTGGAAGTCGATTGACTTGATCAGATGCTTTGAGTAGGTGTCGTTGCTCATTGTTGAGTCGCAGGGATTGAATTTGAGGGAGGTGAAGCAACATTGAACAGAGAAAAAACCAACTAAGTTTGCCAACTCTTCGGAGGCTCCGTTCAGATGTGAACCAGTAATAACAATCAACATCAATCAACACTCTCCAGTAACTCTGCAGGCTGGTGTCACTGATGAGGCGCATGTGAAACTTGGCTGTGGCAAGCGTGACAACCGTAAGTCATCATGACAGATGTGCAGCTTGTGCACAGTACTGTACGAGATGCTGAGATGCCCAAGCTGCACATATGACAAGTGAGTGCAAGTTTCTCATGAAACCATAATGGCTTCAGTTGGCACACACAGAACCAAGCCATGGAGGCAACTGCAGCAATGACTGAGGAATAACTACAGCCTCTTCAGTGCAGGCTGTGCTCAGGCACTTCCGAAAGAAACAAGAAGATGAGCAGTGCGTCATTACGTTGTACTCGTTTCTGTGTGTGGGCTGCTGTGAGAGAGTCAAGACTGTTGACCTTGGCCAAAGCTTCGCTTCCACTTTCCAGAGCAATGAGAAGCTCTTGGTTCATCATGGGTAGGTAGAGATTGATGTCCTGACGGGCGAGACGCAAGTGAATTCTTTCGATTTGGTCTATGTTTCTTGGACCACAGCTTGAGTGGATTGTCCTGTTCAGAAACTTCTATGTTGCTTAGCAAGCATCTGTGAGAATGACAGTTTCTGAGGTCAAGGGTTCATGGATCTGTGGAAACGAGATCTCACAGAAAGATGCAACCAATTGAATTGGATCGACCGCTTGTTTTGTTCCATGGGAGGATGCACTGCATTTCACTGGAACGCTTCCCCTCGCATACCTGTTTGTGTGTGTATACTATGTCATTTTGTGAACCCGAGGACTGCGGCAAAAGTTTGAATCCTGCCGTTGACATTGGCCAGATCGAGGTGGCTAGTCAGAATGCAAACATCCTACAACCAATTACCAGGGAGAGATCTTGGTTTTAACATGTTTTAAGCATGCATATCATACATGAACCAACCATCCTTGACAACCGTCACTTAGAACTGCTATCAGGCTATCAATGCTATCAGGAACCGAACGGCAGATTGATCGGGCCACTCTCACCTGCCAGGGCAGCTTGATCCAAGCTTTGGGTTTCTCTCTTTTGGAAGAGGAAAGTCGAGGCAAAGATGGACGCCTTATCAACTGTGGCACCTGGGATGCTTGGACGATCTTGGACGGTTAGATCTCCAGATATCTCCAGGTCAGGTCAGGTTCGGAAAATCAGAAGGCAACCGGGCAACCGGGCAACCTGTTCTGCGTTCAGCTCAGGACTACAAAGTGCCCAGCGGAAGAGATATTCCAGCACCATGGTTTGGATCAGAAATGTCTGAAATTCACGAAAAATGAGTTTTGTTCAAAAATTGATGAGTTTTGGCACGATGTGGTTCCCACAAAAAAATCTGCGTAGCTCCCACAACGCTGGATCGCTAAGGTTCGTTTAGATGTGGAGTTGCTGCCCTGCGAAAAGCCTGATGCGCCTGTTCTGGGATCCAAAGCCTCTGGCGAGCCCGTGCCACGGCGATTCAATGGAGAACGAGTCGACGAGCATTGCTTCATTGGAATTCATTCCCCATGACGGATCCTAACGGTGCTAGAAAAATGGTGCTCCATGGATCCCATCAACAAAAACCCCAGTCATGTTAGCATTTTTCTACCAGCACCAGCCGGATCCGTCATGGCTTCTGAAAATGTGACAGGAAGGGTTACCACGCCGCGATTCGAAGGGATAGCGGCTTAGCGATTTCCGGTTCATTTCCGGTTCATCCTTCATGGTTCCGCTAAGGGTTCACTAACAGATTGAATATGAATACAATTGGATACAATTGGTGATTGGGTGATTGTAAGTTTATAAGTCAGTAAATCACCAAAATCATATTATGAATTACTATATGAATTGTTGATTTTCAATCCGAATTCCCAGCAACGGTAACTCATCAGCTCGCGCCTGCTTGCCTGCTTGCCTGAATGTGGATCCCCACTGTAGCCCCTGTTTTCAGGTTTCTGGTTAGGTTGCCAACAAAATTCCACCAAGGGCGTTGAAAAGATAGGGTGCCATTTGATTGTTATGCCGAATTTACCAGGCCACCACTCCACATGTGGATAAAACATGATAAAACAAACTACAGTTCCAAAACTGAAACGCACCAGCTTCTCAGGCACAGCTACTAGGTGGCGCCTTCTTCTTTGCAGTGCTGCCCTGAGAGCACAGTTTGTCAGCCAGTTGAAGCAACAGGTTACAGTGGCTACTTTCGAGATCTTTCGAGGTGAAAGATGCAATCGGCCAATGCCCAAGTTATCCAAGTTCGGAGATGACTTTCTGACTTCATCCGCTGGCAAAAACTGCAGGGTTTCGATGGTGTTTCTCAATGGATTGGTTTTCACGGGAAAATCTTAACCGGACACCATCGATTTTCCCATGAAGATCATGGGGCTTTCCTGTAAATTTTCACAATTTTCCCCTAATCCAATCCATTGATGTTTCGAGTTTAGCGGCGGCACAAATTGGTTGAGGCTATGCACGCGAAGAACAAGGGCTCTCTCGAAACTTCCGCATGGATCCACCAGCATCACCTGACAGGACAGACGAGCAAATAGATCATAGAAGTCTTGTCAGATGATTCAAATGTCTCTTATTTATTCTATTGAAATTCTATTTATTCCATTTATTCTATTGACATTCTATTTATTCCATTTATTCTATATTGAAATTCTATTTATTCCATTTATTCTATTGGCATTCTATTTATTCCATTTATTCTATATTGAAATTCTATTTATTCCATTTATTCTATTGAAATTCTATTTATTCCATTTATTCTATTGAAATTCTATTTATTCCATTTATTCTATTGAAATTCTATTTATTCCATTTATTCTATTGAAATTCTATTTCATTTTGTTTCGACATGTGACATATGTGACATGTACCATGTATCTAGATTCTGTTGGCTGCAACTTTGACCATTCCGATGAGGATCCAGACAGCCTGCAGCACGCAGCTTTGAAATGCTCTGGCAACGTGGATTCACCGCAGATTCACCGCTGTCTTAACGTAGGAACAGGATGGAACAGGAATTAAACCAAGTGGAGAATATGAAAAGATCAGAAGAGCACCGGGTAGTGCCAAAAAAAAAAAAGTCATGATAGTCATGAGTCTTTGAGCTCTGGAAAAGCATTATTTTCTATACTCTATTCTAAAAGACTCAAAGCTGATTTGACAACGGGTCAAGCTGGGTCAAAGCGTCAAAGGGTCAAAGCTCCTTAGCGATCTTCGCCCTTTCGACTCCTTCAACTTCGACTTGAGCATAGTGACAGCTTAGTGGCTTGTCCGCCTGGAATTTTCCGCCTCTGCCGCTTGGGCGTTGAGGGCGTGTGCCACAGGGAAAGTCCACAAGTCTACTCAGTCGGAAGACAATTCAATAAAAGATCATATTTGAATACATTTGATGGGTTTTGCGCATGTTTTTCCCATTTTGTAAGTGTGTCATTTTACAATGTCATCAATGGCAACAGGCAGCCTGGCTCCTCTTGAAACCTGATACATTCCCTGTGGTTGTAGATCTCAAGCTCCACAAAGCTCAAAAAGGATAGCTTCAAGAATCATCAATCAAGCAGCAAAACCAGCGTTCTTCATCCATTTTTGCCGCCTGTGGCGCTGTTGCATTTTCTTGCGAGCCAGGTTTTTCTGAAAATTGAACTCTTCCTTCTGTTCCTTTGTCACGGGGCAGGCTGTCCAAGACGCCGAGAAGACAAGAGGCGAGCCCTGGTTGGTTGCAGCTACAAAGTGTTCAACAAACACTCCTGGCTGATGCCAGGTGAATACCGTGAGCAGGTTGAAGCACTGAAGAAGGAGAAGGATGCCGTTCAGAGTGAGGCATCTTTGCTTCGTTGTCGGATTTGGCCATAAATGGGCCATAAATATTTGCTGACAGGATCTGACAGGTGTATTCAGATTCTATTGATCAGACATGTTCAGCAAGTTGATGACTGTTTATTGAAAAAATGTATTGTCAGCTTTGAAGCACCGCAGGCAGACAAGATCCGCAAGGCTGCTGAGAAAGCCAATGCAGATGTGCAGGAGGCCAGACCCAGGTCTAGCTCTGTACCATTGACATCCTTTGCGAGACCAATGCGAACATTGCTGGATCTCAATTTTTTACACTTTGGAATCAAAGGATGTGAACAGATCTTGCTAGAGAAACCGGCTTCGAATCGAATGAAGTATTGAGCCACGAGGAAACAGACAGAAGACAGGGGTCCAGACATTTCAAATCATTTGGATACAGAAACATAGTCACATAGTCCCTATATAGTCCCTAAATTCAGAATCATACAAAATTGAGTGATATTGAGTGATATTGAGTGATATGTCAGGATCCAATTTCACTCTCCCGTGGTTCTGAGAGTGCTGACACGTGCTGACACGCTGGCAGGCACGTTCAGCTTTGGATTCAAAGGTGAAAGAGGCGTGGCAGCACAGTCAGGTTCAAGTTCTTGGGATGATTGGGATGTTCCAAGCTAAACTTCTTACCATCTGGTTATGACTAACATAGCCATGGTATAGATGGCCATAGAAATAGTTGATGTATCCATTTACCCATTAATAGCATGGTGATTTTCCATGGCGAACTGTTAAATAACCAGATGGTATCTTTTTTTTGAAGCATGAGTCGCCTGCGATTTGCTTAAAAAGCGGAGCTGTGCTGGAAGACTGCTTGTTCTCTACACCCTGTCTCCCAGTTGCTGGTGGTTGCTGGTTTGTTGTTTTTGGTGTCAAAGAAAAATTGACAATTTGTCACCCTGCCGCCGTGCTTCACGCAGACAGGGGTGACAATTTGCCGGCTCCAGAAACAGTTTCTACTCAGAGTTCATGTGGTGGACGCCAATTTTTTTCACAAGTGCACCAGATGAAGATCTCAAGCTCCCCTCGCAATATTTCTGGTTTGCAGTTCTTAGCTCAAACAAGATTTATCGTAGGCCCCCCTCCCGAAATGTCAGTAATGGTTGCTTTAAGTAACATGCTTTAACGGCTCCGTTACCGGAGGCTGCAAAATGTACCGGTGATTCACAACGTCTTCACTGAGAATGTATGTTTTCCCTGGTCACAGTAAGAAACAGGGCAGAGTTGATAGATTTGATAGCTTGGCTGCGCTGAAGATGCTTGCCTGTGATATCATGCATACTTGCTGCAATTTGGAACGTCAGAAGAGTTTTTTCTCAAGCATTTTTTCTCCGTGCAACAGAATTATTACTAAATGTCACTGGGGCATGCAACATATTGCATTGTTACATTGGTTGTGATTCGCACTGCGTTCCTTGACTTTCTGTGCGGTTCACAGGTGGAGAGGCTGAAGGGCTCTGTGCAAAAGGCTGAACGCGAGGCTTTGGAGTGGAAAGCTGCAGCAGAGCAACGTGCACAAGAGGCTGGGAGACATCCTACGCCTTCTGCACCAGACAATACTGTGGGGCACAGACATTGGAAATCTCTGGATGGTCGGATTGGAAATCTCTGCTTCGAAAACCATCAATCTTCTCATGAGTCTTCCCTAGGTGAAAGAAGTCCTCGTGGTCCAGGCGAAGAAAGACACCTCCGAACTCGTCAAGAAGAAGGAGGAAGTCACACAGGAACGGATTCCTGTATTCTTTGAATGGATCGAACATGATCTGATTGAAGCATATTGAACCATATTGAACCCACAATTCTTCAAACATATACTTTAAGGATCTTTAAGAGACATTGCACCACTCAACTGTTTCATTCGCTGTTCGATGACAGAGGTGCTAAGGTCGGTGGGGGTCAGGTGTCAAGCAAGCTGGGTGTCTGTGAGGCCAAGAAGTCCACTGATGAAGCCATTAAGAAATTGGAGGATGCCAAGAAGCAGCTGGCAGAGGCAGCGTTGCAGGACACACGGATTTCTAAGGGCGACGAGGCAACGAGTCGACGAGTTGTGTGGCAGCTTACATGGGATTGTGCTGTCAGGCTGGTGGAAAGGTCTCGGAAGCAGAGGCCGAAAAACAGTTTGATGCTGACACTCTGATCACCTATTGACCTATTGATTCTTCTAGATTCTCTAAATAATCGTATTTCTATATCAATATCTATTAAATATCAATATCTAATATAGTCTATATAACTATAATGTCACTCTTCTCTGCACGAAACCCTTTGAAGCCAAGCTTCGCATTGCCAGGCACGGGCCAGTGCAGCAGAAAAAGCAGCAGCCTCGGCGAAAGGCTGGCCTTGGACATTGGACACGGGACACGGAGCAACCTCGGTGACGTCAACCGAGTCCAAAAAGGAGTTGGTAAAGGATGGTAAAGGAAGATGTCACTATAGTAGAGTTCAGTGCAGACCTCTACTCCTCCATACAACATTGTCATATATTGTCATACACTATCGCAGATCGCGCATCAGCAGCAGAACAAACGCTGGAATCGGTGTGACGCTTAGCAACAGAAGCTCCGTGTGGACTCAGAGGAATGGATCAACCAGATGAGACATGCATTGCCCGACAAAAAAATGTGATATCAGGATAAAGAAGAGGCATGTCATGGAATATCGCTTGTTTAGCTGTTTTGAATTCAGGTCAAACAAACGGCTCGATCAGAGGCCCTTCGCAGACTGTGTAATGCTAGCGCTTGGCTGGCCTTGTCAGTCAAGGGGTGTTGTTGATGTAATTTTGTAAATGGCGTGTATCCACGTGACATGATGACTCAAAGTTGAAACAATAATGTGTTTTGCATATCGTGCATCCTTCAACGGTGGTTCCACTCAATAGGTTCAACATGGCTTGTATAGTTTGGAGTGTATGCATGACTGCATGTGCCCAGCGTTTCAGGTAGGCTAAGCCATCTTTGAAGAATTTCTTTGCAGCCATTGTATTCCGTTCACTCCGAGTTCACTCCCCTCACAGCAAATTCCAATTCTTGCACATCTTCGTGAAGAGGCTCAGCAAGATGCTTCCAAGCTGGTGAAAACAGCTGAGCAGGCGAAGTGTGTTTTTGCTACACTGCTACCAGCTGCTACACTGCTACGAGTCTTTGCTGTTCACCAGTACTTTGCAGGAGCGGCAGAAAGTGCAAGCCGCACTAGATGTGGCAATGGCCGAGGCCAGTTGTATCACTGTTGATCCTCTGAGTTGGCCTCCATGATACGCATCAAGTG